TAGCAATCTGTCATTCTCACATCCTCTGAGGCAACATCCGGCCCCTCCTGTGGGTCTCTGGTTCAGGCTGCAAACCCGCTTCGTACCCACTCCGGCCGGGGCGCATCCCGGGGGCGCCCAGGAAAGATCCCATGGAGAGAATCGACCCAAATGGGCCCGCGTCCCGCACTTAGCAGACAGGTGTGCGTGACTGAAGGCAAGAAGACCCGGCACGGTGTCCGCCCCGGGCCCCTTGTGAGCCTGGGGACTTGGGGGGACGTCCCTTTCCCTCTGGTGATGCTCCAAGCCTTCGAGGGCAGGTGCCCCATGGAAGACAAGAGGCCCACCCACCACGGGGTCCACTCAGGGCAGGACTAGACGGGGTGTCGGCCACTCTGAGGAAGACAACCTTCCCGGTGTTGCTCCCCAAAGCACGCACCTCTCCCGGGAGCACACTGTCAGGTGGGCGTGTTGTGTGCAGTCCCCTGTCTCGGGGTGGTCACCAAAAGGTGAATGTCAACCCCAACTCTGTGGGCCGCTCGGTGGCGCCCACAGCCACCCACGGGCGGGCCTGAAATGAGGAAGAGCAACCGAAAAAGGGGCGGGGTGTGGAATGAACACACAAGATACACTCCAGCCTGGGGCTGACGTTTCTTGCAATCAGCGTGGGCAGCTGTCAGGCACCGACGTGCCGGTCGGATGCCGACGCTTCGGGACGCGGCGCGAAGCCCGAGAGGCTGAGGCAGGCAGCCTGGCGTCGTGGGGTAAGCCGGCGCCGTCCCCCGGGGCCGCGGAGCGTGTCTTCCCCGCGGGCTGGCTGGCAGCCTGCTTCTGCGGCTGCTGCCGGCGGCCGTGCTGCGGGTCCACGGGGCGCTCAGGGGGGCCGCGGGCCGTGGCTGGAGGGTACGCATTGCAGAAGGATAAGCAGGCACTGGCTCTCACAGCGGCGGGGGCTGCGTGGCAGAGTCTCCGCGAGCCGCAGGAAAGAGCCGGCGCGCACGGGGCTGCTTCCTGACTTGCCGGGGGAACGGGACAGGCCCCTAAATGCTCGGACAAACGTGGAAGCCGCTGCACGGGGCGGTGGGGAAGAGTGGCGGTCGCGTGTCCGTAGATAGTTTCCCAGCAGCCACTTTATCTCAAAGGCCCGGTGACCCCGCCGGCGGAGCAGACACAGGGCAGGGAGTGCATCCCAAAGAGCCAAAGACGGTAGGAGGTTCCTTTTATCCGAAATGCCAGCCCCCACCCCCAAGGCACGTAGCTGTCAGGGGCTGGGGGAGGGGGACCACCGGTGACCGCTCCTGCGGATGGATCCCCTTGGGGGGGTGCAAGACAGCGTGGAAGCAGATGGGGCCACGGTCGCGCCTTGGGCGGCCGCTCCGTGCCCCTAAGCTGTGCACAGCGGCGGAGCGTGGGTTCCGCCCCACGGGGCGGGGGTGCCTCTGCTTTAAAACGATCGGGGTGAAGTTCCAATAAATCCACAAGATGTTCCGGAACTTCGGTGCCTTGGAAACTCCTGCCAGGGCCGCGGGATGTGCCTCACAAAAGCGGTTCAGGGATCCATGAAGGGACCGGAAGACAGGTGCTCGGAGACGCCGCGGTGGCCGCCGCGCGAGCCAGACCCCGCGTCTTTCGGGGTGCGTCCGAATGTCCCGTGGGGCGGCCCACCCTCTCTTCCCTGAAGAGCCCCACATTCCGACTAAGCGTTCATTTACAAGTGAAACTCTTTCATAGATTTCTTTTGGGTATTGTGTCATGGGGTGGTTTTTCTTCTTCTTCTTGTTCTTCTTCTAAATGAACTTCAGAGAAGTTTACAGTTTCCCAATCCCAGCCAAAGGGCGTCCGACTTAGCAGAGGTGGATGGGGAACGGCGCTTCTGGGACTCGGATCTGCGGCCACTTCCGTCCCGCGGCCGGTTCCCTCCTGGACGGAAGTGACCTCCCGAGCAGACACGCGGGCGCCCCTCCTCTAGCGGCAGGCGGCCGCCGGCGGGACGGGCGGGGTGGGCGCGGGCTCTGAGATGGAGAAACGGGGTGAGGCACCCAGGACGCCACCACGGACACCGGGCACATCCCGGCCTGTGTCCTCTGTCCACCGGTCCTTGTCCCCACGACGCTCGGCTCAGCGGCCAGCGGTTGGGACAAGTGGCACATATAAAACTCTGGGCAGAAGGCAGCTGCTGCTAGAAAGGGATGGCCTCTGTGGTCGCCTGGACCAAGGAGGGACCCCGCCCTCCAGTCCCGCGCGCCCGTGAGCAGACACCCCGCTGCCCGCCCCGGCGGAGACTGCGTGGGGCGCGGCCAGCGTGCTCCTTGCCCTGTCATTCTGGGAGGCTGAGAGGCTGCGAGGTCTGGGACTGGAATGTCCCCTTGGGTAGAAAGGAAGTTTCCCTGCACACGGCGCACGCAGGTTGTGGGGGTTTGGGACCTGGGTGGGGTGCCCCCTGGCCCAGGTGCACTCGCCTGAACTGGGGAGCAGCGGGGAAGGGTGTCCGCGGTGGCCTGCAGCCAGGAGCCGGGGGCCTCAGGCCAGAGTGAGCAAGGGCTTTAGGCGCCGGCAGACGCTCCTGCAGACGGAAGGCAAAGCGGGGGCAGGTCGGGGTGGGGGGCGAGAGTGGACGTTTCACTGTTCCGCCAACAGCGCAGTGTTGCTCAGGTGCCGGGCAGAGAGAGGGAGGCGGCTCGGGCCGAGGGGTGAGGGTCCCCAGGGCCGGGGGGCGGCGGGCAGGCGAGGCAGGCAAGACCCACGTGGGCGGGTGTCTGAGGCGACGGCGAGGGATCGCGGGAGCCGGGAAGTCCCCTGCAAGAGCCGTCAGCCCGGAGGGGAACTGGGAAGAACGGGGCCGAGGGGCGTGTGGGGTGCGGGTCAGGCCGGTGGACAGGGGCCGTGAGAGTCGGCGGGCACCCCCGCCCACGCAGCCCAGACGTGGAGCGGGGCGGAGGCTTGTCGGCCGGCGGGGCTTTGGCCACATGTAGCGTTCGTCAGGGAGAGGAAGAGCGTCCGTGAGGCGGGACCAAGGGGCCGCGGGGGCGGGGGTGGTTGCTGGGACCCCGAAAGGGCTGGACAGGACTCAACGAGGGAGCGGAACCTCGGTCCCCGCGGCGGAGAGGCTCCGTTGGCTTCGACACAGACGCTTTTAGATCCGTGGCACCAGACGTGGGTTTCACGTGTTGTTCTTCCCGGATGCCCCCACGCCGGCTGACATTCCGTGGTGTATTCGTTCTGGGCGCACAGGCTAGAGGCTGGACACCCCTTCGCCTCTTTCCGCAGCCGCCCGGCACCGGCCCCTCCGTCTGTTTTCGGGTCTGACGTATCCGTCACGTCAGAGGGCGTCTGCGTGCTGTGTCGGACGTGCTCCATGGCAGATCCGCGGAGGGGCACGTGCAGGGAGCCCGGAGGCGGCCTGGCCCCTTCCACTCACGTCCCCTTAGGGTTCCCGGTCACAGAGGCCATTGCGTGGTCACGCGTGACCCAAGGACAAGGGACCCATCGTCATTGACTCAAGTCCACAGCGGGCACGGGGCGCCGCTCTTGCTGTTGGACGTCTCCTGGGTCCGGGCAAACGTCCGATGACGTGTGTCCAGCATTAGAGCGTCACACAGAGTAGACTCAGTGCCCTCCACGTCCCCGGGGCCTTCGAGGCTGCCCTGTCCCCAGCCGGCGGCCACGGACCCTTCGCCGGGGCCGCAGCTCAGCCTTTCCCAGCGCGTAGCCTGTTCCGGCGGGGTCTCGTCACTGTGTCACCTGCACTGTGCTGTCTCCCGCGGCTTTTCGTGCCTGGACCGGTTTTATTTTCCTCGCTCCCTCCCCCCCTCTCCCGGCCGCGCTTCCTCTCTCTGAAATCAATAAACATAACCTCAGCTGAGGACTGAAAAGGAGACAGAGGGACTGGGCGTTTTACCAAGTAGTTCCAGGGCGGGGGTTTCTGCTTCCGCAAGGACCGTAAGACGTTGGGGGCCCCCGCAGGCGGCGAGGCCAGTCCGAGGAGGGTGTGGCGACGGGCCGGTGGGCGCGCCCCGCCCTCGTCGTGGGGGACGCGGCCCCCTCTGGTCTCAGACTCAGGAACTTGAAAGCAGAAGCCGTGGGAGGCTGGGCCGGGAGGTCCTTGAATTTCCACAGCGGAGGAGACTTCAGAGAAATGAAACTCCAGGGCGGGGAAGAGGGCGCGGCGTGGGCTCCGCCGCAGAGCGGGGCGCAGAGAGAAAGCGGCGTCCTCGGCGCCGGGCGCGCGCAGGAGGAGCCCAATCGCGGGCGGGGCCGGGGCGGCGGGCCTTCTGTGTCCGCGGGGGCAGCTCATGCCTGTACGTGGACGCGGGTCCGGACTCTCCCCTGCGCCCCGGGGACTCGCTCTGGCCGCTGGGCGAGGCTGGGCGGTGCTTCCCGAAGACAGCCACGTCCGAGCCGCCGCTCCCGGGCCTGCGGGGCTGACACGGCGGGTGGGCACACACCGCCACGCAGCAGCTGCCACCGCGACACGTATGTCTGAACACAGACACCCCGACAAACAGCGAAGGAAGGGGCCGGCCACGCCGGTCTGGTAATTAATCCATCGACCTTAAGAAGGGAAACTTAGAAGCGACAGGCGTCCGGCGCGGCCGCACGGCAAGATGGCCCCCCACCCCCGTCCGTGACACGGAGCGGGCACCGCAGCATTCGCAAGGGCGCAGGGCGAACGGTTCCGGGTGGGGCGGGCGCTCCCAGGTGCGGAAACGAACTCCCCTGCCCGCTGCGGCCGGGACAATACCCTGTTCCGGGAACCTGCACGCTGTACGGGAAGAGGTGGGATGCGGTTTCCCTGCGAGGGACCGTCGGGAAAAATCAGGCAGCGCCCGGGGCGGGGGCGGGGGGCGGCAGAGGCCACCCTGCGTTCTGGCCCGTCCCTGTTGGGGGGCCGGCGGCCACCGCGCCGGGGGTCCGTCTCTCCGTCTGGCGTGGCGCTCGGGCTTTGCAGGCGGGAGGCAGGGCGTGTGTCCAGCGGGACCCCTTGTCTTTGCACAGCGTGCCTGTGTTGGCCCCACCGCACCATGGCTCTGCTGGCGAGGGCCGCCCTGCTGGCGGCGCTGCTTACGCCCGCCCTCCTGCTCGCCCCTCAGGGTAAGTGTGGGCACCTGCCGGCCCCTCTCTGCCCCTGGCGCCCACGGGCCCGGTGTCTCGGGAACACGTCCCACGACGGGGTGCAATGTGGTGCTGTCGTCTCCAATGTATCTTTGGGAGCTTGGATGGGACGCCCCCCGCCCCCTGCCCCCCGCCCCGGTGCTCTGCCGGCAAGGAAGCAGAGGCTCCGACGCCACCCCGGTTAGCCCTAAAAACCATCCGCAGACGCTGAGACCAGCATCAAGACCCGGGTCGAGGGGAGGACACGGGAAAGGGGCCAGCGAGCCCCAAGCCTGGTCTAAGCGCAGGAGACGCAGGACGTGTCGCTGGAGGGGCGCGGACCCTGGAAAAGTGGTTTCTGAAGCCGCTGGCCTGGTCCTTCAGGTCTCCCGACCGCGGACACCGTCCCCAGCATCAACCTGACGTTCGACCCCAGGACGAGGAACCTCACCTGGCGCTGCACAGAGAACATCACGGCTGTCCTCTGTGCCATGACAACAGCGGACAAGGGGCCGGCGATGGTGAGGGTAAGAGGCACCGCACGCGCCGCGCTGGGGCCTGCCACGCCCCTCGCGCCAGGTGGGAGCCCAGACGCCCCCGGGCTCGCGCGGCGCACGCAGGCGCGACGTGGGGCGCGGTGGGGAACGGTGCGCACCCAGGAAGTGCGGGCCCGCGTCCCAGAGGCGTCCCGCGGCCGGGTTTCCTGGGAGACAAAGGAGCTCCCTGGAAAATGTCTGACCGTGAGAGTCCAGCCAGGGTGGCTACTGTGTTTGTAAGAGATGGACTCAGCTCAGAGCTTCCACGAGGGCGGAGCCGGCAGACAGGGGGGCACCCGACGGGCCCTTAGACACCAAGGAAGGGGAGCGGGGCTGGCGGGCCCCAGAGGGGACCCGGAGCCGCCGCAGTACATTCCGGGTGGACCCTCGAATGGCCCCCGGAATTTCCAGGGGTGCGTTTCGGGGGGCGAAACGTCCCCCACCGCAGTCACGGGGGAGACCAATGGTTTGTTCTCTGGCTCGCAGCTGTTGAGAGAAGCCCGGCCACCCACCCTCGTAAAACACTCACTTTCGGGGGGGCTGCTCCATCAAAGGTCCCGCAGAGTTCACCCTGAGAAACAAACAAAGAGCGTTCAGGCGGAGTGTTCAACGGAAACAAAGTAGCAGCCTGAGTGGGCCACAGGGCGCGGGAAAGCCTCGGGAGGCTGCGGGCTATGGCATAGGACAAGAAAACGCAAAAGCATCAAAGAGGGCGCGTGGAGCTCCGTGACGTCTACGGCGAGGCGGGCTCTCCCTGGCCATGCAGGGCACCGTCACACCCCCTGAGGGCCTGTGGGAAACGCAGACCCTCCGGCCATGCCTCGGCCTTGCTGAACGGGCATGGGCAGCTTTGCAAGATCGCCGGAGCTGTGCACGCTCTCCTGATCTTGTCAGTGCCACTGTTGGCTGTGACGTCGAGCTCCCACCGGCCGGGTGGCACGGGGACATCGATCCAGAGAAGGGACGTGGGCAGGGGAGGGGGTATTTCATGCAGGGGGAAAGACCCCGCCCCAGACTTCAGAAAGGCGCAAGCGGGATCATGGGGAGAGGGGACCAGCCTGTGTCCTCATTCACTGGATGGTGGCATCTTTGTAGGTCAAGGGGAAAAGATGCCATTGCACATTCCAAGACAGTATTCTCCACACGGGCGTCACGTTCACGGTGACAGCCAACATCGGCCACCGGCAGATTGTGGAAAAACTGGTCTACACGAACCCAGGTAGGGACGACCTCCCAGCGGCCCTGCTCCATCCCACGGGGCACCCAAGGAGATGCCTCTGTTTTCAGCTCCACGGAGATAAAACGGAAACACGGTGGGTGTTTATATTGACGGCGCACAACGTGGGGCTTTGATACACGTGCGCGTTGTGACATGCTTTGGATACTCAAGGTAGGAACCTCCCCGCCGTTTCCACGGATGCCATTCCCTTTCTCTGATGTCTCTATTTCCTTTTTTTGTGCGGAGAGCGCACAGGAAATGGGCTCCGCTCGCGGACGTCAAGGGAACGCGGCGTTAGAGTCCACCAGATCCTCCCTTCGGACACGCAGAACCTATTCCTTCCGGCCAGACGGGCCCTTTGTGCCTTTTCCCGTTCCCCCCGCGCCCCAGCCTCACCGCTCTGCTGTCTGGTCCTGGGCGCTTGACGAGCTCGCATCCCCGCTGCCTGAGATCAGACAGAATCTGTCTTTTTCTGAGCATCAGGGTTTGCAAGTCCGAACACGTTGGCGCCCACGGCAGCATGTCCTAGGGTTAGGGTCTGGGCCACGGTGTGGTGTCGTGGCTGAATAACCGTCTATTATGGAGATCTCCCACATTTGTTTATCCTCAGTCAAGGGCACGTTTATGGGTTTCAGAGAGAGAGGAAGGCAGGGGGAGAGGGAGAGAGAGACGGCGAAGTGAGAGAGAAACATCGTTTGGTTGCCTGTGTTTCGTACCCCAACCTGCAGCCTAGGTATGCACTCTGACCCGGAATCGAACGCACAACCTTTTGGTGAACAGGACGACACCCCACCGTCGGAGCCACCGGGCCAGCGATCTGCCACACTTTCTTGACCCACGAGTCCATCCGTGGACAATGAGGCGGTTGGCACTGCTTGACGGCTTTGAAGAGCCCCCCCGATAAACACGGGGGGCCAGGCTCGCTCTTCAAGAGCTGGAGTTTGTTCTCTGTAAACAACTCTCCAGAAGTGAGATCGCTGAATCATACGGGAGTTCAGTTTTGAATCGTTTGAGGAACTGCCTGGTTCTGCACAGGGTCGGCACCAGCCCGGCATGAGGGCCCCCTTGGGCGCCCGCCCTCGCCCGCGGGCAGCATCTCTCGTCAGACGATGCTCCTTCTGACAGGCGTGTGAGGCGAAGCGGCTCCCTGCCCTGTCGATGGGCACAGCCCTGACGATGAGCAAGAGTCAGCACCTTCTTTGCAGGCTGGGCTGCCCAAAACCTGTGTGTCGTTTTTTCCTGTAAAGCGAAACACACGTTTTTCATTTTCACCTCAAAGTTTGTGGCTTTGCATATGTGGAGGGTGTCGGCTGTCTCCCGCTATTGCCTGCTAAGGGGGGAGCGGCCCCGGGCTGCTGGCGAACACCTTCCCACGCCTGAGACAGCCCCACAGCAAAGAATCGTTCGGCCGCAATGCCAGCAGTACCAACACACTTTGCCGGCCCCTTTGCACACCTTCGCTCTGCCGCAGCCCCTTCTCCACACACGGCACAAATGTGTGTGTGTGTGTGTGTGTGTGTGTGTGTGTGTGTTTCACCTGCATTTTTACCTTTCTTGAAAAAACAAAGCATAACATGCTGCAAATGTCACCTATTTGCTTCCATCTTCCATATGGCTAGACCAAAAATCAGCAATTTTGAGGCTTTTTAAAAAACGCACGCTCAGCCCTGCCTGGTGCGGCTCCGAGGGTTGAGCGCCAGCCTGCAAAGAGAAGCATCACCGGTTCGATTCCCGGTCAGGGCACAGGTCTGGGTCTCGGGCCAGGTCCCCAGTGGGGGGAGCGCGAGAGGCAACCACACATACATGTGTCCCTCCCTCTCTTTCTCCCTCCCTTCCCTTCTCTAAAAATAAGTAAATAAAACCTTTAAAGAACACACACACAAAAAAAATAGGGCACCTCTATCTTTTTAAAAAATGCATGCAGAGGTGACAGCTCTCACTGTACAATCTAAAAACTGTCTGGAACGAACCCAAAGACAACGGAGTGTGAGTAGATCCATGGTCAGAAAAAAACAGAGGGACTTTTGGGGCCACCCCGAGTCTTGCCCATCTGCTTGTCCTCTTCGGAAAAACGTCTCCTTAGGTTCCTTTGCCCATTTCGTAACCCAGTGACCGGGGTGTTCTCTTCCTTGTTTTCTGTCATGGAGCTGTCTAAGCTCCTTATGTGCTTTGGGTAGTCGCCTCTTATTGCACACAGATGATGGGTGAGTATTCCCTCCCCCTTGGTCGGTTGCCGTCAGCAGCCTGCTCTTTGGGTGAGGATTTCTACGTCTGCATTTACCACGCGTCTTTCTTTCCCTGTGTCTCTGTTGGTCTTCGGCGTTAGTCTGCTGCTGTCCTTATGAAATGAGTTGGGAAGCGTCCCCTCCCCTCTTAGTTGGAAGCGTTGAAGAAGGATGCATATCGCTGCTGCTCTAAGGATGCGGTGGAGGAGCCAATGCTGCAGCCATCTGGTCTACCCACGTTTTCCCCTTGAGATGTCCATTCCCTCGTTTCTGTCTGTCCCCAGGCAGGAACGGCACGGCCGCAGAAAACTTCTCCTGTTTCATCTATGACGCGGATTTCATGAACTGCACATGGGCAAAGGGCCTCGCCGCCCCCGACGACGTCCAGTATTTCCTGCACCTGCAAGACATCAAGTAAGCACACCTGTTCCCCAGGACGCCCGTGAGAAACACAGCGCAGACGCAAAACAGGACGTGTCCTGACTGCTGTCGGAACACGCTGGCCTCTTCCAGGACACGGAGGGAGCGAGAATGCAACCACTACGTGTCCGAGTCCGGGACCCACGTGGGGTGCCACCTGGACTATGTCTCCGAATTGCGTCACCACATCCAAGTCCTGGTGAGCGGCACCAGCCAGCAGGCCGCCATCCAGTTCTTTGACGCGACTTTGTTGTTAAAGCAAATAGGTAAGAGGCAGGATCCGCACCGAAACCGATGCCTGTGTGTCACATACAAGGACCATTGAAATCTGCCTGTGTCCTGGGGTTGCTGTAGGCCCCACAGGGCCACAGACTTCAGGATTCAAACGTTGTCTATTTTTCTGCTCCCGCCTCCCCGTCCTGCGGACCCGGCGTCTGAGGTCCTTGTGCCCTGGAGCCGCGCTCCCTCCCCAGGCTCCAGGGAGGGCCCTCCCCGCCTCTCCCCGCTCCGGGGACCCCGGCGTCCCTGGGCGGGTGGCCGCGTGCCTCCCGTTTCTGCCTCCATCTCCACGGGGCGTCTCCTCGGGGTCTGCGTCTCCTCCTCTGTCTCTCTCAGGACCCCGTCCTTGGACATAGGGCCCCCCCGACGCAGGGCGACCTCCTCTCAGATCTTTCGCTGAATCGTATCTTGAAACCTCCTCTTTCCAAAGAGGTTCATGAATAATCATAGAACTCGCTCCTTTTAGGGCTTGCCACGGTTAGGCACTCTCCCTCCCTGTTCATTTGCTCTTGATTCTGTGGAACAATGTGGCCACGTGCTCAGGACCTGTTGCCGAGACAGTGTCTCCCCTCTGGTTTCCCGTGGAAGGGGACACAGCGACATGTGACAGCACAGGCCCCCCACGGAGGAAGCAAAGGCCTTCCCGCCGTCCTGGTGGCTCGCGGCACAGCCTGGACACGCAGTTGATAGCAAAGCCGCCCACGCCCAGCCCTCAGCCAAAGGGTGGACAGGACGCGAGTGCTCCTCCCTGCAGGTCCCTGCATGGGTCACCCACCCCGGGCCGGTCATCAGATTTTCTCTTGACTGATGTGGGGGCAGCAGGGCCGTGTTCCCCTAAGTGAGAAAGGCAGTCTCCCCGGAAAAGCAAGCAAGCGAGCAGACCGTAGAGCAGCTCCTGCAGGTCGTTCTCAGGGTCCCCCCGCTGGCTTGCTGTCCCCCGATCCCGGGCGTGGGGCGACGTGGCTCGGAACCTGCCCGCCACCTTGCTGGACGACCCTTACGGCTCCCGCGGTCCCGTGGCCCCTGCCCCGCACAGCCCGAGCCGCAGGCCTGCTGGGTGCTCACGGGGAAGACTGATAGCAGAGGAAAATGCCTTCCATGCCCACTACGCCATGAACGCCGTGGCGTGTGCCAGCTCACCTGCGTCCGCACCCCCGGCTGCCGGCCCTGGGCCTCCACGCAAGCGCGCTGGCCGAGCCGGCCTCTCTCTCTCTGCCTTCCCTGCCGGCTCCACGGGCGGGGGCTCCTCAGAGCGGAAAGACAACCGCCTTGGCCCAAACACGCTGGCCCGCGCGTCGGAAAAAAGTCCCATCCTCCTTTTCGGTGTTGCTGGCATTTTCATCTAAGCTCTGGCTGTGGTTTTGCGATGTCGAGTACGAGGGACAGCGTGGGTCCCGAGCTCTTGACACTCTCGGAGTTTCCGGACAGGAGCGTGAACACGCTCTCTCCAGTTAGGTCGGCGGGGTGAGATTTGAAACGGCCCCGTCCGGGCTGGGGCCGATCTCGGGCGGGCGTGGGGGGCGGGGGATCATGTGACCCCAGGGCTGGGACTTTGCGCCCTGACCCCTACTGAGATGGGACCGGCCGCACACACTTTCGGACACCTGTGTTGTCAGACGTGCTCCGGCAAGGGAGCCTTCGTAAAAACCCAAAAGGCCAAAAGAACGGGATTCTTTGCGCTGACGGGTTGGCGAGCCCGTGGAGATACGGGGAGAGGGGCGCGCTGTGTGTTCTGCGTTTGGGAATCCGGGACGTCAGGGACAGCGTCCGTCCCATTAAACGGCCGTCCGATCTCCCCAAGGCAGACGTGGATTCAGTGGGGTGGGAGGCCCCCGGGCGTGGGGGCTGGGTGCCACGTTCCCAAACACAACCTGAAAAGGTTGCAATGAGGAATCAGGGCCGGGCGCATGGACTTGCAGGATCACCCATTAAAATGGAATCAGGTAACAACGGCTCCGTGCTTCCCAATGCCTTCTCCTCGCTCCCCGCCCCCCAAGCCCCCCCTGGCTGGCCACCATCAGTCTGCTCTCTGTCTGTACCCCTCTCTGTTCTCCTCCTAGACTTGTCGGGGGCATTGCTTGTAAACTGAGTAAACATCTGATCGTGGCCGGGCGTCTCAGTGGGTTGGAGCGTTGTCCCGTGCCGCAAAAGGTCACGGGTTCGAGTCCCGCCCAGGGCGCGTGCCTGGACTGTGGGTTCAGTCCCTGGACGGGGCGCAGATGGGAGGCAACCGATGGCTGTTTCTCGCTGACATCTCTCTCTCCCCCCAAACCCCCTCAACATGGAAAATAAATAAGTAGACATTAAAAAATAGAAAATAACATGGAAAATAAATAAGTAGACATTAAAAAATAGAAAATATTTTTAAAGAAGGACTCGGAAGCATGGCTGCCACGCTGTTTCCTGCCGGAACCGCGGTAGTGGGTCCCCGTGAACCCAGCGCCCAGTTATCGCTGCCGTGCGCCGCCCAGTCTGTTCCAAAGGGCGCGTGCGGTCCCTGCTGGAAACTGCGACCCCACGTGGACCCGGGGTCTCCCTGCCTCTCCCGTCGGGTCACCCCACCTGTGCCGAGAACCACAGGACCGTACCAAGGAGCCACCTCCTTCTCCACAGAACCCAGAACCCCACAGGAGGGCCTGCAGCCCCCCCATCGCAGGCCGCGGTGAATTGGGGGTGCTTGGGGTTTATTTTTCCAGGCCTTCCTTTTCCCCGCCTCCTGCCCAGGATGGTTTGTCGGAGGTCGTCTCTTGCCAAGCGCCCCGTCTCTATACCCACCGGCTCCCTGGCCCCAAAGTGTGCCACGCGCCTCCGAGGCTGCCCGCCGCCCCATGAGCCTCGGTCCTGCCCCCAAAGGCACCGCGGCCTCCGGCCCTGGGCCCCCGGCACCCCACTTTCCTGTCCTCGGCGCCCAGCCGCCAGCCCATCGTGTCCCCTACGCGCCCACACGGACACGCCCGCGCCCCCGTGGACCCCGAGAAGGCGACCGACCGTGACAGACTGGGCGGTCTCCCTCACGGCGGTCGCGTCGGCGGCCCAGAGGCAGGGCTCCGGCTGAGCCGCGCCCCCTCCCGGGTTCCGCCCACAGAAATCCACAGCCCCCCCAGCAACGTGTCTGTGGCCTGCAACACGTCCCACTGCGTCATCCGCTGGGAGAAGCCCCGGAGCCACTTCAGCACGTCCAACCGGGACTTCCAGTACCAGCTGCGCATCCAGAGACAGGTGCGTGACCGCGGCTCCGCGCGGAGAGCCGGCCGGCAGGCTGAGGGCTCCGTGGGAGGTCCGGGGCGGCGGACACGGCTGGGGCCCGTGCAGGCTGGGGCGGGCCGCGTGGGCACAGGTGTTCTTCGGGGAGCATCACCGGGGCCACAAAGAGGCAGACCCAAGAGGCCACGCGGCTCTGCACAGCGACGCTGGATTCAAAAGCAGACGCAGAAAGGGAAGGACCCCGCGTGACACGTCGCCCTGGACCCGGGGGAGACGAGGAGGGAGCCCCCGCTCCCTGTGCCCCTGGATTGAATGAGGGTCCGCCGCCCGCTCGGGCGCAGAAGGAGGCCGGCCGGCTGCCTGCGGACCCGCTGCGTCCGCCTGCCCACGCTCCCCGTCCGGGGCGGCGGCGCAGGGCAGTGGGTCGGTCGCCCCCTGCGCTCGGCCGCCCGGCTGCCTGTCTCCCCGACAGACCTCCGACGCGGGACGGCACACAACGTCAGAAAACCCTTTCACGTGGCGAAAACGAATGCCTTTTTGTTTTTCTGTTTCTAGAACAGGGAGCAGCACAGCGACAACCCGCTGGTGAGTGAATGGTCCGAGCCAGGCGGCCGCGCTTTGGGGCCTCATCCCGTGTCGGTCACGTGCACCCGGAAATGCACGGCAGAGCTCGCCGGGGGCGGTCCACGGGGGAAACGGAGGTTCCCGGGGGGTCCCATGGAGTCCCGGATGTAGGGGCGCCTCCCGGAACCCCCTGTGGGTGGGGCCTTGTGTTCACTCGTGGGGCACATCCCGTTTGTTGGAACCGATCTCAGATCCTCCGCGTCGTCCCGTTGTCTTCTTGCTGCTCGCGTGCTGCTCAAGAGGAAACCATACTTCTACGCGGTCAGGAGGTGACGTCCTCCCTCAGAACACGGCTCCTCCCCGCCTGTGTTGGGGCCAGGGCGTAAGTGCCCGGCCAGCGTGACCGCGGGACCGTGCTCTATTCAGTGAGGAAGCTGGACGTGATTCTTGTAATGTTCCCCAAAAGGGACGCGATCTGGCCGTGGTGAGGTTCTCATTCCGTGAGCTCCTGTAAAGCGCCTGCACCTCCGGGGGCGATGGCCTAGCCCCAGGGGAGGCGATGCGGGGAACAAACGAGTCGGCGACGGCCGTCTCCTCCGCTGCCCGGCACAGGCTCTAGCAGGGGAGGACCCGCCTTCCCTTTGTCCAGCCGCCGCGCCGACGCGTGTCCCTCTCCGTAACGGAACGGTTTCTCTGTGCTCACGACATTTCCCTTTCACTCCGCGACGTCCACGCGTCGATGCCAAGGTTGTGGCTGGCGGCTGCTCCTCGCTGTCACGTCCGCAGCGGGGAAAACGTCAGCACCCTCGCTTTCTGTTCCCCGGCGAACTTCCTTGTTCTCTCTCGCTTCCGCGAACCCTCTTCTCGTCCGGCGACCTTTCTGTGCCAACCTCCGCGAGCTTTCTGTTCCCTCGGGAACTTTCTCTGCTAACGCCTTCCGGCTTTCTGTTCTCCCCCCAGGTGGAGGTATCTGGGGATTCAGGAAATAAGTACAACTTCCGGAGCCCTCAGCCCAGAGCCAAACACACGGTGCAAATCCGAGCGGCCGACAGCAGGGTGCTCCAGTGGGGGGCGTGGAGCCCGCCGGCCGAGTTCGGTAAGTATCCCCAGAGCCTTGTTGGGGTCCGGTCGCCCCCGGACCAGACCTCAGGACCCAACCAGGGGCCTGAAAAATTTCTACGTGAGGGCTGGGGCAGCGGGGTGGCCTGGCCCTTCATAAAGGGCCATCCCCAAAGGAAGGGGCACAAACTCTGTCTTCCTCACGTCCCCACCCCAGCGGGAAATCCTCCCCGCGGGCCCCATGCCGCAGCACCGGCCTTGTGTGCTCCGGGCAGGAGGGAGCGGACATCCACCTGCGGCCGTTTCCTCCGGGAGGGATGTTCTAGGAACGGCATGAGCGTCGAGGGCCCCCTGCTTCCTCCCCCCGACTTTTATTACTTGCAGGGAGTCAGAGCTTTGGTACAAAGGCCAACCGGGCACGTACAAAGTTGCCAGCCTCCCAGCGCCTGGAAATTTTAAAACGTTTCCGTGTTTAGCATGGAATTGTTCCACCGAGAGGTGGTATGTGTTTTCTTTTCCGGACCCAACATCTGGGGCTTTTATTACCACCAGTGTAGGACTGGGAGGCAATATCGGCTCCGTGGTACTTCATACCCTGGAAGGGACAGCTTAGGGCCGTGTGGAATCAATCAGCAGTCTTGCGCTTAACAGCGGACCTTTGGGTAGGGGTCCAAAAGCAAGAACAACAAAGAAAAAAAGGAGGTACAAAGGAGTTTATAAAAATGAAAAAGTTGGGCGTTCGAGGGTGCTCTCGAAGCCGCGAAAAGACAAGCCCCCACACGGGAGGGAATATTTGCAAACGGGGTATCGCTGAAGGAGTTAGTACCCGAGACGTACAAAGTAACCTAGGACCGCGGCAACTGAAACACCAGCACAAAAATGGGTGAGAAAGGGGCAAAAAAAAAAGAAGAGACGTTTCCAGGCAGGCGGGCGGAAACTGGCTGACGTGTTCAGCTTACCATCTCGAAGAAGCCCTTTGGGCAAAGAGTATATGGTGTTTGTAATAAGGCGCCTTTTATGTTCCTTTTCAAAGAGCACTGAACACTCGCTTTGGTTTTGATAGTCCTCAGAGAGCGAGGTGTTTTCATTGGATTTTTAAATGTGAACAGGTAAGCTTTGGGCAGGTGTCTCAGGTGGTTGGAGCATCGCCCGAGGCGCCGAAATATCGCGGGTTCGATTCCTGCGGCAGGAGGCAACCGATGGCTGTTTCTCTCTCACGTTACTCTTGCTCGCTCGCTCGCTCTCTCTGTGTTTGACTCTCTTTCTCTTTCTGTTTCATCATTAAACACATCCACGGGGGAGGAATGACATAAGAAAGACATAAGAACACATAAAAGGGGCTCCGTGATAAAAAAGAACACATCCCACGCACAGAGCGCTGAGCGGAGACAACACGCAGACCCTGAAGCCGTAGGACGCGGGGGAGCCCGCCGCGTGGCAGCTCCCAGTCCGCAAATCGGCCCTCGTAGCTGTGTGTCCATTTTTAAGTCACGTTCGAGCCGCGGAAGGAGGTGGCTGAGGGCTGAGGACTCACCCGGAGGGGCCCTGCGTGTCTTTCTCTGTCCTCAGGCTCCGGAGAACGGCCGCCCAGCCTGGTGCACGTGTACCTGCTGGTGATCCTGGGAACCGTCATCGGCACCGTGATGCTGGGCTACCTCTTTAAAAGGTAACCCCGGTCGCAGGCTGGATCGCTGACACCCTCGGCGAAGGGCACGATCGAGACGCTTGTTCCCAAATGCGCTCACGTCCGCCGCGGAGAGAAAGGCGCCCGGCCGAGACCGCACAGAGGCTCCGTGGGTGGGGGCCCGGTGGGCTCAGATCGTCCCCTCGTGTGCCGCTGCTCCGAGGGGGTCTAGAGGGGCAGCCAACCTGAGGGGGCCGTGTTCGGGGCCCCCGATGCCGACCCGGGACGCCCGTCCTGAGATGCCTGCCCTTGTCTGCACCCCTCACTTGTGCAGACGTCGGTCGCCCTCTGAGCTCAGCGGTGCTCACCACGTCGTGTTCGTGCCTCAGGCCGCGTGGTGCTCCGGAACGTTCCCGTCTGTCTCCATGTCCCCCCATAACTCTTGCTGAGCCTCCTGGGGTGTTGGGGCGCCGCTTTGCCATGAAGCCCGTGCACGCACGTAGCTCGGTCTCAGCTGCCCGCGGGCTGCCGAGAATGGGCGCAGAGGGCAGGGAGGCTGGGGACGTCCGGCCGAGCCCGTCCTGCCTGCGGGGAGGCCCGTACTGGGTTCACGGCCTTCGGGGCGGGGACGTCGCATCCACGCAGGGACACTGGCGTGACTCCCACAGACTTCGCCAAAGAAGAGCCGTGGGAGGGGCACCCATGGCCGACAACAAACAACCGGAAACCAGGCGGTTAAACCACAGAGCCCCCGTTCAGTCCGCGCCAGCTGCTGTGACCAGCTTCTACCTGCTGGGACAGGACACAGCAGAAATGTATTGTCCCTTGTCCTGGAGACCCGGCGTCCGAGGTCATCCAGGGGACCCGGGGCCGCCCTTCCCGCCTCTCCCACCTCCGGGGGCCCAGGTGTCCCCGGGCGGGTGGCCGCGTCCCTCTCTCTCTGCCTCCGTCTCCGCGGGGCGTCTCCTCGGGGTCTGAGTCCCCGCTTCTGTCTCTTCCCAGGACCCTGTCCTTGAACGCAGGGGCCCCCTGACCTCAGATCCTTCACTCCTCCCACCTGCTGCGAGTCTATTTGCAAACAAGGTCCCGGGGGTCAGGCCTTGAGTGTATCTTTTGGGGCCGCCGTTCGGCTCAGCCCCAACAGCTATTCATGTGCGAGCATCGAAGGTGCTTTCTCTGCAGTGACAAGCACAGAAACGCTCCTGTGAAGATGCAGCAACATGCGAATGGAACGTGCTGGTTGCGTAACCAGACGAAAAATAAGTCGCCAACCGCACGGCGGGCACGTGGGTTACGCTTGGGTGGGATAGGGGGCGTGGGCCTCACGCAGCCCCCCAGTCCCCCAGCAGAGCCCCTGGACTCCCCGTAGCTGCCCGCGCTGGGCACGTCCCCACGCCCCTCCCGGCATCCGCCTGCCCGGGTGAAGGTTCTAGAGAGACCCTCACAGTCCCCGGTCTGCATTCCTGCGGTGTCCCCTCGTTTCTGTTCTCTGAGATTCGAGTCCATTCTGCAGAGAGGCTGGAATGGTGTCGCTCTGAAGGACGAGCCTGATGTCCTCTCGGGTCCAGGCAGAGCCCCCCCGGGCCCCCGCCGCCGGGCTCTGGAGGAATGGCTGCCACCTTCGTTCGTTCTGATACATTGTGTTGTCCCTCCAGGTTCCTGGGGACGCCGATTCCGCAGATCAGAGACAAACTGAACAAGGAGGACGACGAGGTTCGTGGGGCGGGGGGCGGGGGGAGCCAGCGTGGAGGGGGCCCGTGAGCCTGGACATGCCCCTCCCCCTCCGCCTGAGTCCCCCAGACGGGAGCGGGAAGGTGCGGCGGGGGCCCTGCGTCCTGCTCGGGGGCCGGGCCCTGGGGTCAGGAGCTACGTCTTCTCCGTGAGCTTCCGTATTTTGCCGTGTATCAGGCGTGCGTGCGCGCCCGAACGTTTGAGGGAAAAAGAAGGGCGCACGTTATACGTGCGTATAATGCTCACCTACCGTGGGTGTGTTAATGCGTCTAATAATCCCGTGTATAACGTGCACAACAATGCGCAATTGCTGCGTTGTACACAGCACAATACGGCACATCCGGGGAAATGGACAGACAGACAGAGGGGCATCTGTCCCGGTGTCCTGAAGCCAGGGCCCCGGGGAGTGAAGAATGACTTATTCTTGTCTTCCTCTTGCTGGTGGCTCGAGCTCTGCCCCGTGGCCGCCGACACTGGACGTCCCGCGGTCGTCCTAGCTGCCGCCTCACAGCCGGCTCGCCGCCCCCCCCGCCTCGAGCTGGGCGTCCCTCTCGTCACTACCATCGGCCCATGTCCGGCCCCTCCCGGCCCCACCTCGCGAGGTCCTGCTGGCTCCAGGACGAGCCACCTCCCCGGCTCTCCTCCCCAAGCTCCGTCCTGCCCCAGGACCTCTGCACGGGCCGCGCGGGCCCCCCATCCCCCCTTCACAAGCCCTGCGGATGGGCAGCCGTAATAACCCGTCAGCCACCGGCCCCCCGCCCCGGGCAGAGCGGCCCGAGCTTTGTCTCCGCAGCCCCAGGGCCAGCCGGCCGCGCTCCGGACCGCCTGACGCCCGCCTTCGCTTTCTCCCCCGCAGATCATCTGGGAGGAACTGCCCCCGGCCTCGGGGAAGGGTGACCCCGAAGAGGCCATCGCTGTCGAAGAAGTCCGGGTGTCCTCTGTGAGCGTGTGCACCTCACACACCTCCCGCCTCGAGTCCTTTGGAAAGTTGTCTGAGTGTTGAAGGGCTCGGAGCGTGAATAAAGCTTTGTGTGTGTGTGGTTGATTGACGTGTGAATCTGGAGAAAAAAGAAAAAAAAAACACCTCCCTGGACGGACTGCCGGCCCCGCCAGCTGAGCAGCTCCTGGAACCCTGTTTCCACCCACCGGACTGAGAGCTGCCCCTTCCAACCGGCGGAGCGCCCAGCTACGGCCCCACGGCCTCGTCACCGACCGGCCCGGCCCATCGGAGCGGCTCATTCACGAGCCATCAGGACAGGGCCTTGGGGACCAATGGCACTGAAGATGGGGAGCCCTCGTCGGCACGAGAATGGTCCAATAGGGGCCCGGGGCGGGGACCTCTGTCTATAAAAGCGAGCGCCCGGCTTGGCGGGGAGCAGGCGGGCCCCGGGAGGGGCCCACCGCCCTGTGTTCGCCCAGCAATGCTGCGCCTCCACGGAGCTGTGTTCCTTCCTCACCCCACCCCAAACGGGAGCCCCCGCCGCGGCGTGGCGTGGGTGTGCAGCGCCAGAGGCTGGCCGCGCTGAACTTGAGAGCCTTGGGCTACGCGCAGGGAGCCAGGTGGCGAGAGGCAAAGAGCATGTGCTCTGTCCTATAAAGCGGAACCCCCTGAATGCGGGAGCGGAACAAAATAGAACCAGGGATGTGGAAGCAAGGAACTGGCTGAGCGTGGCCGGAGGCGGGGGGGAGGGGATAAGGGAGGAAACGGGGGCGGGGGACGTCCAGGAACACGGATAAAGGACCCGTGGACACGGGTGGGGGGGATTGACTGTGGGGGGGGGCGGGGCCCAGGCGGAAGAAAGCAGCTGGGAAACATAGAGACAACGGTAAGACAACAGTCACATTTCTTAAAAGGCGCATTTTCCACAGATGCTTGTGGTTGGAGAGATTGTGCAATATCCGTCACGTTGCATCTTCCGAGCTCCCTTCTTCCCCTCCCCTGAAGAGCTAAATGTTACTTCAAATCGCTGAGGGGCCGTCCCAGCTTGCAGCCACCCCCTCCCCCTCCCCCGGAGGCGGGGGCAGGGCAACGTCCCCTGCCAGAACGGGTGTGTTCCCCTCCCCCTCTCCCCGCTGAGGTTTACCGGGAGAGTCTCCCATGGCTCCTGGACAAGCGACAAAGACTTAGCGGCTCACAGCACGGATCTAGGGCCCCAGAGGTTCTAGAGGTTCCCGTGTCCCTCTTATAATGACTGTGTGACACCATGAAGCCGCTGGATAACGGAACAGCATCTCGCCTCCAACTTGGAAGCCACCCATTGCTCTGTGCCTCCCTCCCTCCCTCTCTCTGTCTCTCTGTGTCTGCGCATATCTGTCCCACCATCCATCTACTCAACTATCTATCATCGGTCTACCCACCCACCTATCCACCCTTCGCCTCGCTATCGACCCATTTATCGCCTATTCCTTCCTCATCTATCCCTCCAGCCATGTATCCAGCTGTTCGTCCGTCCATGTATTTATTCACCATGCCGCTATTCATCGATCTACCCATCCATCACCGACATGTCTATTCACCCATCTGCCCATCACCCATCGAACCATCTATTTAGTCTTCCTGTCTGTCTGTCTACCATCTGTCTATCCATCCATCTGTCATCTGTCTATACATTTATCATCCATTCATCATGTGTATATCCGTCCCTCTATCCACCATGCACGCATTCATCCATCCATCTATTTATTCACCATGCATCTATTCATTGATGTAGCCCTCCATGATCTATATGTCTATCTATCTATCATCTATCTATTTATCATGCCTGAACCTATGTATCTAATGTTCTTTTTCTCTCTTTCTTTCTCTCCTTCTGTCTCCCTATTGCTGTCCTCTGGTCTTCCTCTCTCCCTCTCTGTCAAAATTTCCCCTCGGACATGAGCAAAGCCCGCCGACCTGTTCGGTCTGAGGGTCTCAGGGCCCCTCCCTCCCGGTGGCACCCACGCACGCGGCCCCCTGACACTGGGGAACCCCCCGCAGTCAGGGGCACCTGCTGCCGTGTGTGGGTGGCCGGGCCCAGTTGTGAGGGGAACACAGAACGGGGACACTCTCAGTCACCGTGCCCACGTCTGCCTCGCCCTTGGTTCCTTCTCCGGTGGCGCACCCGCCGGTTCGCGTGGGGACCGCAGTCCTTCAGGGACGCGCCGCGTCCCTGCAGAACCCTGGAAAGATGTCCTAGACTGACGTATGGCTTGCACATGATGAAACGGGCCTCTTCTGATCCCACGGTCGCGGGGGCTCTCGCACACGTGTGACGTGTGTGAGCCCTTCCCGCGCGTGGCACGGGGCCGCCCAGTGGGTTCCCGCCCTGTCTGAGGGGACCCGGCGGCAGGCTGCCGCCCTCATTGGTGCAGTCGTGGGGTCTCACGGATGACATCCCATGAGAGACGGCCTCTTCCGGGGCGCGGGGAGCTTGGCGTGCCTTGCAGATTGGCTCCCATTTTGGTGTATCCAGAGAAGGGACCGGGCTCTCTGGAGACACGTGTAGATGGCTCTTCGCAGGTGAGGACTTCCACTTCTGTCCCTAGTTCCTGCCCTTGGTCATCACAAATGCGTGTGCGATCGGGGCAAATGCTTTTTGCCTCTATTGCGAGAAACATGGAGATTTCGCGGTTCACCTCGTGAACATGATGAGTCGTTTTGGTTGATTGTCCTTTTTTTTTTTAAAGATTTTATTTAGTTATTTTTCGAGTGGGGACGGGAGGGAGCGAGAGAAACATCCGTGTGTGGTTGCCTGTCACACGCCCCCTCTTGGGGGCCTGGCCCCGAACCCAGGCCTGTGCCCTGACTGGGCGTTGAACCGGCGGCCCTTGGGTTTGCCGGCCAACGCTCACGCCCATGAGCCCCACCAGCCAGGGCTGCTTGATTTCCTTAACACGAATCCCACTTGCATGTGGGAGCGCAAACGCCCTTTGCTGGGAGAAGTCACTTTGTCCTTCTTTAACAGTGACGTGTAAAATTTTCCAACGGCCGTTTTCGTTCCGTAGGAGGTGCTGTCCGTTGCCGGGGTCGAGCGCAGCGGCCGGACACGCACACGCCTTACGAAGGGACCTCCTGCCATTCCCCGCGCCCCCCCCGGCCCCACACCTCGGTCCTCCCACATCACTCACCGATGCCCTGGGCTGCGCGTTCCGTCCGGTGACGCCTCGGGAGCTGCCACCTGTCCTTCTCAGTCCCTTCGCCTGCCTCACCCGGTCCCCAAACCCCCTCCTGCCTGGCCACCATCACTCTGTTCTCTGCGCCGATGCATCTCTTCCTGTTTTCTTTTCTTTCATTGTTTAGATGCCCCGTATAAGTGGAATCACATGGCACTGGGCTTCCCCGCCCTCTCGCCAGGGGTCCCATTTTGGTCTCTCTTTCCCTCTTTTGTCCTCTGTCCGCGATGCACGGACCCACACCTGACACTGGGGTGCTGTCGATCGGCCGTCTGTACTGATGGAATCTCCAAACGAACGCCCTGACCAGGAGCCTCCGGCCCCCCAGCCCCGCCCCCTCTGGCGTGCGGCTTCTGACTCCGCGCTGCCTCCGGCTGCTTGGGGGTCTCGCGTCCCCACTCCCGCTGGATCGGGCTCATGAGGGGCCGCCCTTCCGGGACAATCCAGAGAGGACCCCTCCCCCGTCCCGGCCCTGCTGGTCCCCTGAAAACCTCCCCCTTTGTCTCAGGTTCAGGAATTAAAGACCAACCTGCTCTTAAAATAAACACCAGGAACTTAATAGCGGCAACGTGATGGAGATAAAACAAACCACTGACCTGTTCCACGTCGCCTCGTCGTAGCTCAGACAGGCTGCGCCCACGGACAGCGAGGCCGAACCTCGCCTGGGGAGTGCGTCGCAGCTCGGCGCTTCAGAGCCTGTCTCCTCGACGGCCAGGTCAGTGAGGAGAATGAAGGGGGACGCAGCGTGGCTCGTGGGGACGCGTGCGTGCACAGGGCGCCACGCCTGCAAGACGCTGCGGGGTGCCCAGGCCGACAGGCAATGCCGTGGAGCCGTAGCCTCCCAGGGCCCCAGACGGAATTCCCCATCCCGGCCCAGAACGTATGGCTGTCCAGGAAGAAGGAAGACACGGGCTCCCGGGCCAACAAAGACCCCACATGTCCGCGAGGGGCTTTGTGAGGTCATCGCTAGCAAGGGACAGGGAGCCCACGCCTCCCCGCCCAGCAGGCAGAGCGGACACGGGCCAGGACCAGAACCCGGCGCCCGGCCTCGCAGACCCTGACTCTGAGACGAGCCGCCTCCCCCCGAGCAGATGGAAGGATGGGACGGACGGAGCTCCGGGAAGGGGAGCCCAAGATGAAGATAAAGGGGCTCGAATCGGGCAGCTGGCGAGGTTTGAGGACTTCCTCTCCCGCAGGATGATAAGGCTGCCTGGCCACGCCCCGGGGCGCAAGGCACTCTGACAGCAGGCTGTGCGTCTCTCAAAAGGCTGAAGGGAGGGTGTTTTTTTTTAAATAAGAGAGCCCCAGCGGCCTCTCTCTGCCTCTTCTCGTTGCCGAAATCCAGCCGGGAGCCTCAATACGCTCAGGGATGTCGGTGCAGGTGGTCCAGGCCCAGCACTGGCCGGCACCCGCCAAGGGCAACGGCACCTTGACAAAGCCCCCGGGACAGAGCAAGAGAGACCCACGTAGTGGACCGGCCAGTAAGTGGACTTCTCCCGACGCGTGCAGCAGGGATGGGGGCGGAGGGTTTGCCCCCACAAAAGGCTTTGGTATCTGCGTGGCTTTACAAAACGCTCAGCAGAGCAGGCTCGGTGGCGATGGCCCAGCGTCTGGCCGCGGCGTACGTGCCATCCGTGTACCCTCGTCTGTCCACGATGGAGTCAGATTGTGGGTTCTCTTTAAGCCTTAACGTCGTGACGGGTGGGTCTGGGCCCTTCCTGGGCATGTGACCCGATTCCCCAGGCCCGGGCGGGGAGGCAGGCTCCCCTCCGCAGGCGTCTGTGGGTGCCCAGGCCGTCCTTCCCCCCAGCTCCCGCGAGGCCCCAGAGCCGGGGGCGCCCCGGTCAGGGACAGGCAGAAGCAACGCCGTGCGCTCTGCGCCCTCTCTTCTAAGCGAGGCGGGCAGGCAGCCGCCAGCCCGCGGGCAGCGCGGCGCCAGCCTGCATTGCGTGTTCCAGCGTCACGGCGGCCCCAGGCATGGGACCAGACAGAAAAGGCGAGAGGCAGGACAAGCTCCGGACAGGCGCCCGGGACAGACTTCCACTCCGAAGGCAGAAAACGCGTCGCTCCTCAACCAGACAGTGTCAGACCCTGCTGAGTGATCCGCAGCCGGGTACAGGGGACGGGTCGCTGAGACGCGGGGACACGGATTCGGGGACCAACAGCAGGAACACGGGCTGATGCCGGAATTAAACGGAAGTCCCTTCCATGCGGTTTAAACGTTTTCGGTGTGACGCGGGCACCGGCATTCCTGTTGGAAGCTTTCGAAAAGCATGTCGAGCTGCTTTTCGACGCGATGGGAGCTTAGGGTTTGCCCCAAAATGGCCCGGGCGGGAGAAAATTGGGAGGAAAGGTGCGGGAGGCCGATTGTGGGGAGCTGATGATCGGGAGACAGAACGCAGGGGCTCCACAGTCCTGTGGGCCCCCCGCAAGTGGTCCGTGGTCAATGCAATGCATTTTCAATCCCTTGGAAATTGCTGGAGCGTCATGGAGCAGAGGTGTCTTGGGGACGGTCGTGGCCTCAAGGACCAAGGGCATAAAGCAAGAACCCCATTCCTGGGAGAGAGAGAGAAGAAAGGGTCCCGTTGGCTCCACTGGGCAGAGGCTGCTCAACTCTAAGACGCACAGCCCTGAGCCCCGGCCGGGAGGGCAGAGGGGTAGGCCCGGTGCGGCCGCGGGACGGTGCCACGCTGTCGCCGGACGTCCAGCACGGCAACGCAGAAGCCCGCAGGGTCCCTTTTCCGTGACGCAGCCACAGGGTGCCTACAGCGAGCTGCCTGTCCGTCCGAGGTGTGGAATCGCGGGAGACGAGGCTCGCGGACACAGTGACTTCGGGATTACAGGGGCCGCGTGGTGGCGGGGCTGCGGGCGTGGCCGCTAATTCCCAGAGGGCGGTCTCCCTCAAGAAACCCTGGCGCTGTGAGGCAACGTCCAGGAGATGGGTCACAGGGCGAGGGGGTGCAGGAGGGGGCAGCGAGGGCCCCCCCAACCCACTCATCTCTCCCGGGGAGCCGTGCGTGCAGAAAGAGGCTCACGGCACCCTGTCGTGCGGCCGAGCGGAGACCGCAGCTCTAAGGCCCTCATTCTTCCCCTCTCCCCGCCCCCTGGCCACCCACTCAGCCTTCCAAGGGACCCCAGCGTGCCACCCCAAAAGATATGTCTTTGGAATAGGGGCGGCTTGGCGCTAAAGGCCACAGGAAACCAGCTTCTCCTGTCCCCAGTAGCCTGAAAAGAATTGTCTCCATTCCTGCCCTTTGGGAAGGGAATTTTCATCGTAGAGACGCGTCCACGCCTGGCGTGGGGCCGCGCCGCACGCAGGCACATCTTATCTCCCGGGGACACTTATCGCCTCTGGCAGACGTCCGGTTCCTTCCGCACACTTCCTCCCGGCCCCTGCCCCCAGCGGGCCTCCCTTGCCCGGAAGCCCAGAGCCCTGCTTCTCGGTTTGGACTCCAGGAAACGTACAGCTGCCTCAGCTCGGAAGGCCCCGGAGTCCTGCGTGCGTCTGGGCTCTTGGGAGCGTCGCGTCCTGGCAGCCAGCTTTTCTGGTCATTGCTCATCGGTTTCAGTTCTGGGTGCCAGGCACACAGCCTGCGAGGGCACAGGGAGAGGTTGGTCCTGCCCGACGGCCACCCTCTGGCCCGGTCCCCAGCCCCTCGGCCGGTTCCGTCCTGGCCACAAAGCCTCCTCCCTCGCTAAGGAGACACATGGTACAGGTAAGGTCTCTCGTCACGTCGGCTCCGCCGTCCTGCGGGCCCTTGAACCCCGTGCTGCTTGCAGCCTCCTAGCGGGGAGGGGCCCTTCGGGCAAAGACGGTCCGTCCTCGACCGCCCACCCGCAGCGGCCCTGCCCCGGGACGTCCGTGCGCCGGCCAACTCTTCCCCAACACGTGCTACGCAGCCCTCGCTCATGCGTAGACGTGCCATTAGGAAGCAATCTGCTCCGCTGCGCCACAGGCTGTCCCTTTCCGTCACCCAATCTGGAGACACTCCGTGGGGGCCCCAGCGGCACGTGCCGTGGCAACACCCAGCTGTTTCTGGTCGCCTGCCGCGCCCCGTCCACTGTGCTAACACGGCCAACAGCCTGCTCCCCCGAAACGCTCTGAGCCAAAGCCCCTCGGAAGCTCCCTGCCGGTGAGGAACTCACGGCGCAGACTGCCCCCGGCCCCCGGGGCCCCCGGCACCCGGGTGGGCAGCCCTCTCACGAGCCTGCCTTGCCCTCAGCTTCTGCAGCACAGCCCGCTCCCCACTTCTCTGGGACACTCTCCCAATGGCTTCCAGACCGTACTACTCACCACGTGGACACAGAGGCAGGTGGCCTCCCTAGGCCATGGTTTCTCCCCTGGCCTGAGGCTGGGGCCTTTGGGAGTCCCCAAAAATTACAGACCACAGAGGTACCGGTCCGGGCAAGACAGGGATGCCTCGTGCCACAAAGAGGCTGCTGTGCACCTGCTTCCTCATCACACGTCCCTTCTCTCTCTCACTGAGGGCCTCCCTGCTCCCACTTTTCAGTACAAGAAGATTAGTTGAAACTCTGGGTTCTGAGCAGATGGGGGAGAGGAATGTGCAGCAGTCGTGATCGGGGTGGGGGCTAGGGACAGCCACACAGGGCCGGAGTCCTGCCAACGTTTCCTCCATCCTAGTTGCCTGAAATTTGCCATTGTCGCTGTGCGTTGATTTTACTGATGCTTTGGCGAGAGAGTCAGGCAGCATTTAGGGTGTTGGAGCCGCACGCTATGTTCTGGGGGACAATGGAGAGAACAGGGCCGGGGGGACCAGCTAAGAGCCCTGTCATGACCCGGGGGCGGGGGGGTGCTGAGAAGTGGGGGCCCCTGCCTCGTCTGGAATCTCATCTCTGACCGGGTGTCTCTCTCTGGATGTGTAGGTCCAGCTGGGCGTGCGAACATGGCTGTGCTGCTCGGCTTCGCGAGCTTCCTGGCGCTGCCGCTGAGCCCCGCGTGCCGCGAGGACGCCCTCCCGGGTAGGTGCAGGCAGGTCCCCGACCCTCGAGCGGAGCAGCGCCCCCGACCCGCGGCCCGTCCCCGGGCACGTCGGACTAGAGGTCGAGGCGTGGTCCCCCTCCTGAAGCAGCGGAGGTCCCGCGGCTCCAGCCCCAGCCGCACCCCCAGCCCCAAACCCGCACCTTCCGCTGGGATCGGGGGAGAGTTCGGAAACACACTCTCCTGCCAACGCGGGGAAGGTGCCTGCAAAGGCAGGCGCGGGAGAGCACCCTCTCAGAAGGGACCGAGCCCAGAGCCCCACGGCCGGCCTGTGTCCCCGGTGGCTGAAGGAGGCAGGGACAAGGAGAAGTCAATGTCTTTTTGTATTTTAGTATTTTTTATTCGCTCTTCAGTTTGTTGGTGAACTTTTTATGCACGGGTTTATCGACGAAGTTTACGACGTTAACTTGGATCGACTTCCGTTAACTTTGTCCTAACGAGTGTATGAATTCTCTGTTCATTTCACTTTCCAATGGCGGTTGGTGCCCCATATGCTCTTGGGGGGGCTTCGGGCGCACGGCACAGTCGTTCGACAGTCACGACCGTTACATACCGGTCGCCCCAGTATTCCCAGCGCCCCCACCCCCGGCACCGGATGTAGCGAGGACTGTAATTGCCTGTGAAAAGCCAGTGGTGGCCCACGCCCTCCCCCTCTCCGGACCCCTGGACCCCCTCTCCGCGGCAACGCGGCCCTGTCCCTGCCCGATCCTGGAGGCCCGGAAGGGGAACCCCTCCACCGACCTCACGTCATGGGGGAGCCGGGTGCTGGGAGACAAAAGGGCACCAACTTCCACGAAGAAATTGGTCCGGGGAATGTGAGAGCCAGCATGCGGACCGTAGCTACTACGGCATAGTGGCCATGCCGTGTGGCTCGTTGGGAAGTTGCTGAGACAGGAGCCCTTGAACGCTCTCGTGGCCAGAAAACACATTCTGCAACCCCGAGGGGCGATGCGGGGAGCCGGCCCGTCGGGAGCGTGTTACCAGATCCCTTCCGCGCGTAGATGGAGATGCACCGCACATACATATATACACGTATCAAATCGTGACGTGGCGCACCGGCAACTCATATGAGGTTAGACGGCAGCGATGGCTCAATGAGAACTCTAACCAGAAGTCTCTGTGCCGATTCTTCTATGCGTCATGATTTATAGGCTGAATAAAAACGGTCACACGCAGCCCCCTACACACACACACACACAGAAAGAAAAAACCTTCACGGCTCCTTTGGTACTCCCCCAGCGATGGACACACGGCGCGAATTCCCCCTCATTGTCTCCAACAAGGATTTTCCATGGGTTAAAATGATCGCTATCACCGCCAGTGCCCGGGGTGAGGGGCGGTATCACCTCCTCTGAGGTACTCTGTGCGTTCTATGGTGACGCATGCTTTTGAGGGCCTTTCATGTGCTGCTACGTCAACGAATCGCTTGCTAGAAAGTGGTTCATTTGATCTCAGGAGAATTTGGCCTCGATAAAGAAAGAAACAAGGCCATTACAGGCCTTCCCCCTCGCTTTGAAAAGGCCTCCGTTTGCCTGGAAACACATGCACCGACGGAAGGGAGTTGTCTCGCTCTCAAAGGGTTTGTTGGTGTTTGTGTGTTTCATTTACAGCCAAGGACAATGTCTCCCGCATCCTAAACATGACGCTGGATCCCCAGAAAAAAATGTTGACCTGGACTTACGAGGGTAATGTGTCGGAACAAGAGTGCAGTATAGACACCCCGCCCGGCAGTTTCACCAAGCAAAGCCCCCAGGTGAGCCGTGCGCGCCCCGGCCGAGCGGCGTTGCTCCGTGCAAATGTCGCGTTTCTCGGCAACCAGCCTCTCGCGTCCGGCTGTGACCTGGACAGGCTGGCCCGCCGCCGCCGGGAATGGGCCGAGGACGCAGGTCCGATGTGGGGCCAGGACTTCCCTTCGGCCGCTGATGTGCCGCAGGCAGTGGTCCACAGACCCCATCCTCCTAGAGCGCACGACCTTGCGTCTCTGGATAGATTTTAGACTCTTTCTGTGACGTTTCCTCCCGAGAGCGATGCCTTCGGAAGTGTTGTAGGGAATGAGCGAGGTCTAGCAATTCCTTAGAAATTGTACCGTCCTTTCGTCTGTCATGAAAAGGGCCTGTGAACGCCCGTGGAGCTCATACACGTCTTATTCGTGAACAATTTAGCTCCATGAATGTCATCGGCCACATGCGTGGGCTCCTGCTTTTCCTCGATTGAAGAATGTCAGGGGCCCTCTTCATTCTTCCTTCTTCTGAGACAGAATTACAGTCTCCAGCCCCAGAAGGAAAATATTCGCAACCTCTGTGTTATATGGTTGCCCTACCGTGCACAGATATCCTATTCTTGCTGGGCACTCAGGTCTACGATGGGGGGAGGGGTGTATACAGATGGTTTTTCCGGTCATGCTTCCTGAAAAGATACACTGTAGCAAGGGTTGACCCAGCCTGGGCGCGATCCAGGGTCAGAGGAGGCAGGATTTGCAGTCTGTGGGAGGAAACGCGTAGGCTGTGTGCCAACACTGTTGCATTTTATCCACAGGACTCGTGAGTCCTCAGATTTGGGCGTTCAAGGCCGGTGCCGAAACCTTCCCCTTCACTTACCGACCGACAGTAACACTGCCTTAGCGTGTGTGTGTGTGTGTGTGTGTGTGTCCCATGGATTTGGCACATGTGGGTTTTCCCCCCAGGGAATTGCCACATGCACAATGAATGTTAAAGCCACCGAGATTTCGGTTGGTGTTGAAGAAATCTGAATGGATACCAGGCCTCTCCTCGCCAGGCTCCCGTCTGGGTGGGGACGGAGAGGCGTCCACCCCCAGGGCCCCGCCACGAGGCTGCCCTTTGTCACCGTCGTCTGAGATGTCCGCAACAGGGTACGGTGTGAGGCTCCCTCGGGGGCAGATACAAATGTGCACATCAACCTCATGGGAGCACAGGCATGTGCCCAGGGCCACGGAGTCGCACCCTTTAAAAAAGGGTACAATGGTCCATTTCGTCCTCTGTATCATTGACCACAAAAAAAAGAAACGTTTTTCTTTTGGAAGTTAAAACCCAGAACAATATATCAATACAGAGAATCTCCTGCAAACAGGGTTCTCATAGAGGAAGTAGGCAACGAGCGTGTGCTGTGCGTGGGAAGGGTTGTATCCGCAACCTTTGCATGCGTGTTACTCTCTCGATCTAAAGTTAATGTACAACTGTCCCCTTCTGGACGAGGGGGACTTACACCGGAAAGCAAAATGCTCCCAGAAGCTGGGAGGCAGGACCCAGGCTTCTGGCTCCCATCGTGCCGGGGATGCCTCTCCCCGGGGTTGCCTTCGCGGGGTGCAGAACGGCCCGGAGTTCCCTCAGCTTCTGAGGAGACGGACCGGCTTCTCGGCGGACCGTGCCGCTGAACAAGGGGGGCGTTTGCTTGCCCTCCTGGGAGCAGGGGAAATCCACTCTCATGTGTTAGAACTGTCCTCACCTTCCGATCCAGCACGGAGAGGGTCCGCCGCAGGCCGGTGCCCACCCTTCTTTAAAAACCTGCCCCCCCCACCCACCCAGCAGCACTTCTGTGGGTTCGAGGCACAAACAGGCATCATTGTCATGTAAGTGACGCATTTCCCTGCTCGGCTGTTCTAAGGAACGTGGGGGCTCTCTGGGTAACTGCCCGTTTTTCTTCTGTTGGTCTGTTTTTGGATTTTTAAGCCACTGTTTGGCTTTATCTGTCTTGTCCTTTCTGTTTCTGGACCCCAGGCTTTCTGCCCCAATGTGTGTCTCCGGAAACGGCAGCCTGTTCCGTTTCTATCTCTAGAAGAAACTGCCTTCTTGGTTTCCAACGCAGAAGCGCTTCGTCGATATTCTGCGGTGAGCCCTGGACTCGGCGTGGGAAGGCGGTGGACGCCCCCCCTGCGGCCCGAGCCAGGAGCGCGGGAGTCTGGTGTTTCTGCGGCCCCGTGGCTGCTCCCGGAACTTTCTTCCCGGAAGCCAGCCAGACGGCAGAGGCCTCAGGGCAGGCCCCGGGGGACCCTGTGCGTCCCCACAATCTTGTGCCCCCGGCTGCCCCCATCCCGCAGCGGTGGGGCGCAGCCGAGCCCGAGACAGCCCTGCGCGCTTAGAGAACAACGTGATGAGAGACAAAACCTCCTTCCAACCCAGAAAATCCCTCCCCAAAGGTGCAAGGCAAACAGATACACTTTGCAGGGTGTGTGGGGCCTGTGGGAATAAACACACACACCACCCACAGCAGACCAAGCAGAGGTCAGCGAGGGCCACCACGTGAGCCGCCAAGCCTTCGGCTGATGCGCGCAGAGCCCCCTAGTGGTGCAGGCGAGCAAACACCCCTCCTCCACACTCTTAGGTGCTGTGGGCAGGGGCCTGCAAATTAAACAGGCAACAGACCGAAAAACTGCAGGGAAGAAAAAACATACAAATTTTACACAGTGTTAAACATTTGACCCTGACTACCTGGGCTTTGTAGAAAGAAGAGAAGCTGCCAGAGTACGAGTTTCTGTCCCGGCTTTCACGACGTGCGAGCCATTGGAAGTCTGTGAGGAGACAAGGGCATGGGTTTTGGTGTCGCAGGACAGCCAACTGTGGGAGCGCAGAGAGGGGGCCAACACTCTCCGAAGGCCTTCAGGAGGCGTGCTCGCGGGGGGCCACCTGGCGCGGGGCTTCCGTCTCGTCCAGGCCCGTCCACGTCCGCAGGCTGGGCTCCGCGGACGCCCGCCGTTCCCGGGCGCTGCCCCGTGTGCCCGAGCAAGGCCGCGTCCGGGAAGGCCACTCTCCCCGTCCCCGTTCAAAGCAATCGTGACGCGGACGTGACGTGACCCGGGGTGACCTGCTGCGTCCTGGGGAGGGCAAAGAGAAGGTCGCGTGGCCCCGGGGGCGGGGTCTGGGGCAGGTGGATCCCGCTGACGGAAAGCGCCGCCCCCCTGTGGCGGGTGAGGGGCGCCTGCGGGCTTTTCTTGGACGGGCGCTCTGCTGGAACTGGGCACAAAAGGAAGGAAATTTCCAGGTACCAACCAAGACCGGCTCTCAGGAGGCCGATGGCTGTTCAAGGGTTTGTTTAGCTTCCTGAGCTCACGGGACGGTGCCGGCGGCCCCCTTGCTTCCTGCCCGGGCGGCCGCAGGTCGCGGGCCTGCGTTCTTGTTTTGGACGCGGTGCAGCCATCGTCTGCCTGTGTGTTCTCTCTCCGAACAACGCATTTCGCGCGCCGTGGGCATTGGGCCCAGAGGTTGCAAAGACGAACAAAAAACCCGCAGCCTTTTGTGTCGCTGAGCGAGGACAGGCCGGTGCACTCATACCCTCGAGCTGAAGTTGCCGGTGCTCTTGGGTGTTTGTGAGCGCGCGAAGGCGGGCTATGCCGTCAGGAGGCAGGTGACAGCAACCAGCAGCACCACCTCCCCCCGGGGCATCTGCGGGGAGCTGGCCTGCGACCTTCCTGCGTTCACTGTTCAGAGAGGACGCGTGATCCCAGCCGAGCTGGGGGACCCGCCAGAGGCTTAGCATCTGGTGTCACGCCCGGTGCCCAACTGTCGACGCGGGCAGCTGGTGGGGGACAAGGTGGGTGAGCTCCAGGCAGCCCGTGCCAGGCCCAGCTTCGGTCTGCGGCCGTCGCGGGGAAACGTTGGGAGAGTGAGCGACACGCCTGGGTCTAACTCTGCCTCCGTGGTGCAGCAGGGCACTGTGGAAAGCTGAACAGTTCCGTCCCCCAGAATCGGTATGGTGAACCCCAAGGTGGCATTACTCGCAGGCGGGGCCCTGGGGAGCAGTGAGGACGCGAGGCAGGTATGAACAACGGTCAGGTTCCGTGCCAGGGGCCTGCAAATTAAACAGTCAGCAGGCAGACCGGGAAGAGAGAACGCACATCGCGTTCCACGGATGCTCACAGAGGCCTTTCTAGAAAAATAGCGGAGGCCCAAAGGCGTGGCCTGGCCCGGGTCCCGGAGCTCAGGGCCCAGGTGCATGTCTGCTCCTGACGATGCTTCTTCCAGGTCCAGGAGCACAACACCTACGTCTGCCGATTTCCCAACGCTGTGCTGCACCGAGGCGCCAACCTGACCGTGAAGGCGAAAGCAGGCGGCGCCGTGTTTCAGCGCATCCTGAACTTCTCCAACCCAGGTGAGGCGGCCCGGGGCCAGACCCCAGCGGCCGGTCCCGTGGCGCCGTGGAGGCCGGGGTGCCGTCGCTGACGCGCAGGTCGCCCTCGCAGGCCGGGAAGGCTCTGGGGCTGTCAACTTCTCCTGCTTCATCTACGACCTGCGGCTCATGAACTGCAGCTGGGCGCCCGGGCCCGCCGCCCCCGCGGACGTGCGGTACCACCTGTACAGCTGGGCGTCCAGGTGAGCCGGGCGCCGGCGGGCCGCCGGCCCGTGTCTGTGGGCCCCGCGCTCCCGGGCTGCGGGAGCCTCTGGCCGGTCCCTCCACCCAGGGCCGGTTCCCCCACGACCTGGTGTGTCCGAAAAGCAAGGGACAGAGGCAAAGGCACAGCTGTTCTCCAATCCGCCCTCTAAAAGGGGGGGGCATTTCTCCCCGCTTCGGCCATCGCTTCGTGATGACCTGCGACGCGCGTTCCCATGCGGTTCCAGGCGTGTTCAGGGAAAAACACGCCCTCCCTGTTCTCGCGCCTTTTGGGAGGCTTCTCCTGGTGGACGCTGTGGCGGGTGCACGACCCCCAGCAGGAGGCGCACTCGGCCGTTCCCCCGATGCCCTTCCCCCCATCGCAGGGACGACGATGGGTGTGAGTGCCCGCACTACATGGCCGGCCCAGCGGGCACGCGCGTGGGCTGCCATTTCGATGAACTCGCGGAACCGCACCCGACCGATGAGTACTTTTTCCTGGTGAACGGGACCAGCAAGGAGACAGACATCCAGTTTCTGGACTTCCCTCCGTTTAAAGCCGTCAAAATGGGTGAGAGACTTTCCCGTCGTGTGTTCCTCCTGCCTGGGAGGCTTCGGGCTCCGCCGCGTCGCGGTGCGCGCCACGTCCGTGGCGGACGGCGTTCCGGGTCCCCGACCGGCGTCGGCACGATCTTGGGGTCTAGAACCGGGGTCGGAAAAATAGGCAGAATGGGAGGCGACGTGGCCACGCTTCTGCCTGGGGGTGGGATCCGGGGGGGCGTGTAGCGGGTCACACGTGAAAAGCGCCCCGCACAAGAGCGTTTCCATGGCTTTGGCAGTGATGTTGTAGAAACGTCATGAAACGCCCCATTAGCAAATATTAACTTATCGCGTCTACGAAAAGACACGGTTAGCGTGTGTACAGCTGAGGCATTAACCGTGACCTTCCAGCCCACGGCTCTGCCCCTTACGCCCCAGCCACGCTTAGCGGACACGCCTTTTCTCTGTGAGACCCAGCCCACGTCTTCTTGTGCTTGCGAGTACAAGGGAAGCAGGAACGCTTCCGCTACCCTCCGAGGTCCTGCGATTGGGGGCTACGAATTAAACTCCCACAGCCTGCCCGAAAAGCAGAAAAACGTTTCCTTTTAACGTAACGTTTGATTTTGCCACGCGGGGGAGCGCGTTGTAGACGTCATATGAACCCCCCCCGCCCCCGCCCATGGCGGTTCCAGTCGAGGACCTACCTACCATTTCAACAAAGAGCAATGAATGGTGAACAAGTGGGCAGGCAAAGGCCACACGCCCGCCCTTCTAGAACCGCTCCCTCTAACGGGACCCCCGCGGAAATCGGGGGTTATCTTAGACACGTCCTGTGTGCGGATTTATCTTCAGGCCGATTCCCACCGCCATCCCCGCCGCCGGGCTCGCCCCGAGTCCTGATTCGCGGGTGACGAAGGAGATTGAGGGGGCGGGCACATTAGCCGACGTAGACTCTGTGACGAAAGGCGATTATTGGCTGGGTTGCCCGGGAGCCAAGGCCGCCGTTCCGGAGTCTTCTGCAGGCCCTGGCAACGCGCGCGTTGGCGACCGCGGGTCAGCGTTTCAGTTGCATATCTGGTAGCATCAATAAATGTGTGGAAGCCCCGCTTCGGGCGGAAAGCCCATGTTCACGGCGCTGGGTGGCGCACTTGGCACCCGGCGCCCGGGCGGGCGCTTGGCCTCAGCGGGGCCTCGGGTGAGTTCGGAGGGACAGGAAGTCCACCGTGGCGTTGGCTCGATGTAAGACGGCGGCTGCGGGAAGGCCCTGGCGTGGGAGGTGAGCAGGGGAGCGATGGGGAAGGGGGAGTTCTCACCTGTTGCTGTGTCGGGGTGCGGCTGCGGCCATCGGGAGACGAGGAACCGGCCTGGCGGGGGCGGTGCCTTCCTTTCCGGGGCGCCCGGCACCCCCACGGGGACACGCCGACACGCTCAGCCCCCTTACCGTCTTGCTTCCCGACCCGGCGGTTTATTCCCTTTTCCGCAAGAACAATACAACAGGACAAGCGGCGAGGAAGACGCGCTCCACGACGTCCCGTCCGCGTGGCACGTGTGCAGCCGCCGAGTCGTTTCTGGTTCTGTTTGTCCTCAGAGCAGTTGAACCCACCGGCCAACGTCACGGTGCGCGACAACGGATCCCACCACGTCATCGCGTGGGACAATCCCAAGATGCGGTTTGATGTCTCCACGGCCACCTTGTGTTACGAGCTGGACATCCAACGGCAGGTGACGGCCGGGGCCGGGGGGTCTCCTTCTGCTCCCAGGGGGCCGGCCATCGTCCCTAACGGGATGTCACCACGGCTCCAGAACGTTGCCGTCTCTCCGTCCTTGACCCTGTCTTGGCCGTACACGCACCTTTTTGATAACATCCAGCGATCCCTTTTTCTTTTCCCTCTGACGCTTTGGGGTGTCCGAGGGGCGGCAGCCCCTGGCGCGGCCCAGGCCAGCTCCGCTCCGCCCTCAGTGCCCCCGTTGGGCTCTCCCCGCGTCCGTCTGCTCCCCGCTGAGGGAGAACTTTCCTATTTGGTCTCATGGGGGCACCCCACGTCCTCCTCTTCTAGGACAGATCGGGTTTTGCCAGCACCGTGGGTCGCGAAGAAGGCGGTGGTCCTCTGCGTGGCCTTGGAGGCCTTGTGCCGACGCAGCCGACCGGCCCGGAGAGTTGATTCCCGGGCCCGCCGTTACGCCCGGAGCGCGCCGCGCGCTCCTTCAGCTTCGGCGCGAAGGGTGGACGCCGAGAAGCGTGAGCCTTCACCTGAAGGCGGGTGGGGCGCCTCGGGGGTCTTTCAGGAACCCTGCGTGTTCAGATGTGCTGGTGCCATTCGGCCCAAATGAAACAGAAAAGCGCGCACCCCCGTGTTGACCGAGTGTGTGTCGCGACACACACACCAGGGACTCTTGCCGTCTGAGCCAGAGAAACTCTTCGGACCCCCGAACGCAGCTGTGGTTGCTACGTATTTCCGCTTTCTTTCTGCAACGGTTCGTCGCTCGCGGTGCACGAGTCTCGCACACCTTGCGTTACCCGCGTCCCTGAGCGCTTCGCTCTTTTGGACGAGGACACCACTGTGTCTGCTGAGTCCACGCTCTCCCGAGGCGTTGGCTTTGTGTCTGGGACTTAAGTCTGGGCCCCGGGCGTGGCATCCAGGAACCTGCCGGCAGGGACTGGCTGTGCCTGCTGGCGGCCCCCGTCCCCCTTGGGGCTCACGCGGGTGACCTCACACAGGTCTCTCACATGGATGACCTCGTACATGTCACCTCACACAGGCTGCACGCCAGGGACCTCAGGCAGGGACAATCCCAGGTGACTTTAGACAAGAGACATTGTCTGGCAGGTGGCTGCACACAGTCCGCATCAGCAGTGTCACTGGTTGGCACACACCTGTCCCCAGGGTGGGCCAGAGAGTCCCTGCATCGGCCCCGTCTCTGTTAGGAAGCACAGTTTTGGGGGGCACAGTAGCCCCTCGCCTTCCCCATGCGCCAGAGCGGCCACGGTCAAGGACGCGTGGCCTGTTGACAGCCACGCTCAGCCAGGGGCGCTATGCACACAGTGCCTGGCACACGCGCCGTGCACGCGCCCCCCGAGGGTGGCCGAGGGCCCGGGGTGCCCCTTACGAGCTGCACACTCGAAGGTTTGCTGGCGAGGGCCGGGGGTGCCTGAGGCTGGCCGGCCTCCCACGCTCCTCCCGTCCCCGGGGCGGGGGGATTCTCCAGCCGGAGCTCAGGTCCCGGGAAAGGCGTTTCGTGTTCCCTGCAAACCCGTCTCTGCTCCCCTCTTGGGCTCTGCGCCGGGGGCGTGCACCTTAAATCGGCCAACGGCGCGGGACCGTGGGGCGGGGGGGAAGCAGTTTGCTTCTGTGCGTCTGGCAGGTCCCCAAAGAGATGGGTCCTTCCATAGCTGAAATTAGGGGCTTCTCTATCCACCTTAATAGGAGAAATAGGGGGGAGGGACTAGACTTGTAGGGGAACACAAATGCATGTCTTTAGCAAAGGCAACTGAGAAGCAAGAAAATTGGGGTGATGTTTGTTTATCCAGCTCAGGAGTCAGCTTTTCGGTGTTTTCCTGGCCATAAAACTCCCCAGGAGACGGGCGTTACGACAGATTCCCTCCGTTTCCTCCCTGGCAGTGAACACGCCTCAAAGAAGGGATTTCTGAGTCCTCATTCCCAGATGTTTCCTGCTTTCAGCGGGATAAGGGACGCCCGCGCAAAGCGTCTTTCTTGCACCTGCTGAGTCCCAAATGCTTCCAGCTTCACAGCATGTTGGCAGCAAGTCTGGGGGTCTGGGCGGGGGGCCTGCATGTGCATCCGATGTCGCAAACATAGCGTCTCACTGTCTCCCTCTGGTCGGCTTTTCTAGGGCAGCTCCGTCCGGGAAGACCCCGTAAGTACCCCCTGGCTTCTGTGTGACGTCCGTGCGGCGGCCGCCGGCCCTTGCAGCCCAGGCCTCCCCGCGCGGCCCTCTCTGCTCCGCTGCCGCGCCCCCCAGCCCCCGCATGCTCGCCAGGGTGGGGGTTCGCATGGAGACACTGTGTTCTTCACGCCGCTGGTCCAGCTCAGGGAAGCGGGGTCTTTGCACATGGGATGCAGGGAAGGAGCTGAGAGGAGGTCGTCCTGGGTCCGGGGGGCCCTGCGTCCAAGGACAGGGTCCTGAGAAGACACAGAAGGGGGGACGCAGACCCCAAGGAGACACCCCGTGGAGATGGAGGGAGGGATGGGAGGGACGCGGCCACCCGCCCGGGGACACCTAGAGCCACGGAGCTGGGGGAGGTGGAAGGCCCCTCCCTGGAGCCTGAGGAGGGAGCGCGGCCCCTGCTGGGTGCTCTCAGGTCCCTCACCTGGGATCCTCCGGTCTCACCTGCCCCGGGGACCACACTCGGAGGGGCCTGGGGCAGTGGAAAGAGGATCCAGAGCCACCCGAAGCCCCCCAGCTCCAGAGGCTACCTTTGGGGACCTATGTGCAGGCTGCGGGCATCCCCGGTTGCTCAGGTGACATGTGAAGCCGCCGTCACGGGTGGCTTTCCACAGCCCTGGGCGCCCCCTGGTGGCGGGGGATCGCCCAGCCCACTTTCCGGGGGCGAGGGGCCTGCGGCGCTCAGGGTCCACGGCTACCCTGGCGTAGCTGCCCCGGGGGTCTGTTCAGAGTCGGACAGGACGCGGCGTGACACACGCTGCGTCTGAACAGAGCCGCTGATAAAGCCACCGCCTTGGCCACACACCACGCCCTTGAAGACAAAGCCACTCCGCTCTCGGAGGCAAGAGGCACGGCCCGCAGCGTGTCCTTGAGCTGCCAGGCGGTGCAAAGCGTGGTCCCCGCCCCTCCGCCGAAGCAGGCCTGGGGGCAGGTCGGGGCTCCGGAAGGAAGGCCGGAGCTACGTCTGTCCGTCCCCATCGGCCTTGGATGGGCCCCACCTGGAGGGCGGGGGGTGGAGGCGGCGCCCCTGGACCAGACGCAAGTTTCTCCGCGGGGTCTCACTCCGAGGGCCGCGGGGCCACCAAAGCTGTGCCAGCAGAGCTATGGCCCCCCTTTCTGCGTCACCGGACCCCCTGAAACGGCACAGGGGACTCGTCCGAGCGTGGGCGCAACACGGGGGCGAGGGGAGCAGTGAGACACAGGCGTGCAGCGGGGCGCAGACGCGGGGCCACGGAGGCGGGGCGGGGCGGGGGCGGGGCGGGGGCGGGGGCTCCTCAGGTCTGCGTGGAGCCGGAGGTCCGCGGTCACCCAGGCGGGAGGGTCCTGCCCCTGCCTTCTCCCCGTTCAGGTCTGCCACCCACGCGGGTCGCTGCAGGTCCTCCTTTCTTTCCAAGGTTTTCCAAACCGGGCAGGAGCGGAACGTGTACGCCTTGCCCCACGGGGCCGTGAGGGGCGAGCGCACGGTCCGCGTGAGAGGGCGGTCGAAGCACAGCTCCCGCTGGAGCGCCTGGAGCGCCACGCTGCGTTTCGGTGAGAGCGGCCGGCGCGCGCGGCCCTCCTGCCTCCGCCTCCTCCGTCCCCGCGCCGCGTCTCCTCCGCGTCGGCGGCTGCTCTTCCGTCTCTGCTCGGGACCCTGTCCTGGGACGCAGGGCCCCCCTCTCAGACCCTTCCCTCCGTCCCAGCTGCAAACACCCTGTGTCCGGATAAAGTCCTGGTCACAGGGTTTGGGGCTCAGGCGGTACACATGTCATGTTTTGGGGGACCCGTGGAGCCCACCGCAGAGGCCCTTCCAGCACAAGGGACCCAGGCTGCTCTTGGGGTCTCTCTGCCGAAACAGCCCCTCTGCAGCTGGTCCTATACCCCCTCCTATCTCTCAGGGGTCCCCCAACAATGAGGTCCCTCCCAGACTCAGCCACAAGGACACAAGGCCCTCTCGGTCACCTTGACGTCCACAGCACGGGGACGTACCTCTAAGGTGCCAGCCGCTGGCACCCCCAGCCCCCGAGGTCACGGCCACGGGCTGGCGGACTAGTCCCTGCCCCTCAGTTCCGCCTGCTCTGCGGGCGCCGCCAGGGCCTGCCCTGCCCTCCGCTCCATGATGACCGCTGGCGCGGCCACAAAGGGGCCGGCCTGCTGCGGGGCAGTTCCCGTTCCTCAGAGGCGCGGAGGGAATGCCGAGGGCTGGTCCCACGGACTCAGGGCGAGGCCCCTGTGAGCATCTGCCAGGCCGCCTCCGAGCCGCGCCGCCCCGTAGAAGCAGCAGGAAACCCGCGGGGCCGGGGTTCACTGCGGCCTCTGCCCAGCAGTCCCTCAGGATTCATTCAGGGCCCAAAAGGGCATAAGCTCTAAGTATGCACCTGCTGGAGGCAGAAAATCAGAGAAGTAGTCCAGGCTACACACAGACACACACCCCCTCCCCCATCTTTCACATTTCACACTTACGCATTCATTCCTTTGGCTATGTGAGTGACGCATTGAAAGTAAATACTCACCGAGAAGGAAAACGCTGTGCAGTGTCGTCGGCCCCCCATCCCCCTCCCCCCGCCCTGACCTGTGGAAATGGATTCAGTGGGTTCTCTCTTGTGAAAACGGGGACACAGGGAGGCAGGGTGGACACGGGACCCGAGGAGACAGATTCCTCAGAGCCCATGTTCCCCTGTCCCTCGGGGCCTGGTGGCGGGAAGTCCCGTCCTCCCGGGCCCGGCCCTGCTTCCCCCGACCGGACTCCCACTCACAGCCTGAGGGTGCGGGGCGCGGGGTGGGGGGCACGTCTTGAACCCGAGTGCCGTGTCCCTTCTGATGCCCTGCTCCACCCCTCCCCTGCCCCGCAGGCCACACGGAACCGGAGGTCAGCGCCACCGCTGTGGCGATGGTGGGGCTGCTGGTAGGCGCGGTGGTTGTCGTGATCACGCTGCTGACGTTCCTCTGCACGAGGTGAGTCCCCCAAACCTCGGAGACGTGGCGCCCGTGGAGGACGGAGACACGGAAGGACCTGGATGGCACAGAAGGGGGAGCAGAGGGGGAGAATCCCGAGACGGGAGGCCGGCGTGAAACGCCGAGAGCTCGGAGAGGGGACACGGGGGGACCGGGGACCGGCACGGGGCTTCCCGCATCCTCACGAGAGCCGCCACCACGCGGCCCACGCGCCCACGCTGGCTCCCCGCCAGGACCCAGTCCGAAGGGTCTCCCCGCCGCGGGCTGTGGGTCGCGCGGTCCCCGAAAGACGCATCGATAAAGCACAGCGTCAACAGAGGCCCGTCATACAAGGGGCAGCGTAGGTCCTGCGCCCAGGAAGGCTGCACTGACCAGCTTCCACAGGTCATGCTGGACACGTGGGGATGCATGAGAGGGAATACGGGGAGCCCCTTTACCCAGGAGTGGCCGCTGCCGGCCCGAGGCGCTGCCTTGCACGTCGGAGGCCGCCAGCCTGTGGACGGGAAACCAGGACAACGTCACCTCTGCGTGAGGCCTGAAGCCACCTGGGGTCCCCCAGAGCCGCCTGCAGAGAGGCCAGGAAAGCCGGCGTGGGGCCGACGGGCCGGGGCAGCCCAGGACGGAGGGCGAAACACGCTGTTTACTGACGGGTGAACACAGTACTTCGCGCTGCGAGCGAAGCTACCCCTGATCTGAGGATTTTTGACGAAGACGCAAAGCCAGGCCTCTGCTCAGTCACCCGCATCCCGAAGAGGGAGCAGAGCCCGCAGCGCCGGGCAGGGACAGCGCGGAGGTCCTGCCGCGGCCCCCTCGGCGCCCTGCAAAGCGGGGACAGAGCTGAGCTTGTCCTTGCTCAGGGCAGCCACCAGGGGGCGGCAGGCACCCCCGGGGCTGCTTTGCAGGCGGCGGTTCCTGCGCCCGCGCGGGCGGGAGGCACCGAGCGGGCGCCGCGGTCCCCGGGGGTGGCCCCGGGTTGTGCAGAGGTGCAGAGTCCGCTTGCTCAGGCGACGAGGCCCCGGGGCCCTGGCCAGGGTGCCCGGCCGGAGCTCTGCGACTCTCTGCGCAGCCGCGTGCGCCTCGGGCCTGGGCCTCGCCGCGCAGTCTCCGGCGCCCAGCGACTCCCTGCTGCGGGCTCAGCCGCTGGGAAGGGAAAGGCGACCCCGCCCCCGCCCCCTCCCGCCGCGGAGCACCAGAGGCCTCCACGCGGGCTCTTTCCTCTGCAGGTGGCCCCTGAGACGCATGCTCTTCCCGCCGGTGCCGCAGGTGAAGAGGGAACTGGCCGGCAGCTTTGCACCCTCCCCCGAGGTGAGCGCCCAGCAGCCCCCGGCTGCTCAGACCAGCAGGCTCCCTGGGGGCGCGGTGCCCACGGGCGGGGATCCCCTGCGCTCCCCACCTGAAGGCTGGCGCCGGGGGGCAGAGGCCAGGCCCAAGAGCACCTGTCCCCGAGCCGGCCGGCCCACGTCCGTCCCTGCTGGCATCTGAGCAAAAGGCCAAGTATGTGGCATTGGAAAGAAACCCCCTGTCCTCGCGGCCCCCAGCCCCCAGCCCCTGACGACCACCGATCCCCTTGCTGGGTCCCTGGGTTGCCCTTTTCTGGACGTTTCGCACACATGGAACCCCCGGTGGCCGAGCGCCCTGTGTTCAAGGTGCACAGCGGCCGCAGCCTGAGTCAGAGCCGCCCCGTATTCAGGGCCAAGTCACACTCCCGGGGGCGGGCGGGCGGGCGGGCGGCCCTCTGCCCGTGCCCCTGTTGGGCGGTTGGGCTGCCGTCCGTCTCCTGATTTCCTGAAGGGGGAGATGCAGGGACCCCAGCTGGTGGCTCAACGGGGCTGTGTTCTCTCCTAGATCAACTGGGACGGGGACCCCCGGCCGCCGAGCTTCCAGGAGCCCGAGGACATTGTCACCGTGGAGGAAATGCAGCCTTTCGCGAGTGGACAAGCAGAAGCCGCGGCCCCAGCGCTGCCCAGCCCCGGTTCGGAAGACGTCCGTTCCGAACGCCGCCCCCACGACGTGCAGGATTTCTGACGGCTCTGATCCCGGACGCGTGGTCTTTTCTACCTGCTGTGTCCCCGTCCAGCCCCGCGCAGCCCGGCCACTGGCCCTGCCGCACCGGGCGGGCTCAGACTTGGAAACCCTGACTGCCTGCCTCCACGCCGCAGCGGCAAAGCTCGCAGGGTCGAGCTGTGCAGACAATGGACGCGCCCTGTGCAACACGTTCAGAGCAGCATTCCCCGGCGGGGGCGGGGGGGGGGTGAGAAATGCCTGAAGGAGCTCCGCCGCCCGAGCCCCGGGGCCAGGGTGGACGGAGCAGCGGGGCCGGAGGCAGCTCGCGGGTGCCCGCAGGCGTGGCCTCCGCGGTCTGTGCTTCGCGTCTCCGGGGGCTTCTCCGTGGGTCCCGTGATGGCTTTGGGGGTAAAAGGCGCTGTCCTCGTCGACGAGAAAGCTTCAGGACAGGCTTGGGGGTGAGCGGAGCTGCTGTCCCCACCTGCGTGGGAGCCGCGCTGGCCGCTAGCTGTTTATCCACACGGCCCGGTGCCGGGTCCGCCGTAAGGAACGCGAAATAAAGCCAAGAACGTGTATCACAGAACAAGCGGGTGGGAGCTGTGTCACCTGCTTTCCCAAAGCGTCACATCTTCCTGTGCGACTGTCATCCACGGGCTTGTGACGGTCCCGCACACCGCAAAGGGATGCGCAGCCTCGTCCCTCAGCGCTTGGTCGGATTGGTTTGAAACCCATGGTGCGGCTGTGCCAGGGCTGGGGCCGCGGATGGGCACGCGCCTGCGGGGAGACTCTCACCGTGTAGTTACTGCCAAGCAGGGCAGAACGGGGCACAGCAAACAGACACAGGGTGAGGTCCAGGCGCGTGAGGACGCGCGTACGCCTATGTGCGCAGGCACGGCCAGGCGTGTCTGTGTGGCGCGTGCAGTGTCTGTGCCGTATGCAGGCGTGTGCGCGGATGCATGTTTCCACGCACGTGCCCGTGAGAAGGCGGCACCAAGGTGTCAAGTATGTTTATCATCAAACGTCAGGAAACCTGTATTGTTCTATGTGGATATTTCTGACGTTTTGTTTAAAAAAAAAAAAAAAAAAGCCCATGTTTACAGGGGAAAGAAACTCGTAGGCTCAAAATCGAAATCAAGCGTTCGTAGGGAGTTCTGACGCGGGAACCCCAGAGAAGGCTGAGCGCAACAATGTGGGAGCGCCGGCGCCGAGTCCCCCGGGGCCCTCTCACCCCCCAAACTGCCTGGGGTACACGCGCGTGCCTCTCCCCGCGGCCACATCGGGGCCACTCCGTGCTATGAAGTAGCGTTTCACACAAGAGGGGCGCACGTGCGTGCCGCCCCGTGTGCCTTGGCACATTTTGTAGCCCGCGGTACCAGGGACCGGGAGGACAGCGGAGAGGGGTAGGGTGCGCCCTGCTGATGTGGGGGACCGTCCTCGGTGCTGTCGTTCCCGATCCCCACAGGCTGGACGTGTGGGTTGGACTCCGTCCACTTAAAGCAGGAGACCACGTCCCCGCCCGGCCCGCGGGCTGTGCCCCCTTGACCCGCGAGGTCTCAGCGAGGAAGCCACTGCGCTTTCACAAGAGGCCCCTGCTCAGGACGATTGTAACTCTTGGGTGGGGCCGAGCTGAGAGAAAGGGCGGCTCAGTCTTTCAAAAGACTTTCCGAGCAGAAAGCCGGGTGCGCTGCCTGGGGAGGGGACCCCTGATCGCGGGCAGGACGTCCGATGCCCGAGTCCTGTCGCAATCCCCACACCCGGGGTGCAGCGCCCGCCCCAGAGGACAGGCACGACGCCGCAGCTTCGCTTCTGAGAACAGGCGGGAGGAGGAGACAGCTGTCTCTCGAGGAAACACGAGGCGCCGCGTGGCACGGCCGCTGCACCGCAGAGGGGCCTCTGAGCGACGTGCGGGGGCTTCAACGTGAAATCGGAACCTGGGAGGTCGGCCCACGGCGGCAGGGTCTGGGCCCGAGCTGCCGCCCGGGAGGGCAGGGGAGGGGCAGGGTGAGCGTGGGGTGCGGGGGGGAGAAAAGGAAACAGGGGGATCATTCTGTGAGCGCCCTGGGTCAGCAAACTACATGAGCCCAACGCACGGACTTCAAGCAACACACATTCACCCCCAACCCCAGTCCTGGAGACCCGGCGTCTGAGGCCCAGGGGCCCCGGGGCCGCGCTGCCTCCCCAGCCTCCAGGGAGGGGCCTTCCCCGCCTCTCCCCGCTCCGGGGGCCCCGGGGGCCCTGGACGGGGGCGGGGGGGGGGACCGCGCCCCTCCCTCCCTGCCTCCGTCTCCACGGAGCGTCTCCTCGGGGTCTGCGTGTCCTCTTCCGTCTCTTCTCAGGACCCTGCCCTTGCACGTAGGGCCACCCCGAGCCAAGACAACCTCCTCTCAGATCCTTCCCTCCATCCCATCTGCAAAGACCTTATTTCCAGGCGAGGCGCCGTTCCCAGGCGTCCAGGCAGATGGGTCTGGGGGCACCGCGGGGCAGCACAGACCCTGAAAGCCACCGACTGGGGTTCTGCAACCCCTTTGTAGCCTCACGGGCCGCCCTGTCTTGCCCAGCATCATGCGTGCACCGTACAGGACACACGTGCCTGGGAAGACGTGGGCGATGCCCGCTGGGCAAGCACCTCGGAGGCTCCCCCGCGGGGCCCCCATCGGGCTTCGGACGCAGCTCTGGCCCCAGGATCCCTCTGGCGGGGCCTGTTTGGGGCGCCGCTTTCTAGGGCCGCCGTGCTGACCTGGGTGATCCCTTCCGTCCGTGCAGCCGGCGCCACCCGAGGCTCCAGGAGGAAGGGAACCCAGGGCCTTGCCCTGCAGCCACGGCCCGAGCGGGCAGGCAGCGTGCGCAGGGGACACGGCACAGGTGCGCCTGGTGCGCCCGGCTGTGGTCTCGGGGAGCCCAGCTGGCCGCGCCCTGTCGCATCCCGGTTCCACTTTCTGTTCCCCTGCCGTGTCCGCCGCCCCGGTGCTGGTCCTGCGGCCGGCCGGCCGCCCACAGCGCAAAACCGGGCCCTCGCTCTGCGTGGGGTGTGTTCTGCTCTTTTGGAGGGAAAAGACAGAGAAGAGGCAGAATTGAGGGAAGGGAGGGAAGAGAAAAGAAGGGGGAAGAGAAAGGAAAAAAAAAAAGACAGGCGGAAGCAAAGAAAACGAGAGGGTAACTGAGAAAGAAAGAATAAAAGGAGAGAAAATAATCGGAAACAGAGAAATAGAGACACGAGACAGAGGCAGAAAGAAGGAGAAAGAGAAACAGAAAAACAGAGCGAGAAAGCACGCCAAGGTATAGGAAAAACAGAGAAAACAGAAAAAGACCAGACAGAAAGGGAGCAGGAGGAGGCAGGCAGAGGCCGTGGCGGTCCCTGCGGCCCCGCGGCCGGGGCAGCCCCGCGGCCCCTCCGGCCGCACCCACCGCCGCGCCCGCCCCGTGCCCGCGGCCGCCCGCCGGGCCCTACCAGTGCCAGACCCAGGGGGACCAGGCCCTGACACGGTGAGGGGCGCCCGCCCCCCGAGGGTCAGAGGTGCCCGAATCCTCACCAAGACGGGCAGGACCCCCAGGCGGCGTGAGGGACGGGGGCCCCGGTCCCGCCCTTTCAGGCAGAACGGATTTTGTCTCGACACAGGGCTGCTCCGCCCCCGAGACCCCAGATCCACGCGGTGGCCTGCGGCGGCCGTAGCCAATCCCCGCACCGGGGGCTCCGGCCCCCGGGACCCACCGTGCCCCGTCCTGGAGACCCGGCGGCGGCCGAGGTCCAGGTGTCCCAGGGCCGCGCTCCCTGCGGATGCTCCAGGGAGGGTGCCCACGTGTGGCGTCCTCGGCTCCGCGACACGTCTGTGCAGCCCGCGTCTCCCCGTGCCTGCGGCCTCCGCCCGTGTGTTTCCTTCCCGCCCGCTGGACGTGGAGACCCCCGTGTTCCGGGGGCGCCCAGCCAACCGTCAGGACACCGGCAGCAGCCCCTTCCAAACCCACTCACGACGCGCTGAGGTTCCAGGCGGATAGAAACGCGGGGCAGGGCTGGGGGAGCGCGAGGATACCCGTCAACAAAGGAGCTGGCACCTTGGGGCACAGCCTCAGGGAGGGGTACGGGCGGCGGGGGGGCCTGAGGCGTGGGAACGAGGGCCAGAGGGGCCGCCGGGAGGGACCAAGGTCCCCACAGGCTGCAGCCGGGAAGGAGCCTGGGGCGGCTCAGGGGACGCTGGATGCCGCCCAAGAACGTCCTTGCGAAGGAACTGGGGACGCGGCGCTATCGCCCTGCCCCCTCCCCGGAGGGCACGTGCGGCCAGTTCCCAGGGGACAGCTGCCCAGGCCCTATCACCAACAGCAGGAAGTTGCTCAAGTTGGGGAGCGTCTTTCAGGGGACAACAAAGAGGAACAATCGAAGAGAAACAAGAACCTGAAAACGGCCCTTTCTTAAAAAAAAGGCTGCATTTCAGGGAAAACACACAGCGATTGCTGTTCTGCTGAACCCCACGTTCACCGAGAGAGACAGCGGCTTCCTGGAGCGGCCCCCTGGCCCCGCCGCCTGGTCGCTGCGGCTGTGGCTCCACCCAGGGGGCTATAAAAGCAGGATGCGGGGGACCGGCGTTGGCTTCTCCTCGGTTCCTCCGGCACAGGCAGGAACTGCGCGCTGCGGTGAGCGGTGGCCGCGGGGACCCCGGGCCCGCGGACGCCCGCCCGAAGGGCTGCCTCTCCCGCCGGACTTGGCTCTGCGTCCCAGGTAAGGCGCCGATGCAGGAGGGAGTGCAGGGGGCCGGCACCGAGCGGCGACAGCCGCCGCCAACGGCGGTGTGCGCAGGCTCGGGCGCGGGCAGGTGGCATCCGAGGGCCACGGCCCCGGGGGTCACCCCACAAGTGCACTCCACGGGCCGTGCCGGCCACGATGGGAGCAGGCTCGCCCCCCGCCCCGGCGTCCGCCGCCCTTGGGGCTCCTGGGCTCCAAGGGGGTGCAGACCCCCAGATGTGCGCCTGCTCACACACTGCCACCCTGGTGGCTCTTGGCAGCCTCGCGCGTCGGGGGCACGTTGATCCTTAGGGCCCCAGGTCACGCCCGCCTGTGCGCTGTGGCCCGCAGGTCCCCTTCGGACCCGCGAGTGCGCGGAGAGAGACCAGGACCAAGCCCCTCGGACCCGCGGCTCCCCCACTCGCGCTGGCAGAGGGGCGGGCTTGCATCCCTGAGCTCTGCCTACCTCGCATCTTCCCTGCCAGCTGCAGCCCCCGGTCCCCCGCGCAGCCCTGGGGGCGGGCGGCGGGGTGCGCTCCGGGCTCCTCACCGGGGGAACGGCGAGCCACGCGGACAAGGCCAATGCCGTGTGGCCCTCGGGCGCGAAGTCAGTCCCGTGGGGCCGGAAAGGGGCGGATGGAGACAGCAGCCGCCAGGCCGGTGTTCGTGAAAGGAAGACACGTCCCAGGCTCTTGTCCTGTGTAGGATTCTGACCCCCCTTGCGTCCTGAGACTGGCCGCTGTGGCCTTTGGTTAATGTGGCCTGAAATGTAACATACTGTACGGAGGGGGTGGGGCACTCGCTCCGTTCCCCGCCCTCCCCGCCTTCCCTGCACTGGAAGGGGTGGCAACACCTCTGTCCCCAGACGCCTCGTCCACGGCGGGGCCACTCTCCTTTCCTGGAAAGGGGTCTGTCCCGTCCGCCTGCTGCAGGCAGTAACGATGTTTGCACAAGGTGCGTCAGGGTGGGGGGCGGGGGGCCTCCGGAGGGATGGAGAGGAGGTCGTCCTGGCTCAGGTGGCCCTTCGTGCAGAGACGGCGCCCTTGGGAGAGACAGAGCGGGAGACGCAGCCCCGGGCGGGGGAGGAAGCCAGGTAGCACAGGAGGCCGCCACCCGCGGAGGGACGAGCCAAACGCCCTGGCCGTTCCCGTAAGCGGCTCCCTTGGAAAGTCCGCGCTACCTTGATTTCGTGGCTTTAATGAGACTTCCTTCCACCGCTCAGTCATCGGGCGTTTCCTGCTGCTTTTCCTGGCGTGTGGTCCCCGTGACCCAGAAGGCGGGCGGCCGGGGGCGGGGGGAGGCGGGGGGGGCGGGAGCCCAGGGGGAGGTCAACGCCCGGGGCTTTTTACACAGACGTGCCCGCCTGTGTGCACACACGGGCACACACGCATGCGTATGCACGGGCCAGCGGGCAAGCACACGCCGCGGAGACGCCCCTCCTGCCAAGCAGCGGCAGCTCCCGAGCCGGGGTCCCAGGGAGCTCCGACCGGCCGCTCCCGCCCCTCGGTCCCCAAAGGCGCCCCCACGCGCGCTCCCTGTCCCTTCTCTTGCAGCGCACACCCGCCCCTCCCGCGGGGCCACCGTCCTCATGGCCTTGCTGTATCTGACCACGCTGCTGGCGACCGTCTCCTGTGCGCTGCCCGCGGACCGAGGTAGGCGCGCCGGCCGCCGCTCTCTGCTTGCCGTGAAACTGTCGGCGCTGGAATCGCCATGGGGACACCATGCCGCGCTCCCTGGTCCCCTCACCCCGGTCCCCTGCAGAATGGGTCCCGACCCCTCGGTGTCGAGCTCGGTGCGGCCACGGTGCGGGGCCGCGCGGAGGCTCAGAGCCTAGGGTGGACCCCTTACCTTCGGCTAACGTTGTCTGATCCCGCGGATGGAGGTGACGTGCAAAAATGCGGGTGGCAGGTTGAAGTCCGCCAGCCCGCCCAAGGCCCGGCCCCCCGACCCGTGCGTGGGACCTGTTGGGGGGCAGAGTCTTTGCGGGCGTAAGCCACTAAGACGAGGCCGCACGGGGGCCTCAGGCGACGGGATGGGGTCCTGATAGAAAGGGGAAGGTTAGAGACGGGGGTGCCCTGCGAATGCATGTCACAGCGCGGCCGGCACGGGGCGATCCACCCGCACGCCGACGAACGCCGAGATATCCGGGCGTCTGCGGGGAGCCTGGGGCGAAGCCAGCGGAAGACTCCTCCCCAAACCAGCAACCCTGCCGACGGCAAGGTGCCCACGCCTGTGCGGATGCCCAGGGTTGTGGAGAAAACACACAGAGCTTTGGCCCTACGGCTAGTGGTCTGGGATGAGCGTCTGTCGCCGAACCCACCGTGGTGTTGGACAACTGGAACCCGCTGGCTGCCACCGCCACCTCCTGGAGGAGTTTATCCCGGGGGCCAAGGACAGAGGTCACCTGTACGCCCAGAGTGACAAAGGGTTCGGCTCTTAAGAGAGGGGAGGGGACAGTAACACCCACAGCAGGAAGGAGTAACTGTGAGTGCAGAGAACAGGGCGTCCTGATGCTGATTCTCAACAAACAACGTGTTTCCTCTTCCGTCCTGGGCTCCTCTGTCCTGCGGTCCCCACACCGGCTTCCTGTCCTCTCTGCAGACGGCCCTGTGGGACCCAAGGTGACGCGAGGCCCCGGGCAGAGGGGACTGTGTCCTGCCTTCACATCCGCAGGTTGGACGTGCGAGGCAGCCCCTCAGGGCGGCAGCTCCATTTTCAAGGGGCACCGTTAATAGTATTTTTGTGAAGCCTTAAGGAAATAATTTTACAGCCTGAGTCTGTTAGAACAAAGGAGATATTTTTAAACCTGAAACTTCCACGCCCAGCCACTCAGCCAGGACGCCAGGAGCAGCCGTTCCAGACATGAGATGTTACCACCCTGGACCTGCGCACGCCTTCCCCAAAGGGCGTGGGGCAGGGTGGGGTGCTGGGGGGGTCTGAGGCATCGCCCACGGCGCCTTCGGTTCGCGCAGGCGGATATCACAAAACACCCCCGGGCGGGTCTTGAAAAAGACAGGTTATTTCAGACGGTTTCAGAGGCTGGAAGTCCAAGACCGGGGAGCCAGGGGCTGGTCCCGGGGGGATCCCCATTTCTGGCGTTTCACTGCGTGTGGTCGTGGACGGGAGTCGGCTGTGGTCTCTTCTTCTTCTAGGGATACTGATCCCACCCCGGGGGGACCCGGGGGGCCCGCCCTTGTGACCTCATCTCATCCCCAGCCCTGGGCAAAGTCCTCAGCTCCCAACGCCACGCCGTGTGCTTCACGGCGTCCACGTGGGACTTGGGGACAACACGCGTTCCGTTTGTAACAGCGGCTCCAGGCAGGTGCCGCAGGCTTGAGGCGTAAACAACAGACGTTCTCTCTCCTGGGGACCCGGCGTCTGAGGTCCGGGTGTCCCGGGGCCGCGCGCCCTCCGCCGGCGCCAGGGAGGGCCCTTCCCGCCTCTCCCAGCTCCCGGGGGCCCCCCCCGCGTCCCTGGGCGGGGGGGCCGCGCCCCTCCCTCTCGGCCTCCGTCTCCGCGGGGCGTCTCCTCGGGGTCTGCGCCTCCTCTTTTGTGTCTTCTCAGGACACCGCCCTGGGAGGGAGGGCCGCCCTGCCCCAGGACGACCTGCTCTCTGATCCTTCACTCTTCCCGTCTGCAAACACCTTGTCTCCATACAAGGTCCTGGAGGGGGCCTTGGCAGGAATACACGACGCCACAGAAGCATCGCAGCCCTGCCTGTCCCTCCTTCCCGTCTTGGGGACGTGGGGTTAGCCGTTCACTATTGAGTCTGAATTAGCTGCAGCTGTTCCCACGCCTTTCTCTTATCGGCATAAGAACGGTGGCATTTTATTTCCCATTTGCTGAGTTTCTCATTGCAAACAGGGGTCACATTTTTTTTTCATCCCAAATGGATGTTAATGGGGGTTTTTTTTTCTCCTTGTTTCCCAGTTTGCTGAGTTTTTAATCCCAAAAGGGTGGGAAATTTTTTGATAAATCCCAAATGGATGTCTTTTTTTTTTTTCTGCTTCTGTTGAGAAGATAATCTGTTTTCTGTTAATAAGATGAATTATAGTGATGGTTAGAACGTGCTTAGGTCCTCAAGTAACTCTCTGGGGTCCTGAGGTATGATCTGTTTCACGTGTTGCTGGGTTTTACGTGCTATGATCCTGGGAAAGAAATTTGGGGTCTGGGTTTATTAGGAATGTCTGCCTCTCCTTCACCTTTCAAGTCTCAGAGTTGGCGGGAGGACCGTGGTAGCTTTGTCAAATCCGTCATGAGATTATTGCTGTCCCAATGTCTCTTCCGAAAGTCGGCGCACATTGGTGTCATTTCTTCCTTAAATCAATGGAAAGAAGCCATCCACACAACTTCTTGTTGGGAAGACGGTCTAGACATTGTATTCTTTCACACTAGGAATAGAGCCGTTCAGGGTTTGTGCGTCCTCACATCATTGTTAAATGTGTGTCTTTCGAGGAGTCGGCCTCTGTTACATATTATTGACGCTACGAGCATCAATGTGTTGCGCGTTCTTTTATTTTTCCCATTGCCTTTTTCATAGACTTTTGTTACTTGTATTGGTTTAGGGATTTGCCTGGCGGTTCCTTTCCTTAAGTTTCATTGGCTCTTCTTCCTTGAACTTCTTAACATGGAAACTTAGGTGATTGGATTTAAACCCTTCTTTTCTCACAGAAAAACTTAAAACTATACATTTCTTCCTAAGCCCTGCCTGTGGTAGTGGTGTACCACATTGTTTAATTTTATTTTTATTCAGTTCCAAATATGTTCTCAGTATTCTTGAGGTTTTTTTTAGGGTGTTTTGGTTTGTTTGTTTTTCGACCCATGTGGTGGTTTAGAAGGGTGTGGCTTTATTGGCAAATATGTGGTGGTTTCCAGATTTTTTTAAAAATTGATCTTGAATGGGATTCTGTTACAGTCAGAAAATGTAGTATGTGTTTTCAAAGAGTTAAATCTTTTCCAGTGTACCAGTCTGTAGTTCGGGTTTTGTATGATTGGTGTTTGCATAAAATATGCTTCTATTACTTTAACTTAAATGGTATTTACAGTCCTCTGAAAGGCTTTCTAACAATAGTAAGAATTGCTTGGTTTGTGAACTATATTGACAACATGACTATCATTGAGTCATTGTCATGCCTCCTGTTTGATGAAGTAGAGCAAAGTTATACTCTATTGCAGTAGAATTATATTGTATTATATTGTACAATTACATTCTATTGCCATGTGCAAACCGTTCCAAAGGCATATTCTCTGTGAGGCAGTTGGAGTTAAAGTCTGCAGCAGGGTTTGTTCTCAGTTCCCAGTGAAAACGACATTCCAGGAGAACCCTGGTTATAAAAGGTCCATTTCGCCTGCGAGGAGGGCCGCCCCCAAAGCGGAATTGATTTCTGAAACACTGCGTAGCGCTCGCTCCACGTCTAAACGTCCGTCCCCTTCCGAGGACTCTGCACCGGAGGCCATACCTGCATCGAGACGTTCTTCCCGCGGCTCAAAGCCGGTTTGGAACGCGTCGCTTCCGAAGCCTCTTCCCGCCACCTTTGGTTTCACCTCGGCACATCGTTCCCCTCGGAGAACTTTTATTCCATCCAGGGAAACAAAAGAGACGTGGCCGAGGGCGAGATCGGGTGCCCAGGGAGGCTGGGGCGCCGGGCTCCTGCCGGGAGGGAGGGAAAACCGCTGACCCCTCGGCGCGGAGCGGGCGGGGGCGCTCATAAACCGCCCGTCCGGGCACGGGCACACGCCTTGAAAGAGGCTCCGAAGAAATTCACCGAAGCCGACGGCGGCCTCTCCCAGCCACGCCGGCTGGGGCACGGATCCAGCCGAGCCCCTCGCACGCTCACAAAGTGCGGGAAGCCTGGGCTCCAAGCGGCCCGCCCTCCCGAAGATACCCCCAGGGTTTTCTGTGGGCGCAGGGGAGGGTCTGTCCTTGTGCACGGGATGCCCGCAGTGACCTGCTCTTCCCAACATCCGCCCCCAACATGGGCGCGGGGGGGAGCTCATGAGACTGAGGCTGTATTGCCCGTGGTCCCTGCCCGCTCGGGCAATGCCTTGTCTGCACAGAACTCGACTTCCCGGGATGCTGGCTGATTCAGTGGGAAAGCCACTTCCCCTTGAGGTGAGGGTTCAAGCCTGCCTCTCTCTTCTGACCCTCCCTTATACGCCTTTCAGAGCTTAGCCCACCCATTCAGAACTTAAGGATCGATCGGGGACAGAAAAGGCTGACGTGGGACGTCCATGGAAACATTTCCAGCATCGAGTGCTTCCGCGATGCCCACGGCCCCAGAACGGTAAACCGGCTTCCCTGTCCTGGCCACGCGCGACGTCTCCGATGCTTCCCGCGAAGGCCGAGCCCGTGTCTGGCGTCACTGAGACCTGAGCTCAGCGCCGGGCGCTCGGTGGAATGTGGGGTGAGGGCTTTGCAGGCACCGGGCACGGGGGTGCCTGGAAGGCGCCGGAGCGGGTCCGCGGAACGTGGGCCGCGAAGCGGCAGAGACACAGCCCCGCCCGGGTGCACGGGCGGGCTCAGAAATCCCCGTCCGCCCCCGTGCGCCGCGCACGGGCCCTCTTGGTCTGGCCCCGCGTCCGGACGGCCCGAGGACTGCGGGAGGCCTCCCGGGCGCGCCTGGGAGAATCCCGCCTGTTCGCAACGTGGCGCGTCGCAGGGGAAAGAAGAGCCCATCGGCTTCCTTGACAGGAAACTTGGTCTCCTCCGATCCGCCGTCAGTTAAGGAACGCAGGCCAAGTCACACGCCTCTGTTAGCCCCTCGGGCTGCCGCTGCGAAGGGCCACAGGCGAGGGGCACCAGCCGCGGGCAGTTCTTCCTCCCCGTCCTGGGGGCTGGAGGCGGAGCCCCGGCTGCTGCGGGCAGGGCCGGCTCCCCCCGAGCCCTCCCACGGGCGTCCCGGGGGGTGTGTCTGTGTCCCCGTCTGCTCCTCGTATAAGGCCCCCAGTCCTACAAGATCAGGGCCCCCGTAGGGACCTCCTTTGACCTTCGTCACCCCTGGAAAGACCCATCCCCAATAGTCACACAGGCGTTAGGGTTTCAAAATCTTTTCTTCCTTTTTCATGGAGGGACGTGTAAAACTTTTTAAAAATGGGTTCATTGTTGTTCAGGTACAGCTGCCTCCATGGTCCCGCCAGCACCGTCCCCCGCCCCAGCCACCCCCACCTCCCACCCTCGAACCTCCCCCCGTTGCTCTGTCCACGGGTCCTGGATCCACGTTCCTTGACTTGACCCTTCCTCGCGTTTCCCCCTTCGTGCCCCTCCCCCCTCCCCTCTGGCCGCTGTCCGTTTGTTCCTTTTTTCCGTGTCTCTGGTTCTGTTTTGCTCGCTTGTTTGCGTTGTGGATGAGGTTCCACTTACCGGTTTCCAACTCTTTCCCCTGCAACTCTGGCCAAATGGCTCACGACCTTCTCAAAACGTCAGGGTGTCCGGCCGCGTCTGTCCTCGGCACGTGCAGGAATTCCTGAGTCTGGCCTGCCGCCCTCCACGGCTGCTAGAAAGCTGCCCTGGGATCGCCCAGCACCACCGACCTTCACGTTGGCTTCCCTGCTCTCTGACGAAGGATCTCTTCTATTTGGGATGCTCTTCCTTCCTTAGTCTCCGCTTACACACTTGTGTTTTTTGGGTTTTGGTTTTGTTTTTGTTTTTTTTCGGAAAAGCTGCCCGTCCCCTAGAAGCTCGATGAGAGATCGTGCGCAGGAAGTAAACGTTTTCAAACCTGGAGTGTCTGAAAGTGCGTGGATTCTACTTTGACCACGGATTGATAGTTTGGCTGGGTATAGAATTGTAGCAGGGGGATTTCCCACCCAGAATGCTGAAGGCATTGCCTTATTGCGTTCTAAGCACCAAAGTTGATGTTTACAACTTCCTTGTCATGACGATTTCGTATCCTTTGAATATGAAAATGTTCCTCTCTAGCAACTTTTCAAAGCTCCTGCCCCTCCGCCCAATCCTCATGTTCGAAATTCTCAGCGTCCATGTAGTGTCCTCGGGGACGCTGTGCATGCAGCGAGTCTTGTTCACCCAAAGACTTACGTCCTTCAGTTCTAGGACGTTTCTCACTTTTTTTGTGAGTGATTTTCTAATGTCCCTCTCTCTCTTTGTTCCTGTCTGTCTGTCTGTCTCTCTCTCCTAGGAACACTGTCTTTCTGGTGTTGGCCTCAAGAACTGGTCCTTTGGTTCCCTCACTTCTTCTTTTACCTAAAAACTCAACCCTTCGTAAGGTGCTTCCTCCCCTAACTGCCCTCCAGGTTCACACATCAGCAGCATTTCTTGTTGCTCCATTTCCATCGCCTCTTCGGTCTACGTTTCTAGAGTGTTATCCTACTTTATCTTCCAATCCGGTCATGTATTTCCCTGTATTTAACCTCAGCTCTCTACGTCCCACGAGCTACTTTTACTTGTGTTCTTTGCACGTTTTTTACAGTGTCCTATGACCTTGTGTTGTAATTGAAGAAGCTCTTCCTTTTGCTGTCAGAACATCACGGGTGCTTTATTTATCAGTTTTCTTCTCACTGGCTTATCTGTCGTTCCTTCTTTTAGATTTTGTTGTCATGCGTTTGTTTTAGTTTCTCCCCTGGGGTTACAGAGTGTCCCCAGAAGTCGCATAAGCTTCTGGCGGCCTGCTCACGTTGAAGAGTCAGGGACTTAACGTCTAATGGGAAGCCCTGAGTGAGCGGGGAGGTGTGAGGTCTGGGAGACCCCCAAGGAGGGGTTCTGGCCGAACACCTAGTGAAGAATGCCTGACTTCAGACTCTTTGGGACTTTCCTCTGGGGCTGATCAGATTTGCCAAAAGTCACACTTCCGACCTCCTTCGTGGACAGAAAAGGCTGGTCTACCCCCTGCCTGCTCATGCCAAGTGGCGCGAGAACTCGGCACGCAGGAGACAGGCGTTCAGCAGGTGCCTTGGCTTTTCATAAAGCCTGGTTCTCCTCTTGATGATAAGATGTCTTCGTCCGCTGTGTTCCAGGAGTTCAGGCTGCTGTCCTTGGGCTGAGAGCGGGTCCTCAGAGGCCCCGCTTAGCATAGGTAAGGCAGGAGGGGAAACACCTACTTCTGCCACACTGCCTCATCCTCAGTGTTCTTCTCGATTCACTTCAGGTACCTAGGTCAGTGGATCAAAAAAGAGTGACTGTGTTTGTGACTCTTAACTTGCACGATCTAAGGAAGTGTTACAGATTGATGTGAATTTATGATATATGCCGGTGCCAAGTGTAAACACCTCATGATTTTGATCAATAGTTTCTATTATCGTTTCCTTTGATACCTGTTTCATATAGGTTTCCGTTTTGATTTTCTTAGTTTTCTGTCTTCCCCATGGCAATTTTTTTATATTATATTATCTTTAGGAAGACATCGTCTGTCTATTCTTATTTGTAAGTGGAATTATTTTGCCTGACTTTTTCTAGTTGTGTACATTCATAAACTTATTTTTAGGGAGTTTTAGGTTCACAGTAAAATTGAGGGGAAGAGACCGAGATTTCCCATGTATCCTCGGCTTCCTCTGCGCAGCCTCCCCCACGACCAACAATCCCAGCAGATGGGGCATTTGTTACAATGCATGAGCCTGAGTCGATACGTCCTCAGTACCCAGAGTCCACAGTTTCCATTGCAGTTCACTGTTGGAGTTGTACGTTCTATGGATTTGCGCAAACATGCAACGGCATGGATCATACGAAGCATCGTCTCTCCCCTCAAAAAAAATTCTGGGCTCAGACTATCCATCCCCTTTTCCTTCTGCCTAAGCCCTAGCAAGCAGGGATGAATTTAGTGAGTTCACCTGGCCAATACATACCACTTACCTTCCTGGCATTCCCCTGGGATTGCATTGAGCTGCTCGGTCCAGTTGGGAAGGTGGACAGTTTTCATTAAAAATCTAAGGATCATCAGTATCTGACTAAATGTGTTCTCTAAACAATAAGCCCCTATATCTCTCTTAGGCAAAAAAGAATCATTATTGTACAGTGCATGTCATTCCAAAATGTCAAGTACAGAACTACACTGTCAAAGTCACGGAGGTCAATGGGGAATCCTTTTCCACGTGGATTCAGTATCCCAGGCCAGGTGAGCGCAAAGTGTTCCTTTTTGGTTCTCAGTTGCTCTCAATGACACGTTGCTCTGCCTCTGGCCTTGGATGGATCGTCAGGGACAGAGGCTGAAACAAAACGTGGCCTTCTTGAAATGACAAAACGGTGGCCACAGAGGACAGAGTGGTGGTGGGCAGGGGTGGGCCACCCCTGCAGGGCGTCCGGTGCCATGATAGAAGGGCCACGATGGGGATCTTTGCAGGCCTGGACGTGCCGGGTCCCTTGCGCGCATGTCCGTCGACCCCCAGGTGGAGATACCGTCTTAGAGTGTTGTTACATCCCTGGAGGGAAGCTGCAGAGCATGTCTCTGTTTCCTTTCTTACCACGCCTTGGGCATTCCCAAGGATCTCAGAATTATAACTCTAAGAAGGGACCTGACGTTTCTGTGTGTGTTTTGTTGTTTGTGTTTTTTTTTGTTTGTTTGTTTGGTTTGCTTTGGTTTTGATGACCTTCTCTGCAAGCCCAGAAGGGAACCCGAAGGCGGCCGCTGAGCACCTGAAGTGTCGTGTCCATGACGTGCACTTCCTGACGTGCAGTTGGGCGGTGGGCAAGGAGGCCCCCCATGACGTCCAGTATGACTTCTACGTAGAGGAGGTGAGGTAGGTGTGACCGGAGGGATGGCTGGGGTGTCCTGGGGCATGGAGGGCCCTGGGTCCTTTTTAATCGTGCCCGACGTGCTGCAGTACCGGCAAGAGGTGGCCGTGTCCACTCTACACCAAACAAGAGCGGGGGACGCACATCCAGTGCCAGTTCGATAACGTCTCTCAGTTTCTCGCCAAGAACAATGACGAAAACCTCATGTACCATTTCGTGGTGAATGGCACCAGCAAAGCCTCCAGCATACCCTGCTCTGAAACGATCAGACAATTATCAGAAATTGGTGAGTGCGGATCCAGGCTATTTCCGTTCACCGAACCATACAAGGCCTTAAGGTGAGAGGGGACGCTGTGTATCCGAGATCGATAAGAACCGCTCCTGGGGAAGCGCTGGCTCAGGCAGGAGCCCCCACGGGGCCCCCATGAGGAGACAAAGGGTCGGCTCTTCAGAGAAAGGGGAGGGGACCGTGACTCCCACATCAGGCAGGCGTGGCTGCGGGGGCAGAGAACAGGGCGTCGTGACGCCGATTCTCAACACACAGCGTGTTCCACCCTCCGTCCTGGGCTCCCCCGTCCCGTCGTCCCGACGCCGGCTTCCTGTCCTCTCTGCAGGCGGCTCCGGGGGACACAAGGCGGCTTCGGGCCCCCTCGTGCAGAGGGGACTGTGTCCTGGTTTCCCATCCCAAGGCTGATGCACAAGACGTGCAAGGCAGCTCCTGGGGGCCGGCCGCTCCGGCTCCCTTTCCAAGGGGTCTGCGTACTGTCCCATTGCCCCGAGTTCAGACGGTGCTGCCTGCGCTCCGGCTGGTGTAACAGAATCGGGCAGACGGGGCAGCTCCCACCGTAGACGCAGTCATCTGGACGCTGGAGGCCTGAGGGCAACGGGCCGGGACGGTGCTTCTGGGGAGGTCTCTCCTGCCGGCGGCCCCCTTCTGCCTGAGTCCGCCCAGGAAGGCCCAGGAGCCCGGGCGTCCTCCTCTGGTTAGAAGGACATGATTTGCATCCAGGGGACCCTCTGTCGTGACCGCGTCCACCCGCAGTCCCGTAGCGAAGGCCCCGCCGCGCCTCCCCACGCTGTGCCAGCGGAGCCAGGGCTTCCCTGCCCGGGCAACGTTGGGGAGGACCCTCGGCCTCCGCTGCCCTGTGCTCCTGGCCCCGGGCTCGCGTCCCGTTTGCGTCGGCAGCGTTTCCGACACGCAGGTGGCCGTCCGCAGGGGCTGCGCCCGAGGCTGCAGGCGGGGAGTCGGGCTCACGCGGTGCCCCCGCCCCAGCCCTGCGTTCGGGTGCTGATGGGTCTGTCACCCAAGGGCCCCTCAGGAACTGCACATGCGTGTTTTCCCCTGCACCACGACTGCCCCAGATGGTGACAGCGTCCAGCCCCAGGCACCGGTCCCCTCCCTGGCCCGGCCCCATGTTGTCACCTGAATAGAGAGGCTGGTACGAAAGACCGGCGGCGGGGGCCTTCCCCTTGTCTGGGGTCCCTCCCCGCGAGCGGACGTGCGGTGTTATTCGCATGCGTGGGAGGCCGCAGACCTTCAGACGTGGGCGCGCGTTGTCACGGGCAGACCCCAGGCTGACCCCCCCGGCCGCGCCGATGCTGCCCAGCCCCCAGCGCCCACCCGCGCCCGGCGGTGACACAGTGCCCGGGGAGGGCGTGACAGATCCACGGGGCTGCGGGAGCGAGCGAGCTGAGGGGCTCCTCATCGGTGTGCTCGGGGCTGCCTCGGGGCGCGGGTGCTTCGGCAGGGCTGACCCGGCCGCTCTTGGGGCGCCCCGTCGGGCCTGCTCTCCCGGGACCCTCCTGGCGCGCGGCATTTGGAGGACGGAACGGGAGTCCCAGGCCGCCGTGTGGGGGCAGGGCCGAGGCGGGATGACAACACGCACGGGGCGGCAGGAGAGGGAGGGGTGCCCGGAGCTGGGACCGCCCGGCCGCGCGCGCTGCGCTTCCTGCCGCAGTGCCCGGTGCCGCGCCCGCAGACCGGTGGGGACTCGGGGCCGCCTTCCGGGCGGGGCGACCCACGGCCGCCCGCTCAGGGGAAGGGACGCGGGAACCAGGCTCTCACGGGAGGTTGCGGAGCCCTGCCGTCGCGGGGAACGCCGGCGGAGAAGCCGAGACACACCGGCTGCCGCGGCGGGCAGGGGGGTCCGGGAGCCGCGGGCTCCAGCCGGCGGGGGCCGCGGGGTCTTCAGGATGCAGGGACACACGGCAAGTCGGCGCACGTCCCTTGAAGGAAGGCGGCAGCTCCGCGTCCCAAGACACTTGGGTCACGCGCCCCTGTGCACTCCGGTGTCCCCTTTCTGTAGCCCTTGCAGGGACTGTCCTCTCCTCCTCTCCACCGCCGCCCGCCCCCCGCCACCATGTCTGAGACGCCTGTTTCAAAGCATCTCCCGGGAAAACACGTGGATTTGTCTCGCTCACCCGTGGTTTTTCTTTTCCTGCCCTAGAGGAACTCATGGTACCCAAGCTGACCGTGAACTGTACTCAGTCCTGGGCTCTCCTGCGGTGGGACATGGCCAGCCACTTCCAACCGTCGTTGCACTACGAACTGAAAATACAAAAGGTATACGCGTGCCCCGAAGGGTTATTCCGGTTCTTGTCTGTCCTTGGGGGGGGTCGATCACAGACACACGCACAAAATATAGGCGCCACGCAAGACGGGAGCTTTGGCAAAACTAAAGTCACGCTGGCTATTCAGAAGGCAAAGAGCCGATCGGAACAGGCAAGGGGAGGAACAGAAGAGCGTTGGGTACGCAGCGGTCACGTAGTGGCTGCTACGTCGAAGGACTTGGGTGTGGGAAAGACAACGGAGCCTTGCAGGTCGGGACAAAGCAGCCGCCTGTGCACTGCCGGTCCGTTTACACCCTAGCATCTCCGGAGGAGGTCTCCGCGTTGATTCACGTAGGATAGTATTGACAGTCCAGCCGTGCGCGTTTGGTGCTCTGCTATCCATGGGGATCTGTTATTTTCGTGCACGGACTTGTTTTTATGATCCTCCGCCGGCCGCCTGAGCCTCGACTGCCTGCCCGTGTGTGTTATGTTTGCGTGTGCACGGGTGTGCGCTCTCTGTGACCGCCCACCCGCGGGTGCCTCACGCTTCGTGTTTCCATACACCGGACCCTGCTCGACGCAGCGAGATGCTCCGGGCTGGGCGCTCACGGCCGTTGGCTTCTGTCTTGCAGGGTGCAGATCCCGCCTTCACAGAGAACGTAAGTGTGCCTGGAGCCTGGGCCCCCCCGCCTGTCTTCGGGGTCCTCTGCCCCATGGCTCGGTCAGCCTCCGGGCCCTGTCCCCACGGAGGAGAGACGGCCCGGGTGCCCGAGACGGAGCTGCCCGGTGCCGCCCGCAGAGGGCCTCGGCCGTCCCCGAGGGCCCGAGGCCGGGACAGGCACTGAAGGGGGCGGGCGGAGTCACTGAACCCTGAGCTCTAGGCAGAACCCGCGACGGGACCTCCCAGACGGCCCGCGCGTTGGACGAGCATCCATGAACTTTGGCCGTGGAGTCTCTGTCCGTCTGTCTCTCTCTTTCCCTCATATTTACTCTAATTCTGTCGGTCTCTCGTTCTCTGCCTCCGTCGCCACGGGACATCCCCTCCGGGTCTGCGTCCCCACGTCCGTCTCTCTCAGGACCCTGTCCTTGACGTAGGGCCTCCCTGACCCGGGACCCCTTCCTCTCAGACCCTTCACTCACCCCATGTGCAAAGACCCTGTTCCCGCATCAGGTCCTGCTCACTGGTTCCGGGGGCCGTGCCTCTCTCGGTCGGGGCGGGGGGCAGTATTTGGCCCTCTGCAGGGCTCGAGGCACAGGCCCCCGCAGCTGGCCCCCTGGTTCTTGGCCTCGCTGGCGGTGGCCAAGCATCATTTGCCTCCCACGGGTTATAAAGAACGTCTTGGTTTGGGCCCCAGACCCTGGGCTGAGACGGAAAGGGGCCTCCAGGCGGTCCCCCGAGCACAGGCGTCTCCCCGCGGCCCTGACCGGCACTGGTCGCGTTCCCTCTGGGGCCTCACGTGCGGCCTGGGGCTGCTACAGCACACACCACAAGCCGGGCCTCTTAAGACAATCAAAAGTCACCGTCCTCCCTGCCCCGCCCCGGAGGCCACACGTCCGAGATCGCAGGGTCCAGGGCTGCGCACCTTTCAGAGGCTCCGGGGTACAGTCCGCCCCGGGTCCGTCCCCCTTGGCCAGTGCTGACAGCGATCCCATGTCCAAGTGACAGCTGCCTGTGTGGGTGTCTGTGTGCTAGCCTCCGTTCTCTCGAAGGATCCGGGCCCCGGTACGCCAGGCGGAGCTCCTCTTGGCTCCTCCCATCGGTGCAGAGGCCACCTCCAAATCAGGTCCCCTTCCCACGCGCGGGAACCCGGCGGGGGTCCTCCGCGCCCACGGCCGGGCTCCGCGCCGCCCTCCCCACGGAGGGCGAGGGGCTGTCTTCTTCCTTCTCCTTTCCCTGACAGGTCTCCCTCCCGTCCTGGAGGCTGACCAACCCGGGAACCTTCACGGCGACCGTCCGAGTCAGGGGCAGGCCGTGGAGCACCCCCCAGCGCTTCGGTGAGTGGGGCGCCCTTTCTGTCTCCCTCCTGGGTGAGCCACGAAGGTGTCGGGCACTGCTCCTCTGCAGGGGACCTTACAGTCCCTGAGATCTTCTGGGATGTCCGCCCCCGAAGCACACGGGTGTCCCCCCCACCTGGCTCGGTACCCCCAAAGACGAGGGCAACAGGGGATCCCGCACCTTGCGCTCACCCCACGGGAAGGCAGAGGGTGGACACTGTCCCACAAAGAGCCACTGGAGTGGTGGAGTGACAGAGCTGTCCCCAGCCAGGGGGTCCTTGCCTGCCACCCAAGGCCACCCTGGGGACAGTGGTAACCCCTGATGAGACAGGGGCCCCCAGGATGAGAGCGGCCACGTCTCCCTGCCCTTCCCTGGAGCGGGGCCCCGTTCCCGGGCCCCAGCGTCATCCTGTTTCGCAGGGGGCGTGGCAGGAAATGTTTCTCTCCTGACCGGCAGCGGGTAAGAGCAGGCCGGCCGACGGCACGGAGGGCCGTCTGCTTTACTGAACACTTACTGGTTCCGAGAGGAATCTCACCTTTCAAAAGACACTCCCCGCCCCGCCCTGGCTGGGTGGCCCAGGGGGCTGGAGCCTCACCCCGCACCCCCAGAGGCTGTGGGGTCAAGGCCCATGTACCCAGGTTGCGCCTGCGACGCCAACCGCAGTGCCCCTGAGAGGCGGCCGGCCCATGACCCTGTCCCCATCACTGTCTCTCCCTCTGTCCCCCTTCCTCTCGCTCTAAAATCAATCAACATTTCCTCAGGTGAGGATTTAAAAAAGAAAAAAAACAACACCACAAAACCTTCGCGGTGACATCCACGCCGGTGTCTGACCCAACGTCCCGCGTCCTGTGGCCCAGCCAACGGGACACATGAAGTTGCCGGGCACAAGCTCTGACTTTGTTCCCTGGAGCTGCCGGCGGGCCCACGGGTGGCCTTGTTCTCGACGCCGTCCTGCAACGGCCAAGGTCGAGGTGTCCTTGGAGCGGGCTCCCTGGGGCGCCGTGGGAGCGATCAGGCCTCTCTCAGCTGCCGGGGGCTCCGGGCCTCCAGGCCTCCAAGTCACAGCCAGATTCCCTGGGCCTCGGGGGAGACCCCGTTCCCCTTTGCCTCCTCTTCACCTTCCCCTGGAACCTGTGTCCAGGCTTCCTGGACCTCAAGCTGGTCTCACCGGCAGGTGGCAGGGTCCCTGCTGGCGCCTCGGCCCCTTCTGAGCTGCCATCTGTGGCTGCACCCCGCCCGCACCCCCACCCCCACCCCAGGTCCCTCTGTCCCTGGCTGCTGGGCTGTCTGTCCTCTGCCCAAGCCGTTCCGCTTGGCTGCCGGTCCCCTTCAGGGCGACCAGCGCGCTGCTGCCCCAGAGATAAATCTCTGAATGCACTATTATTTTTAAAATCAAAATCCATGTAAACAATTCGGGATGGACACAACGCCGCATTCCAGGGCTGCGGGAGAGAGCGCAGCAGGGAGGGACGAAGGCGGTAGTTGCCGAAGGCGGTAGTTGCCGCGCAGGCAAGTCCTGGCCTCCGCAGGCCTGGCCCAGCGGCAGCAGCGACCCCTCCAGGGCAGCCCGCGCAGCAGCATCACGTGCCAGGTCTTGGAAAAACCCTGGTGCGGCAGGAGGTCCCTGTGGAGCGCCCAGGCCACTGCGCGATGGTCGTTGTTCCCAGAGTCCCTTGCTGGCGGGGGCGTCGCAGGGATTCCCGCGGGCGCCGCCGGCGCGAAAGGGGCCGTCGTCCCAGCGGGACGCACCCCGCGCGCGCCGCTTGCCCTCGCCCACGGCCCACGGCCCGCAGCTTTGGGAAACCGCCGCCCGAGCCCCCGCCAGGGCCGCCCTGACGCTTCCCCTCTGTCTCTGTTCCCCAGTCTGCGACCATAAGAACAGGTCTCACCTCCACGTCTGGATGATCGCGCTGGCCACGCTGCTGGCCGTGGGGGCCGCGGTCGTGCTCTGCAAAAAGTGAGTCGCGCTCTGGTTTTTCCTGGCGTGCGGGGCTCAGAGCGCCTCGCCAGCACCCGTGGCCGCTGCGCGGCCCCCTCGCCGAGCCCCTCCCCCACGCGCGGCGTACGCGCGTCTTGGCTGCGGGGGCAGGGGGGCGGGGGCGGAGGGGCGCGCGCCGCCTGCCCCCAGAGACCGCTGCCTGCCGGCGCCCCAGCGGGTCTTTCTGAACCACGACCCTGGTTTTGGGCGGCTGCTCCCCAGTGCAGTGTCCTTGAGGCGCCTTCCCTGTCCGCGCGTCCACACGTGTTGGTGGACAGGTGCGCGCTGCAGCCAGGCGCACTCGTGTGTCTCCACAGGGCCCTAATATCGCTCCTTTAAACCACACTCCCCAAGCCTCCAACACCCTGCCGACGTGGCTCTGGGTCCCGCCCCCCGCCCTGCGGGCCGGAGCCCAGTGACCGCGTCCCTGCGGCTGTCCCCACGGGCGCAGGGCTCCCGGCTCGGTCCTGCCCGCGTGCCGGCCGCTGTGCCTACGCAGGGCGCCCTGCGCAGCCCGCCGCCGCCCTGGGGCCCGTCCTGGGGGCCCCGCCTCCCGCCCGGCGTCTCTCCTGGCTTCCCCCTGCCCCAGCCGGACCCTGATGCCGGCGCGGGTTTGCCGAAGGGGCCGGCCGCCGCCCCAGGCGGGGAGCGCGAGCTTCCGGCAGAAGTGGGTCCTGGTGGTGGTTGCCATGGTGGCGCGCACCCTGGTGGCCGGTGAATAAAAGATGCAGGTCCCGGCTCAGGCTGGCAGATCCCTGGGCGGCGGGGTAGGGAGGGCGGGCCCGGGGATCCCCGAGGGTCGCGCTCGGGCCGCGGCTCAGGGTGTCTCTCCCAGGTACTCGGTGCCGCACACACTCTTCCCTCCCATCCCGCGCGTGAAAGACCCCCTCGGAGACACCTCTGCGCACGACAAGATGGTACTGGTGCACCGGGTTTCTCCCAGCTGGGGGGTCTGGGGGACCAGGCGGCCACAGCCTGCCCCAGGGCCCAGGGGGGGCGGGGGGGAGGTGGCAGCCCCAGAGGAGCGGTCCCCAGAGTGGCTCCTGCAGGCGGGCAGGGCACGGCGCCCCGGGGAGCCCGGCACCGGGGTCGGTTCCGTCCTGGGAGGGGCGGCCCCCCCCCCGCCCCCTGGCTGCCCAGGGTGCATGGGCTACGCAGTCGGGGGCCCTGGTGACCCATGCGGAGCTCCCTCGCGCTGCAGGTGGCCTGGAAGGCCAGCGGACCCCCCCCAGAGGACTGTCCAGTGGCCGAGGTGCAGCTCGTGAAGGGCACATGAAGGTTGGCCCGGCTGTGGGCCCGGCTGTGGGCCCGGCCAGGGTCCGGCACAGCCTGGCAGCCTGTGGATGAGTGGACGTTTGTAAAAGGGACTGGGGGAGAGAAGAACCTAAATAAAGTGCCATTCCAACCCCTGCCCCGGCCCCATGTGGGCGTGTGGCCCGTGGCCCAAGGCTTCCGGGACCCTTTTTCCTGCAGAGCTGCTGCTTGGCGGCTTCACTGCTTCCCGGTCAAGTGGCTCAGGTGGCGCTTGTTACAAACCTGCCTTTTTGCTGTTACCTTGGCTTCCGAAGTGGGAGGGACCCCAGGAAAGGCTTCTGGGCAGCAGGGTGCCCCGCCCGCCGGCCGGCAACCCCACATTCCCGACCCAGAGCCCGCCCCGGAGACACCGGGCCCCCCTGAAGAAGGTCGTGGGCGCCCACGCCCTTCCCTCACAGCAACCTGGGTCTGAGGCAGGGCACCCTGCCAACTGCTGGCACAGGCACCCGGAGCACAACTGCGGGTTTCCAACCTTGTCGACTCCCATGCCTCCCATCTCAAGTGGCGGGGGTGAGGGGTGGGTGGGTAGAAGTTGCCCCACAGTACAGACACCGAGGGCACTGGCTTCCAGAAAATCACCCAACACGACCACGCCATGCCCCGTGCACAGCATGTCCTTGGACGCCAAGGGCGGATCTGGTCTCGCTTGGGCGCATGGTTCCTGCGACAGGGCCCTGGCTCCCTCGCTGGCTGCCGTCCCACGGGGGAGACGGGGTGTCCGTCCCGAGCCCGGCAGCCGGCAGAGCTGCAGACAGGACAGGCAGGCGGGGACCGGGAGGCCTGGGGGCCCAGATGCCGGCTGCTCCGCTGAGGTGGCGGGACCCCCGCGGGCGTGCCTGTCAGGATGTCCCGTCCCTTTAGCTCGCAGGTGCCACCTGACCTCGGGGCGTGGACCCAGCAATGTCTCGGGCCCTGGCAGGCTCAGCCGCGCGGGGCGAGGACGCTGACCGCCCGGGGCCGGCGCGCCAGGCAGAGCGGGAGCCAGTCCACGGCGCTGGGTGGGAAAACGCTGCAGGAAAGGCCGGGGAGGAGGCGGGCTCACGGGAGGGAACCTGCGCTAAGCCAGGCGGCCTCTGCAGGGATCGCCGCGCGGGGCGCAGGCGCCCCCCTACGTCCTTGCTCCTCACCCCCCACCAGGGGCAGCCCAGCGGCCCTCCTGGGCCCCTCGCACCCCCGGACCAGAAAGAAGGCACCCAAATTAGTTCTGTGTCTGGATTTAATTGTTTGCAGCAAAATGCCCAACATAGAACATAATCGCCAATGCTCAGCTGTGCAAAAACGAGAGTGCTTAGGTACAAATGGGCAACATGATTTCCGTTAAATAAAACGAAGCCCCGCCAGGTCGCGGGAGCGCGCAGGCGCTGGCTCCCGGCCTGCGCGGTGCGGCGGCCCGCCCGTGCACCCGGGGCGCGGGGTCCCCTCCCCCCGCATGGAATCGGGGTGCCCGTGCTGCGACCAGGCGGGGAGGCTGGAATTTCTGGAAGGTCAATGGTCCGTAACAGTGACAGGTTCTACGCGGCGCCCCTGGTCCCGGTCCCGGAGTCCCCGGGCGGACGCACTAGATGACCTTCTTCAGCTCGTCGTACAGGACCAGCACGAACGCGCCGCCCATGCCCCTGAGCACGTTGGACCAGGCGCCCTTGAAGAAGGCCTTGCCGCCCTCGTCCTTGAAGATCTTCCGCCAGCAGTCCACCGTCCCCTTGTACATGATGTCGGCTGCGGGCAGGCGGGGGCGCAGCTTAGCAGGCTCGTCAGGAAAGGGAGGCCCAAACCCAGCCAAGGGTCACCCCAGCCCCGGGGGTCTGGGGTGGGGGTCACGTCTGACCGCAGGCTGAGGAAAGGTCGGGGACCCCAAGGGCCCCGCTGGGCCTAGGTTTGGGGGTGTGCTCCCACAGAAGCCTGCAGACCCCGCGTACTCCGCCCCACAGGCCACGCGACCCCCTCCGGGAGGGGTCAAGGAGAGGGCTGCAGCCACAGCACGACCTGGAGAGGGACCGTCCGTGGCCGGGCCTGCCCATGGCGGCCACACCACACGCCGCCCACAGCCCTCTGAGAAGGGCCCTGGACGGGACAGCTCCCAGCCCCCGCCCAGCCCACAGGCCCCCAGGGAGCCCGTGGGCAAGCCCCCCCCCCCGCCCCCGCCTCCCCCGGGCCGAGGCAGATACCTCCTTTGCGCCCAGACTGCATCATCATCCGCCTGCGCACGGTGTCGAAGGGGTAGGAGACCACACCCGCCACGGCCGTCACGGTCTGGGCGATCATCCAGCTCACCACGATGTGGGTGTTCTTCGGGTCCGGGAGCATGCCTGCGGGAGCACCGCGGTCAGGCCACCTCCCCTCCCCACGTGGCTGCGGGCGCCAGCCCCACCCCTCCACGCCCCTGCGGTTCTCGGCTCCCGGAGAGTCAGGGCCAAGCTCCGCGAGGGGGCCTGCGGTGAGGGACGCCACCGGCAAGCCCCGGGGACAGTCCCAGAGAACAGCGCTGTGGGCCCTGACCCTTAAGGGCGCAACTGTGTCTCCCCAAAATTCAGCAAGGGGTCTCAGACCCCAGGACTCCAAAACGGAACCGTATTGGCAAACAGGGCCTTAACGAGAAGATAATCAAGGCGAATGAAGTCACTAGGGTAGCCCTGACCTACGCTGACGACCGTCCTTATAAGACGAAACGAGGACACAGGCGCAGAGAGATGGCGGTGGGAGGACACAACGGGGAGACCGCCGACCACAGGCCCCGGAGAGGGGCCTCAGCGGGAGCCCGCCCTGCCCGCACCCGGGTCTCAGCCTCCAGCCCCCAGGGCTGAAACCGCACGTCTGCTGCCAAGTGCCCTTGTCACAGCCGGCCAGCCAAGGGCACACCCACCTTTGGCGGTGTCGTAGATGCCGAAGTAGGCGGCGCGGTAGATAATGATGCCCTGGACGGAGACGTTGAAGCCCTGGTACAGGCCCCGGATGCCGTCCGACTTGGTGATCTTCACCAGACAGTCGCCCAGGCCCTTGAACTCCCGCTCCGTGCCCGTTTTCCCCACGTCAGCCGCCAGACGAGTTCTGGCGAAATCCAGGGGGTAGACGAAGCAGAGGGAGGTGGCGCCGGCGGCACCGCCCGAGGCCAGGTTGCCTGCGAAATACCTCCAGAACTGCGTGTGCTTGTCCACACCCCCCAGGAAGATCTGCTTGTACTTATCCTTGAAGGCGAAGTTGAGGGCTTGGGTGGGGAAGTAGCGGATGACGTTGGCCAGGTTGCCCCGCCAGAAGGAGAGCATGCCCTGCTCCTTCGGGATGCGCACGATGCAGTCCACGATGCCCTTGTACTGCTTATCGGCCGCGATCTGCTTGCTGGCATGTTGCACCTGAAGGGTGGACGGAGAGCGCTCACGGAAGGGCCTTCCCGCAGTGACCAGAGATTACCCGACGAATGGTGTCCTTCGAACACTAACTCGCGCACGGGCCGCTGAGCTGTCCTCAGAGTTCACAACTGGGCTTTCGCCGCAACAACGTTGCCAGCGACCTCCTGGCAACAACGTAGCAGCTAACGCGCTACGCTTGCAACAGTTTCACAACACGTTGCTGAAATTGCCATTTAAAGCGCCCCAGACTACCATAAAAGGGTGGGAAGGATTGAAACGCAACAAAGGGCACCGGCTGGGCCCAGCTGCCCCTCCCCGCCCCGACCCACGGGGACAGGTTCACGCAGCCGCCCGCGCCCCGGCCCGGGAAACGCGTGCGCGCCCCGGCCCCTCCTCTGCGCAGGCGCACCGCTCACGTGAGGCGCCCCCGGAAGTCTGCGGCGTGGACAAAGCGGTGCTGCCTCGCACTTCCGGCGCCCGCCCGCCCGGCGGCCCCAGTGCGCGCAGCCCGGCTGGCGTGCTGCCCCCTGGCCCCGATCCGCGGCTCCCCGCGCCCGCGCGTGCGCGTGAGCACACCGCCCTACCTGCAGCAGCAACTTGACCCGCTCGATCGGGGCCACGGCCGTCTTGGAGATGGCGGCGGCGATGCCTCCGGCCAGGAAGTCCTTGGCGAAGGAGATGGCCTGTTCCGTCATGGTGACGCAGCGGGCGGCGCAGAGGGCGCAGAGCCGAATGGAGGCGCGGAGAGCCGGAGGGTAGGGGCCGCTGGCTCAGCGTTGCTGCCGCCGCCGGGACCGAAAGGACAGAGAAGCCAGCGCGCAGCCGCTAAGGCGCCGACGCCCCGCCCTGCGCCCCCGCGCACCGCTCCCATTGGCTGTGTCGCGCGCCGGTGCCCCGCCCCTCCACTACGCCGCGCCCCAGTGGGTTGCCAGGAGCCGCGGCGCGCCCGCCCCGCGCCCTCGCGTGCAGCTCCCATAGGCTGCGCCGCGCGCGTCTTCCCGCCCCCTTCCGCCCGCCGCGCCCCCGGGCAGGTTGAGAGCTGTGCCCCGCCTACGTGCGCTGCGTTCCGGGGGCTGACAGGCCACCGTGACCTTGTCAAGGGCACGTCGGGGCCCGGAAGAGATGCGAGAGGCGGCAGCGGAGCCGGGAGGTTGGGGGAGCCTGGGGGTCGCAGATATTCGAGCCGGAACCCCTTCCCGCCCGGGCCCGGGGAGGACCGTTCGGTCGCGGGGCTCGTAGCCGGAGCCGCCCGACACGTGTTATGCGAACCCCGATCCCACGGCTCCCGGAGCCCCGCCCGCGCCCCGCGGCCCGGCGGGGGCCCAGGGCCCGCCCGCCTCCTTCCCGGAGACAGCGGCGTGTCCCGAGTCCATCCGCGTGGCACACGACCTCGACCCGCTCTGGGGGTTGCGGAGCCCGGATACCGGGATCCCTGGTGACCCTGGGCCCCGGCCCCTCCCCCACGCCCGCCCCACCCCCGCCAGGCCGGGGGCCGCGCTACCGGATCCCCGGCCCCGAGCGGGGCAGGAGGACGGGTGCTGCGCCTCACACTCATCCCCGCCTGCTCACCTCCCGCCCGCAGCGAAGCCCCTGAGCCTCGCTCGCTTTGCATATTGTGGACGTTTTACTGCATTGTAACGAAAAGGCCCGCAGGTCGCCCTTTGTCCCTGGGTGAATTTTCAGGCAGCACCCATGCCAACAATAGCTACTTAGTAGCGACCTTGGAGGCTCTTTTCTTTTTCCTTTCCCTCCCTCTTTTTTTTTTTTTTTTGGTACGTGTTTTTGTTTTGTGTTTGCGTCCCAACCAGCAGGTGAAACCCGCACACCCTTGGTGGATGATGGGCAATGCTGGTAAGCGCCAGAGGCGCCCTAAGCACCCGGACCAGCGGCTTCCTAGTCCCCGGTGTCCTGGGGCGGCCCTCTGCTTCCTGCCCTGAGCTCAGGGAGCAGCAGGTGGGGCTGGGGCGGGGCCTGAAGCTGGCAGGTGCCGCAGCTCCTCCTGAGCGGGAAGCGGCCTTGGAAGAGCTAGCACCTGGCACGTTGCTGAGGCTTCACCTGGAAGGGGCAAGGGGCATGTGCCCACAGGATCCAGTCCAGCAGCCTGCAGCCGCCGTGGCGTTCTGGGGTAGCAGACAGGGAGATCCACTTCCAGAAGGGCAAGGGAATTTGCCCTGGCTGACCGGCGGCACTGTGGATGAGGAAAGCATGCATCTGCCTCTGGTTTTACCCCAGCAGGTACTGTGCCGGAGTCAGTGTCCCCAGAGTATTGGAAAGACGTCTAAAAAAAGGATGGGCTCATTTTTTTAGAAAGAAGGGGCAAGTTTTAAAAGACGTCAGGGCTAGGGGAAGGCTCTGAATGGGTCTCCAAGGTGATGACGGGGTAGGAATGAGGGGGGGCGGGGGTGCCGGCAGCCAGGCCCTGCCTTCAGGGGCCTGGTCTGCTGGGTGTCCAGGGGCGGCCTGTCTGGGGGGGAAAAGGGACCCACAGGGACCCTGAAGGGGAACGGGATGGGCTCAGGCCATGGTGACTCAGCCATATCCTTAAGGTCAGATGTTCCTGCCTGTTCCCTACACCTGCCCCCAGGGGACAGACTCTTCCCAACGATGACGCATCCAGACAGTGCCGTGTCCGGCGGGCATTCAAACGCCCGCTGGGTGAACAAAGGAACCCACGAATAGCACCTGAGGGTGGGGCTCCGGTCGGGCACCCGTCTGCGCCCCCGCAGTCCCTGCGCGTTCCTGGAGGTCAGACCCTTAAAAGGAGAGACAGACGCGTGCGCACACAGCGGCATCCCAGGTCAGACGCTCTGAGAAACACGGCTCCGCAGAGTGTTTACCATCCACAAAAAGACAGTCTGTGAATCCTTTTTTTTGTCTTTCCCCATTTTCATTTCTCACCAAGAGAGTTTCCAACAGCCGTGAAGGCACAGCAGCTGGTACGGGGGGACCCTGGCCCCTCGGTCAGGTTTCACAAGCGCCCCCTGGGCGATACCCTGCCCCCGGGGAGACTGCGGGCTGGGGCCTCCTGACAGCACGTCCCCGTGCCCGTCACGCTCGCGGCCGTCAGGCTCTGGTGGCCAGGACCACGTCCACGGCGCTCCCGGTGTACACGGCACGCACGTCGGTGAAGCCGTGCATCTCCAGCAGGTGCCGGTACTCGCCCAGGCTGCGCTCCCGGCCCATGGTCTGCACCAGCATGTTCAGCGACTGCAGCAGGGCCCCCTGATTTTCGCGCTTCTCCTCGTCCAGCAGCATTTCCACCACCAGGAGACCGCCACCTGAGGGCACGAGAGGGCGGCTGGGGTGCTGACCAAGGACGCGGGGAAGGGGGCCCCGGGCTCTCACGGGCGCCAGGCTGTGGGCAGATCCTGCCAGGCTGGGGGATCAGAGGGAGACGGACAGACAGATGGAAAGACAGGGAGAGGGGGGGAGAGACGGGAAAACAGGGACAGCGTAGAGGGACAAGAGCGTAGGGAGTCACGGAGACACAAAGGGAGGGACAGGGGGAGCAGGGCAGAGGGAGAGGGAAGCGGGGGCTGGGGTGCCTGGTCCTCGGGGGCAGGCCAGGGCTCCCCGGAGGGAATGCTCCACGGTGCAAACAGGTGGGAGACTGTTATTGAAGGGGGACCCTCTGGGAGCCCACTGGGCCCAGGGGACAGGTCCCTGGGCCCCAGCCGCTTGCAGCAGCCACGACCAGCCTGGCCAGGGCCAGGAGCCGCGGGACGACGGGCAGAGAGAGGGTGTGAGAGCAAGACAGCGTGCGGCGGGGGAGGGACGGGGGGCAGGGGAGGGGGCCCCCAGACATCGCCAGGGGGCCTGGGCGATGACGCTGAGGAAGCCTCCGCTCAGCGGCTGCTGTCCAGGGGCTCAGACACTTGTCCCCGCCGTCCTCGGCTCCAAGGGTCCCCAGGAGGTCGGTGCCCTCAGCACCAGAGGGCAGGTGGCAGCCGCATACCAGATGCGAACATCGCTGAACGTCTTAAAGTGTCAACCTTGATGCATTTCTAAAAAGGAAGCTAAAATGCACCATCCCACCTGGTTTGCAGCTGCTTGAGATGCGGCTCAGCAACTGGTGCACCTGGTTGTCAGGCCAATCGTGGAGGACTCGGCAAACAATGTAGAGGTCGGCCTCCGGGTAGGTGTCGCGGAAAAAGTCGCCTGGTTTGTGCACAAAATGTAACCATCCTCTCAGGGACACAGGAACCCATCGTCCCGGAGAGGGAAATGGGGGGCACCACCTTCTGCATTGACAAGAAAAGGGAAGCTGCCTGGAGCGGGGTGAGGGTCCCCCCAAAGAGAGGTGTGCATGTGTTAACGCTGGAACCTGGGGCAGAAACTTATGGGATCAGGGTCTCTGCCGCGGCGATGACATGGAGGATCTCACAGGACCACGTCCTGGGTCAGGGTGGCCCTGCAGCCAGTGAGAGTGTCCTTCGCAGAGACACAGACCCAGAGGAAGAACCAAGCGCACACAGAGGCAGAGACCAGAGGGACGCGGCCACCAGCCCTGGGACCCGGGGAGGCCCAACGGCGGGACGAGGCGGGAAGAGCTCTCGCTGGGCCGGTGGGGGGCTCGCGGCCCCGAAACCCCCGCATCTCGGACGCCTGCTCTCCAGGACGGAGACAGGAGCAATGAATGTCTCTGGTTTTGAGGCGCCCAGTCTGTGTAGTTACTTTTGCAGCCATAGAAGGAAGCCCACATTTACTTTTCAAAAAGTTCCAATGTTGCTGTGTATGACCAACTGTTACATTCTTACTGGGCAGGATTACTGTGTCTGCACTAAACATAGAGCTGGTGTTTTTCTCTTACTCCTCAAACGATACAGTGAAATACCATGCAGCGCTGACATTGTATCACAAGTTATAAGGAAACTGCAGTAGGGTGTGCAGAGCTCCTTCAGAAACACAGGTCATCTTTTATAAATAACATAAGTGCTGAGGTTCTGGTATTGGAGGGGGACCTGGAACCCACCCCAGGGGGACAACAGCGGCAGCTGTACACACGGACGTGGGCCACAGAGACGCAGACGGCACGCACACGTGCCTGCACACGCACGGAGGCACTCACACAGGCCCACGCGGACACGTGTCCCAGGGCAGCCCAGTGCTGAGCAGATGTAAACACACAGAAGCGCTCACCCGGCACGAAGCTGACCCGCGCTGTCTCTGGTCCATCGGGTTGAAAACACTTGGCATCCTTGATGACGTCCGGGAGGTCAAACACGGTCACCTTCAGACCCGGGTACTGCCGGGCGAGCTCGTGGGCCAGGGTACCCGTGCAGCCTGCGGGTGCCACACACGCTTTACCACCTCCCCTTCCTGGTGCTTAGGAATCCCTGGGTGAGTTTACAGGGTTCGACCGAGGCCAAACCGAGCCATGATGTGGAACGTGGATGGAGGCCAGTGCTGGGAAACAGAGGCCGCCTGTGGTGGAGACCGCTAGAGCGGCATGCGGGCCCCCGGGGCTCCCAAGGAGAAGCCGACCCAGCTGAGCAAGTGAGCAGATGAGCAGGTGAACGGGGCGGGAGGAGGGGGAGGCGGGGTCCTGAGGGAACCTCAGGGCAGAGCCGCGGAGGGACCTCGCCGACGGCTCTCTGCTGTGGGAGTGCAGACAGGATGGCTGGCGCCGCAGGAGCCATGCTGGGCCACCCCGGGCAAGGCCGTGCCGTGACAATGGGGAACCGCACGGTGGGAGCTCCGGGAGCCTCTTCTGACCCCGATCCCATTACGCCCCTGGGCAGGGGGCCGCTGCTCCTCCAGCCCCCACCCTCTGTAAAAAGGGGCCAGGGTCCCGTGGAGGGCGTGAGCGGCATGAGACCAGAGGAGATGGCGTAGGGCGTCCGGGTCTCTTTCCAGTGTGGCAGCCACCGCAACGGGCCCCAAACCTCCGCTGCGGTCCTGGGCGACCCCGAGAATCTCCTAGAGGTTGGCGGTGTCTACCCCACGCCCCGTGCCCACCCGGGCCCAGCCTGGGTCCTGAGGCCGTTGGGAAAGTGAGGAACCCATTGTGCAGTCTTAGGAGCAGGGAGAGCACCGTGATGGAATTCCAGAAAAAAAATGCACGGGTTTGGAGCCTTCCCTTCCTGGCGGGGTGCACGCACCTCCCAGGTCGCAGGCGGAGGTGAACTGGGACAGGTCGAAGGCCGTGGCCACCTGGCGAGCTGCCACGTTGATGAGGCTGTGCATGGCCGCCATGAACTGCTGCCGCTTTTCCTGGCTCCCGTAGTGGAAGTCCTGAAAGAGCAGGGTCTGAGCAGACACGAGGAAGCCTGGGGGTCCTGCGCCTGGGCTGCCCCCCCGCCTGGCAGGTTTGGAGCTGGCGTCCGCCAGGGCTTCAGGGCGGGTTCCGGCCCCACGTCAACCCCAAAAGGACTTGGGAGGAATGGGAGCCGGGGGCAGAGGGGACCCAGTGCAGGAAGAGCCGGGGAACGGCGCACTCCTGTTCAATGGCATGACCTGTAGAGGAAACCGGTCACTCCATGGAACTGCTGGACCCCTCCTGAAGAGAACCCTGTTTTCGGGCCCCACCCTCCCTGGGACATCCTGGAGCTGTGACCAGCCAGCACCCCAGACCCCGTCCCTCCAGTGCCTCGCACAGGGGTGTCCCTGAGGACTCCTGGCATCTGGAGGGCAGGTGCTGGGTGGTGTCCCGAGTCTGTGTGCACCCAGGCAGCACATGGATCCAGGACCCAGGAATCCCTGCCGCAAGCCCGCGTGTGGAAGGAACGGCCCGAGGCCACCTGAAACAAATGTTTCCCCATCGTCCCGAGAACCCTGTGGAGCTGATGGGTTCCCTCACGCATGGCGAACTCCAGGTGGGAGAAGAGGGGCCAGACGAGGTCGTTGTTTCGCATGATGAAGCCATGGAGGGAGTACTCGCCGTCCGACAGCAGGTACAGGCTGGCCAGGTCCGTGTTGCTGTAACCTGAAGGGACAGGTGAGGTCCTCACAGTGACACCGGAGCCGACCTGGGCACGGGGAGCCACGGCTGAGTTCCACAAAGGGTGGACCGGACATCGCCCTCCGGACTCCCGCAAACCCTGCTCCCGGGCAGCTCCGCAGGGAGCGGGGCGCAGAGAGCCCGGTGCCGGCTCAGGCAAGAGGTTCCCCCAGAGGAGGTTCCACCTAAGGCCCGGGGACGGTCCCTGGGCCGGGCTGCCCTCTCCGGCTGGTCAAGACAACACCGGGCTACTTGTTACTGCTACCGACGCTCTGTAGACGTGGCGGGTGTCTGCAAGGGCCCAGCGTTAAGCACAGACGACTCTCGCTAATGCGGGGGGCGGGGGGGGGCCTCGCCCCATCAGCTAAAGGCTCTGAAAGCAGAGATGGGACGTTGCTGGGGGAGAAGGAATTGTGCCTCCCAAGTTCCCAGCCTATGGCACAGCCTGGTCCTTCCAATAAACGTAGTCTATGCGCTGCAGGTTCTGATTCCCTCGGGAGCCCTGGGCAATACGGGTACCGTCCTGTCTCCACCCACGCGGCATCCCTGAAGACTGTCGCGGACGACCGCCCCTACACCCTGCCTGCACACCCCCGCCTACAGAAGGAAGGGGGAGGGCCTCTAGTGGGGGTAGAGGTGACAGCGGCTGAGACCTGTACGTTTTCAGCCGGTGACTCCATGCAATGCCAGCCATCAGACGTAAGGAGTAGCTCTGTGTTCCTCCCAAGCCCTAAGTGTTCTTCCTTCTGAGACCAGGACCCGCCTGAAGAGCAGCCATGGCCAGGCCCAAAGGCAGAGACTGCTAATAGGGGGCAGGGGCGACACACCGCCCAGGACGGCTGGGAGACGCTTCCAAGGGACCGGTGGCGAACGGTCGGGAGCAGGGAGCCTTCTGTGCGGAGACTTTGTTTTGCGTAGACACGGATGTCATGCAAAGGACCAGTCTACCTCGCAGGAAGTTCTGATCTCTCCGCCTCTCATCATGAGCTCCCATACGAGTGCCCCCTGTGTGGAGGGCCGATGTGGGGGCCTGCACCAGCGCCCCGTTTCTTCCCTCAGCACAGACGCGGAGCCGCCTCTGCTGTCAGGGGAATTGGTGCCGCAGCTCTGGCTGACCTTCTCAGGGACCATCCACAGGACCCTGTCTCTGGAGACCACCCTCAACAGCTCTATTCAGTTCAGCGAAGATGTTTTCATTCATCCCTCTAATCGCTCTATGATCTCACCTGTATCCTAAGAGCGTTCCCTCCACCCACCTTCCTGTCTACCTCTCCATCCACCACCCATCCATTTATATCCTTCTCCATTCTTCCACTCATCTTATCCTCTCTCTCTGTCCATCTATCTAACTCATCTATGTATCCATGCATGCATCCACCCTCCTTCATCTCTCCAACAACCATCGTCCGTCCATTTATCTCCCTGTCCATCCTCCATCCATACACGTTACTACGTATCTATCCATCCATTCACCCCCCTTATTTGTCCATCCATCCGTCCACCCTCGTTCATCTATCCATCCCCCAAAATCCATCCATTAGACTTCCTATCCATCCTGCATCCATCCATCCCCATTCTTATCCATCTATCCATCCACTACGCATCCTTACACCTCCTGTGCACCCATCAATCCATACATCTGAACTCTGATCTACTACCTAACCCTGTATCCACCCACTATTTCTACCTATCTATCTATCCATCCATCTATCCATCTACACCTTGAACAATACATCTATCCATCTCCCTATCTAAGCATCATTCCATGTACCCATTCATCCATCGATCTCTCTATAATACCATATTGCCCTCCCTCCCTCCCTCCCTCCCTCCCTGCTGTCTGTCTGTCTGTGTACCTATCTGTCTCTCTCTGTATCTATCATCACTTTGCACCTCTGTCTCATCTGTGTACCTAAATAAACTGATGTCTGTGTCATGCACATGTAAATGTTCTATTGGTTCTGTTTCTCTGGAGCTCCTTGACTGGGCCAACCCCTCTGAGACCAGCCGACCGGAAATCATTCCCCTCACACACACACGTATGTGGGCAAACATGCATACGCATGGCCGTTCCTTTCTTCTCTCCATCCTGTGGCTCTCCCTCTGGGGAACAGCCATGCTTCCGAGGACAGAGGGACAGCCGGTCAGGTGCCCTCTGCCTTGGCCTCGAGGCCACGTTGACTCAGGGACAAGCTGCTGCCTTCTGAGAGCCGCGTCAGACCCCTCCAAGGCCCTTACCTCTCTCCGTCTTCTCCAGTAAGCCAAAGGCCGCGCAGACATCCAGCAGCTGTCCAGTGCCGTGCTCAGAGGCATCGATCTTCCTGGCAATTTCCAAGGCACTCAGGGGGGCTTCGTCTCTGAGTGAATCGAACACCTTCATCTTGCAGGCCGTGAACAGGGCCTGTGCGCAAGCAGGTCCAATGAGACCCGGTCCGTAGCTTATGAAGCCCTGTTCCCTCCCACAACACCCAGAGATGGCCCTCGACACTGGCCAGGTCATGCCGGGCATCACCAGGACTCTCTTCCCCAGAGAAGAGAGGGTTCAGGCACCAGCTGGGAGCAGTCCCACACAGGTGCAGGCAAGGGGCTGCTTCATGAGCAGAGAGATTGTCCCATGGGACCAAACCCTTGCGGTGCTGCTGTGGACTGAACTGTGGCCGCCAAGAACCATAAGTTGAAGCCCTAAGCCCAGGAGCTCAGAAGGGACTGTGTTTGGGGACAGGTCCGTTCATTTCCAGGGCCAGCACTTCCCTTTGATGCTCAGGACACAGGCCCCCATGGCACCTCAGGAACTGTCCCTTGACGTCTCATCTGGCCAGGCAAAACTCTCAGTGACAGATGCTTAATTTTTATGAATGGGAGGATGCTGAGCTGAATGGACAATGAATGACTAGGGTTGGCCAGGGATAGGCACCTACACTCTGAGAGTTCCTGCAGCGTCCCTGCTTGGTCAGTAGGTGGAGCCAGAGGGAGGCCTTGGGGACGAGAGGACGTAGTAGGCGAGTGGGCACATAGGTGAGTAGGGAGCTCGATAGTTGATAGATGAACGGAGAAATGGTGGTTGCTTAGACAGGTACTAGAAGATTGATACATAGGCAAATAGGTGTGAGAGGTGCACGCATGGGTGGATGGATGAGTAGATGGATTGATGGACACATGGAAGGATAGAAGGACGGATCAATGGATGGATAGATGCAGAGACGGACGGAAGGCTCCTAGGAGGATCAGAAAAGGAATGTACGGGGGGAAGGAAGGGTGGGTGGACACATGGATCCGTGGACGGATGGATGGATGGACGGAGAGTGGGTAGCAGGATGGAAGTATGCATGAGTGGAGGAGTGGACGAATAGATGGATATATGTTTGGGTAGGTTGAAGGAAAGCAGGACGGATGGGAGGAAGGAAAGATGGATGGATGGGTGGGTGTACGGAAGTGTGGATGGAGGGCTGGAAGAATTGATGGATACATAGAAGGAAGGGAGAAGGATGACTCCATGGTTGGAGAGATGGATGGGCGGGTGGGTGGATGGATAGAGGGATGGAAGGGTGCGTGGAGGCACGGAGGGAAGGATGGGTGGGGAGAAGATGGAAGGACACGTGGAAGGAGGGAAGGGGGAGGCAGGGAAGGAAAGAAGGATAGACGGACACGGTGGACGGATGGAAAGGTATGGTAGGTAGGTGGGTGGATGGGCAAGTGAACAGATGATCGATAGCGGACAGATTGACGAGGGACAGGAGACAGCTGCTGGAACCACAGCTAATGGAACACGTGACAGTCACACGTGCTGCTGAAGCACTGCATGCATTCCACCTTTTAGGCGAATGAGAGAATGCGTGGTCAACTCAGGATCGCCCCCTCTCTCTCTTCCGACTACAGTCTCCAATGATGACGAGGACACAGGAGTGGAGGAGGGGCGGCGTGTGGGAGGGGGCAGGCCCGACTCCCCCAGCCTGAGCCCTCCCCCCCAGCACCCTCGCTGCCCAGGAGGCGCTGCTGTCCTCCCCACAGAGCTCCAGGTACAGGAGAACCACCACCCTTCTCGACGCCCCCGGGAGCCTGGAGCTGGAGCAGCCGCTGGACAGCTGGCTTTGTAGGCCGGGGGAGCCCAGGGCCGCAGCGACAGGGCCGTTGGCTGAGGACAGGCACCCAGAGCAGCTCGCGGTGCGCCCCTCCTCTCCGGACAGAGGGGGCGAGGGATGGGTGGACCTGCGCCTGACATGTTCCACACTCTGGCTCGGGGCCTGGCCGCTCCGGGGAAGTGTCTGGGAGTGAGACACTCTCTGACTGGGCTGCTGAGGCCTCAGGGACTGAGGGCACAGGCTGAGCTGCTCTTCCCTGAGGGCACCGGGTGACCCGGTGCTCCCATCTACCTGCCACCTGGCCCGTGGGGTGGAGGCGGCCCCAAGGCCGCTGCTCCATAGGCACCCCAGCCTCACCTCTCTGGACAGGGATGGGGAGAGCCCGGGGAGGGAGCGGGGCTCCGGGACACCTGGGTCTCAGGTGAGCGGTCTCCTGGCCAGGCAGAGAACGAATCGGGCGTGGTTTTAGCCCCCCGTTTGGGGCCCTCGGTCACGGCCACCCCCGGACCCTCATCACGGTACCTTGGAGGCTTTGAAGCCATTTATCAGTTGCAGAAGGCCCATCGGCGGCAGGCTCTCCACCGTGGGGTTAGGATCTCTGTCCTTTGTGTTCTTCATGCCCGGAGGCTGTGGTGGGCCGCCGCCCACCCGAGCGCCACACTGGCTGGACCCGTCGCTCTCCACGTCGCTGAGGTTCTCAAAGGTGTCCACAGAGGGGATGGAGTCGTGCTTGACCCGCTGCACGTCCTCAGGGCGTGGCGGGCAGTACAGCTTGGCCAGCTCCTTGCAGAAGCGGTTGAGAGGGAAGCCCACGACGTTGAAGAAGTCCCCGTGGATGTGCTCCACCAGCATCGCGCCCAGGGCCTGGATGCCGTACCCTCCGGCTTTGTCCCTGAGGCGGGGGTCGGGGCGGGGGATCAGAGAGAACGGGAGGGGAGAGCGTGAGTGGTCAGAGGGCTCGTCGGAGGTGCTCCGGACAAGGCCTTCGAGGGAACCCATCGGAGCTGCCAGAGGCTGAGCCCAGGGGGCTGCTCCCTGGCATCCGGGCCCCACACGGCACGCAGAGCCCTTCTCGGGGGTCTGGGCCCAGGTCTCCTGGCATCTGTGCCGAAACCCTTGTAGGGGGGCAGACGGGTCCTGGAGGCCCCTCGTCCACCCTGACTGAGCTCCCCTGCACCTCTCTGTCCCCAGGCTCGGTTCCAAGACAGGCAAGGACCCTTGTGTTTAGGGCACAAAGACCCTCCCTGCCTGAGCCGCAGGTCACAGAGGGCCCCCAGGTGCCATTCCTGCGGCCCGCGGCCCCGGACAGAGAGCAGGGCGATGGCCTCCGTCCAGAGCCCGAGCCGCGGGAGCGCCATGCAGACCCCCAGCCCGGCTCCCTCGCGGGGACGCGGCGCACGCGCTCACAGGGGCTCCCCGCTGTGGATGTACTCCCACAGCAGCTCCTCCGACAGCTGCGAGAACCGCACCCGCGTCTCCTCGTGGAACTCCGAGACGTCAGCGTCCAGCCGGCCGTCTGCAAGGACAGAGCCGCCTGAGTGCGCGCCGCTTCCGCGTCCCCGCGTGCGCGCAGCCGCCTCCGGGCACCGCGCACGGGGGCGCTCCGAGGTATCCCCAGCACCTTCCGGTCTCCCCGCCTTCCCGCGCGGTGTGCAAGGGAATCGGGAGGACACTTGAGCTGCGCCCTTGGGGGCGGGTCACCGAGAGTCCGCCGTCCCGCTGTGACGGTTGGGCCGAGGCACAAGTGCGGAGGTACCTTTGCAGGAGCAGCGGACGATGGCCACGCCCGTGAACACGCTGTGTTCCTTCCCGTTCAGCCTGCAACACAGCACACAGCTGTGAGCGACGCGCGTCCAGCGGGAGCCGATCAGATCCCACGGACGGGGAGACGCCCCACGCACAGGGCCGGACTTTGCCCCCCAGGGCCAGTTGGCCTTTGCACCGTGGCCCGGCCAGCATATCCTTGAGCATGTCCCTCCCGGAGAGACACAGGCTGGGGACGGCACGTGCGCGGTTCCTGTTCTCAGAGCGGGGGTTTGGGGGGGGGGGGAAGCCATGCATGTCGCTTTTAGGACCCAGTGTCCAGGTCACCGGCAGCGCACGGACCCCGGGAGCCGCGGGCTGCACAGGGAAGAGCCAGGCAGCCTGCCTGCCCCCTGGATCCTGTGAGGGTCTGCCCGCTGTCCAGGGGTAGAGGGATACGCCGGCCCTCCGGCCGCGCACGGGGGACCCAGGCCCAGCGCCCCCGCCCCGACCTGCGGGGCACTGGGGAAGCCGACGGAGGGAGGGGGCCCCGGGCTGGGCGGCTCCGCAGCAAGCGGACGACCGGCCAGAGATGGAGGTCGCGGTCGGGGGCAGATGGGCCGGAGCCCCGCTTGGGCGAAATGAGCAGAGCTCACGTGCAAGGGCGCTGCTGCATCCGCTGCTCTGACCCTGAGAGTGACCGGGGAGGCCCTGGGTGACCTCGCAAGGACGGAGCCCCTTGCCCCCGAGGCGGGCCGTCGGCACCCACCTGGACAGCATGCGGTAGGCGTCCGGCTTGTCCACCGGCTTCTCCAGGATCTCCCCCTCGGCCACCTGCAGGGAAACAGGGAGAGAGGCCCGTGTCCACCCCCAGCCGGCCCGCCCACGATGCCCTGGGCACGCCGTCCACTCTTTCTTAGATTTCGAGGTCAGAGTCACTGGCAAAAAAGCTCAGAATGAACTGTCCCTGGCATTTCCTGCCTTGGCCTGATCATGCTGTTCTTCCGCCCTTTCATTCCAGAACATCGTGTTCTCCCCAAAGTGCCCCTGGCGTGGCCAGGGGCAGTCAGTCTCCGCCTCGGCCACAGCTCCTGTCAAAGAAGAGCGGACTTCTCCTCTCTGTGGATTTTCCTGGTTCGCTGTTTCTTATGAACAGAATCAGACACTGTGAGCCCGTGACTCTGCCTTCTCTCGCGTGTGTTCAAGGGGCACCCACGTGGCAGCCTGAGCCCGAGCCTCCCTCCTGTTCCCGGCTGTGTAATATTCCACTCTGTGGATACATGCTCTTCTGCTCACCTATTTGTCTGTTATGGGCAATGGACCTTTTCTGCACCCATTTGATTGTAAATAGTGCGGTACGTCAACATGCGTGTACCGCACGTGGTTGGAACACATTCTGAATCCTTTGGCATCTGTAGCTAACAGAGCGTGTATCAGTCAGCATGGGCTACCATCCATGTCTGCCGTCGGGGCGGCTAAAACGACACACGTCTATGCTAAACACAAAAACAGCCCCCCGTGTCCCCTACACCTCAAAGTCTGCCCTGTTTACACCACGAGATTTAGGAAAATCTCCCGTTGGTTTTTGACTGAAATCTGAAGCAGGCATGTGCCGGGTGGGGCTGGGTGTGCGTCACAGGTGTCCAGGAGGTACGATGATGGAAGGTCACCAGATGGAGGTTGTGCTTGGTTTGCTAGGAGGCGGTGAGTGACTGACGCATTTCAGAGTCGGGCGGCATCAGGGAAAGCACGTCTTGTCCCTCCGGGCCCGGAATAAAAGGGCATGGGACAGGCAGCACAGGTGAGTGCATTTTTAAAAAAATCCCATGACATTTTCCAATTCATATGCTCTGAATGTGACACTTTCCTATTAAAACGTGAGCGCCCATCGTGGTACACAAGTCTCCGTGCCCCAATCCCTCCTGTGCTGGACTGTGTCCCCCCAGAAGGTATGTCCCTGTCCTACCTAACCGCGGCCCTGTGCACCGGTCAGTGTTTGGAAATGGGTTTCCTCACATGTAATGAAATTTAAGATGAGGTTCTACTGGTGCCTGGTGTCCAGGGTGACTGGTGTCCTTAAAGGAGGGAAGTCTGGGCACAGCTGTACTGCCATAGACCGAGAAGCCACGGGAACACGGAGCCGGAGAGGGGGAGGTGCAGCCAGGGGCGTGGAGGGAGGCCCGGGGCCGACGCACCCCCACCCCCGAATCCCCCTGAGTCAGTCCCCCGGGACGCGCCAGCCAGGCTGCACGCCTGACATGGGACTCACCACGACAGTGTCCGCGCCAATGACGATGTCGGGCGTCCGCAGGTCTTTCTGCAGGAAATGCAAACCCGGCTTCAGAAACGACGCATGTTGTGTTGGCTCTATGGCATCAGCCGCACTGGTGGAGCCAGGCTTCCCTCAGGGGCAAGGCCCTGTGTCCTCTCCTCCTTGGCAGGGACAGGGCTGTGTCCCGGACGCGCTCACCGCAGCATGTGTGCCGCCCCGGCCTTGGGGTGCGCTTGCAGGTGAACCTTCGCTGCCGAAAACCAATCACTCCACATTCCTTTCTGTAACCACCACTTACAGTGCTAACTACCGTGCAATTATTGTACCGTTTGCCATAGGATATTATTGTAACACACACTGAAAAGCTACATCAGTTCTATACTGTGAAAGCATCGTATTAAGTATCATTGGATACTGTGTAGCAAAACCTCGTCATAGGTACATGACATTAAAATCAATGATATTGTTATATTAATTTGAAAGCATTATTACATAGCAACAAAGTAACTCAGAAGCTATGCAATAGAAATGATACGATTAGCTACATTATGTTATAAAGTAACACGTGGTAACAGATGAGCTGCTCTCATTCTGTATTGTAAATGATACTGTTGTGCTAATTATGATAGTGTATTGTATAGAAATAAATAGAAAAGCTATCCTAATTCTCTGCTGACAAGCTGTATTACATACATGTTACATGAGAATAAAAGTACACTACAGGCCACACTCAGTAATCAGTAAGCTGCGCTAACTGCACAGTGTAAAGGGCATTTAAAGTAACATGTCTATTGAAAACCTGACCACCCCCCAGGGCCCCCGCGGTGCCCGAGAGCCCAAGGTGACAGAGCACAGCCCTTGCCTGGTGCATCCGTGCGGCCACCTCCAGGGCCTTCTGCTTGGCTGTTTCCATGGCATATGCATAAGCGGTGGGGAACGCGGCTTTCCTGAGCGTCTCCTTGAACCTGGAAGGAACCACCTCGAACCGCAGACCCTGCCACGGGACAAGAGGGGCTGTGAGGGTGTGAAGAACGCGGGGCACCCAGCAGAGTGGGTCAGGGTCCCAGTCCGCGTGGGCCCTCAGTCCCTCTGCCTGACATCTGCACTTTCACCCAGAGCCATGTGTCAGGTGGCCGGGCTGGGAGGCCTCAAGGGAACACTTCTGCACAGGCTGGTCACACATAGGTCCTGGGGCAGCGTTGGCCGATGGGGCAGGGCACACAGATCCCCGGGGCTCCCAGGACGTCCCTCGGCCTGGTTTCTCACCCCCACAGGGGTCAAGCAAGTGAAAACACACGGCCCGCAGGACATCCAAGGAAGGAAAAAGCTGTGTGGGGGGAAATGGGGCTTCTTCAAGTGGGTCCCTAAATCAGAGTTAGCAAGAGGGTCCCTGAAGGATGCTGGGTGTATACTTGGCCACCGGGGCGTCCGCGATGTGAGCCCAGAGGGTTAGCGGCCCCTCGGCCGCCCCGCAGAGCACCCAGGTGGCTCTGCCCCTCCCCCTCCCCCAGTCTCAGGGCAGAGGCCCTTGGGGCGCTGGCCTGGCTTGGCCTGCAGCCTCAGCCCGGCCACAGGACGCCAGGTGACATGTCCTGGCCTGAAGACCCTGACCGCCGATCGCATCGACTCGGGCTTCCCCCGGCCCACACACCTGGCCCGGGGCCACCGGGAGCCGCCCGCAGACCCCAGCCCCGGTCCGTACAGCCGCGGTGTCTAGGTCTCGGCCGGCAGACCTGCAGGACCCTGGACGTCTCACTTTGTCGCTGGCCCCCAGGGTGCCGACCAGACCCCGTCCCCGGGCCAGGGTCACTGAGACGCCTGCAGTCGGTAGGCCGGGGTCACCAGGCCCCAGGGCCACCGAGCTCCCCGATCACTAGCCCCCAACGCGCCCCGGAAACCTGACCCGGGCCCATCCCGGCCATTCACCGCATTGGTCAGGATATCCTGGCGGCGCGGGGAGGCGCTGGCCAGCACCACGCGCCTCTCCAGCAGCTGCCGAATCACCGGGTACAAGACCATCGAGCCCGCTTTCGCCCCCAGCTTCCTAAATCCGGAACTCGGGCCGCTACCGAGCAGGACACGCCAGCGGATCTGAAGTCCCTCCCGGCCCCCGGCCCCGCCCACTCCGCCGGAGCTCCGCCCCGAAGAGCCCCGCGCTTCCGGTCCTGAGCTGCGCGGCCTCGGAGCCGGCCCCGCCCATCGCCGCAAGTCCAAGAAGTTCCAACGGCCGCAGGCTTAGGTACAAGGCCCCGCCCACGCCCCGCCGGAGACCCCGCCCCGCTGCAAACAAGGCCCCTTCCTGGGCCCGGCTCCGAGTGAGACCCCGCCCCCACGAGCTCTGCCCATGCCCTGCAGCGAATGGAGCGCCTCCGCCAACAAGCCCCGCCCTCGCCCCGCCCCGCCCCCTCTGGTCTCGTTCTTCGGCAGCTGGGCGAGTGCGGGCGCTGCTGGACTTGCAGGGGCCGCACCTCGCGGGGTACCTTGTGAGCCGTGTATGGGGGCGCGGAGATCGGGGTCCCATGGGCGCAGAGAGACGCGGAGATGGGGATGCTCGTGGGCGCCGTGGGGCGCGCGGAGACCGGGGAAGACCCTCTCCAGGTGCCCTGGGGATCGATCCTGGGTGGATAGACGGGCACCGTCGCTGGCGCCGCGGCGGTTCCGCAGCCTCCGCACCTGGGCCTCCTGGGCCCGTGGACTGCGGAGGGGGCGGTGCGGGAGGCGGGGGCTGCCGGGCGTCCGTGCACTAGATGGCAGCACCTGCCCTCCAAGTTGTCACCAGGAACCCTGTCTTCAGACGTCGCCGCCCGTTCGCTGGGGACAGAATCCCAGTCCTCGGAGAATGAGGCTTCGAGGGATGGCGAGAGGACCAGGGAGACGGAAGAGAGAGACAGAGACACCGATAAATAGAGATATTCACGCCGTACAGATAGATCATAAACTGAAGGATAGTGACAGACAAATGGAATGGGAATGGGGCATAATGGTAGATATTCATGATAAAGAGATACCCGAATCCTGATAGAGGGAAGGGCAGATGGCGCAGGCACACGACGCAAACCCTGACAGACCTGGTCCGCTGAGGCCAGTCTCAACCCCCAGGACCCCACGGACCCCTCTGAGCAACGCCCCCCAGCGGTGGCCCCCGCCAGCCCGTTTCTCTCAATCCGGGGCCGGTTCCCACCTGGCTTCCAGGGCTCTGCCCACGTATGTGGGGGTCAATCCTCCATGGCGGAGGTTCCGTCCTCTCTCAAATGTTAGAAACGGTAATAGATTATCATCCAATGTATTATTGGCATTCATTATCTTTTATCAGTGATACTTCATTCTCAGGAACTCCTCCATCATCAGCCTTATGGATCGGTAATATCTAATACGAGCTGTCCTGCGTCAGGCATTGGGGGGCCTAAAGCTTGGTCCAATTGTGGGTGACGCCTCCCTCGGGGTCTCGCAAGGCCGTCGGCAAAGGTCAGGGTGAAGGGTAAGCACCAGTTCGGAGTTGCCCACAGGGACAGCGTCCAGGGGCCCCTCCTGGGCAACGGACTTTGCAGAGGCCCCTCTCGTTCCCAGGGCCCTTGGAGGGTCCCGTCGGAGGCCTCGTCATTTTTCTTTCCGTCCGGGCTCCCTTCTTTCCCGGGACTGCGGAGAAGGATCGCCGCCCTCTTTGCGAGAGCAACGCGACCCCAGAGGAAGGATCAGGACGGCGAGAGGGAAACGGTGGGTGGGCCGGGGAGCCTGCAGTGAGGGCGTGAGGGAGGCATCACACACCCACCCCGGGCGCCCCAGACCTGGGCGGGGTCAGGTTCCAATCCTGCCTTTGACACTCCCTCCCTCGGGGACCCGGGGGGAGGGCGGCTGTCCCTCCCTTCCTATGCCCCCGTGGGCTCCTCTGAAGAATGGGCCCGATACTCACCCTCTTGTCACGGGATAAAGGGGGCCATCCGTGGGAAAAGCTGCACGCACCCCATTATCTAGGTCCTACCATCGTTCCCCATTTTGGGGGGACCTATTTGGGGGTTCCTTATGCATGTCGTCTTCCGCAACAAACCCCTTCCCGAGCCTTCACTTTTGGTTATTTCTACAGCACACGTATTCTCATAGCACAAACGAATTTTTTTTTTTTTTTTAATGACTGAGACATCCAAAGACAGATTAGAAAATACAGTTGTACAAAGCTGGGGTCAAAGTTTGGCGCTTCCGAACAGGCCGTCAGAACGAGGACCTACCCCTGTGGTGTCAGCCTGAGGACAGCGTCTTCAAGGCTCAGAACGCCTCGGACCGCCTTTGTCCTCTGTCCTCGGCCGGCAGAGGACGGGAGGCCACAGCCAGGTTCGTGGCCGAACGCGACCGCAGAGAGGCTCCTGGTGCCGTGGCCCTTCCAGCCGATCGCTGCAGATGTTTCCGTAGGATCCTGGGTGGAGGCTCAGCTCCAATTCGGGCAAACGGAGGGCAAGGTTGACGCTGTCTGCAGCTTCTCCTAGAAAAACCGCTGCCGCCGTCGCGGAATCGAGGTTCCAGCAGCCCGATCGTGCCAGGCAGGTTCCCACAGCACAGCACAGAGAGACGAACCCCCAAAAGCATCACGGAGATAAGAAGCCCGCAGGAGCCGCCAGCAACACACGTGTCCTGGAAGCCAGTCACAAAAGGACAAGTACGGCACGATTTCCCCTCACAGCAGGTCCCTTGAGAGGTCAGGTCCCAGGGACGGGACGCAGACAGTGGGGTCTGGAGGCCGGGGACGCAGGCAGGCACTGAGCGTTTCGGGGGACACAGCTTCCTTTTGGGGCGACGAGCAAGTTCTGGAGAGGCTGCCCAAGGCTGCGACAGTGCTTCATGCCACTGAGCAGCGCCCCGCCACGAGGCTAAGATGGCACAGCTGCTGTTGTGGGTGTTTGACCCCAACTCAAAGACCTTGGAAGGCGATGTAAAAACACAACCGACACACGCTGCTGCCTGGAGCACGCTGGCTTTGTCCACGCACAGCCGCTCGGAACGGACGCAGGTTCCAGCTTTTACCCAGCCTCCTGGTGTCCCGCGGGGTCTCCGTCGGGTGTTTTCCCATCCACCACATTTATGTGGGTTTTTCCTTTTGCAGGACAGAACCAGAGCACGAAACCCCACGTCCCTTCCACCCACGTTCAACCTTGTTCCGTGAGCCACACTCCACGGTGTGTCTTCCAAGTCCCGCAAGGATGCATGGAAGCAAAAAGGCACGCGTGTGCCTCCGTGTGAGGCGTGGATATATGTCCCCCTGCCTGTTTGCATGGACAGCATTGGGCATTGGTGTGAGGCGGCTTGTACTTTTTCTCAATTTTTAAAACCCCCCCACCTGAGGACACGCTTCATGATTTCAGAGAGAGGAAGACACGGCAACAGGAGAGACAAGCGTCGCCGCGGGTCCTCCCACCGGGCCCTGCCTGGCGTCCACCCCGCAGGTCAGGCATGTCCCCTGACCAGGAGGCGAGCCCGCGACCGTTCTGGACGACGCTCCAACCAAAGGAACCTCCCGGCCACGGCTGCTCTGTCGTTGAAAGCAGACGTTAAACATCACCGCAGGCTGCCCTTGAATGTTGGCAAACGCACCTTGAAGAGACGAGGACTTTTTTTTTTTTTAACAAAGCCGTCGCCACGGCCCCCAACCCCGCAGTCCTTGCCCTCCCTGCTCTGCCCCGTCGCTGCGGCCCCTCGGGTCCCCGCCGTGGCGGGCGCAGAAGCGAGCTGATGCTGCCGTGGACGGCGGGCCTTGTCGCGGCAGGTCCCGCAGGCAGGCTGGAGGGGGGCGTGCGGGCTCCCCCGGGAGGTGGCGGGTCAGAGAGCGGCGCGTTCACCTCCGCGCGGGGAGAAACCCGGAGCGCCACCGGCGTCTCCCGGCTCCCAGGGCTGCCTCTGTCCCCGAGAGCACGGTCGGACCGCCACGGCTTCCGTTCCGTGGACGTGCACGCGGCCTTCCGTCGTCCTGGAGGCTGCGCCGGCGCGCAGGGGAGCAGCGGGGCGGGGGGTGGCGAGCCTTTCCGGGAAAACACACACACGCTGTCACCAGACGCCTGAGCATGGAGCGGGGCCAGCCTTGCGTCTCTGGTGACAGGACCAACTCCGAGGGACAGGGGGCCTGTCCCCCGAAGCCGCAGCATCTCGACGGAGAGTCGCCGACCCTGTGTGCGCTCCCTGGGACTTCGGCAGCATCGGGGCGGGGGGGTGGGCAGGAGGGGGCGGCGGGCGTCGGCAGCCCACGGCAGCCAAGGGGCTGCAAAACCAAACCACGGTAGCAGTCTCGCCGATGAAGCCCTGGCGTGCGTCTGCCTGCCTGGGTCCGTGGAAGCCGCAGGCCGCGGCGCCCTGACGCCCTGACGCCCTGTCGGGGGACGTCACGGCCCAGCGAGGCGTCCTCCGCCCTGTGGCTGGCGGCCTCTCCCAGGTGACACAACCGTTCCATTCTGCGCAGGCGGTTTGAGGTTTCTCACTGGTTTTGTTTTAACACCCGCCGTGTGAGTATCCCGCCCGGAACGCGGCGGGTGCCTCTGGCCGGCTCGCGGTCTGCGACCCGGCTGTGGCCGCGTGGACAGGGTTGGGGCCCCCGCCTGGATGAGGGGCGCCGCCGCCGCCCGCCGAGGGACACTCTGGCTCAGGCGCGTCTCAGGCCGTCCTGCCGGGCCGTCCGCGGGGGCGGGAACGGCCGGCCCACGCGCGGGGCTGGGCGGCCGAGGCGCTCGGGCAGCGTCCGCTGCGGGGCGTCCCAGAGGCCAGCGATCCCGCAAGTGACAGCCTGGGGGTCCGGCGCTGAGGGGACCCCGAGACCGCGTCCCGGTCCCAAAGGCACGCGCGCCCCCTGCGTGGGCCTGTGTCCCCAAAAGGCCAAGGCGCCACGTGGCTGGATTCCAGCGCCACACACCGGCGGGCGCCCGGCGCCCCCGCAGGGCGGGTCGCAGGGTCCACAGTTGTCACAGAGCAGGTGACAGGCAGGCCCAGAATGTGAAACCAGCAGCGGGTTTTTCCCTCCGGGCCCGCTCCCTGCTCCGAGCCGCTGTCTGGGTGACGGCCCCCCACGGGCCCCGTGGAGCCTTCACCGGGCTCACGAGCGCCGCCCCCCGCCGCCTGTCCTGTCGAGGGCTCGGGTCCCGGAAGCACAGTCCCCAGGAAGCCAGCACGGGGCACGGGGGGCCCCCACCGCCCGCCCACGGCCAGCGCTTCCTTTGGCCGGAGTCCTGGCCACAGGCTTCTAGAGCGGCCTCAGCGCGGCCCTGTGCTGGCGCGGCCGCAACACATGACCCACAGTTCATTGTCTCCGCCCTGGAGGCCAAGCACTTGAGATCGGGGGCCGCGCGCCCTCCCCGGGCTCCAGGGCAGGCCCTCCCCACCGCTCCCCACTCCGGGGGCCCCGGCGTCCCTGGGCGGGGGGCCACGTCCCTCCCTCCCTGCCTCCGTCTCCGCGGGGCGTCTCCTCGGGCTCTGCGTCTCCTCTTCTGTGTCTCCTCAGGACACTGTCACTGGATGGAGGGGCGTCCTCACCCAGCCGGTCGCACCCTGAGGTCCTGGGGGGACAGTGTCCACCGCAGCCTAGTGGTGTCTGTTTCCTTGCACAGCAGCGGCAGCGGGGGCTGGGTCGCATGGTCCCCACTGGCCTCCCGGGCCCCCAGCGGGGAGGCCGCCCGCCCTGCCCACGTCCCACCCTCTGGGCCTCGCAACCCGGCCACCCCACGGCTCCTCCCAGCTCTGGCCTCGCAGCGGGCTTGGGGCCGTCCCCCCCTCGTGCGTTCCTGCGATGCGCCAAGTGCCAGACCTTCGCTGCGTCCCGCAAGTCCCCGGCGGCGGAGGATCTGCGGTTCGGCTGCACAGGCCCGGGACGGAGGCTCCTCGTGGTCCCCAGCAGCCCGGGTCTCGGGCGGGTTCAGGTCCGTCCTGGCGCAGGGAGCCCCGCGGGGCCCCCCCAGAATCCCATGGGTCAGACTGGCAGCGCGTTCACAGAGAAACCGCCTCGAGGCTGGGGGCCCGGCCAGGCCCTGGGCTGTCGGCCCGGTGAAAGGAACCCTCGAGGGACGCCGCACCCCCCGAGTCCTGGGGTGCACAGCGTCGCTGGGACCCTCATGTCCTTACAGAGTCCCACTCAGCCGTGGGAGGCCTGACCCGCAGAGGCGGCTGGTGCTCCTGCCCGTGAGTGACGCTGCGGTAGGACATCAGCCCAGACGGCTGCGAAGGCGCCGCGGTCCGCGCGGGGGACGAGAGGCCCCGTGCACACGCGGAGCGTCCGAGCCCAGCGGGCGGCGGGCTGCATCCCGGCCCCGAGCAACCGCGGTGTAAGGTGCACAATGTCCGGGGCCCGTCGGACGGGGGCAGCGGAGGGTCCCAGGCTGGAGAGACATGGACAGGGACGCGGGGCGGGGGGCCCGGCCGCGCCTCCGGGGCCGGCGGGGATGCAGCGGGGCGCGGAGCACCCCCGAGGGGCCGGGCTAGGCCGCCACCCTCAGGAGTGGGAAGAAGTCCGCCCCGCATGCTCCGAAAAAACAAAACCTGGTGTCCTTCGGTCCCGCTGCTCTGCCCGCGGGCTGGGGAGGGAGCCCCCGCCGGCGGACCCTTCCCCGTGGCTGCGGGATGGAGGCGGCCGCGCCCGGGTGGAGAAAGAGACCGCCCCGCCGCCCCCGGCCCCCGCCCCCCGGGGTTGCGCAGCTCAGAACACGCTCTGCTGCTGCTGGAGGAAGGGCCGGGTGGCCCCCGCCTCGGGCCCGTCGCCGGGCGTGGTGGACAGCGTCCGGGCGGAGAAGAGGCTGTCGCGGCGCAGGTCCGAGGGGCAGGGCGTCTGCGGCCGGGTGCACAGGTAGCCGCGCAGCCGCTGCTGGAACTCCTTGGAGGCGAAGTAGTAGACGAAGGGGTCCAGGCAGTTGTTGAGGCAGCTGAGGCAGAGCGTGAGCTTGTAGACGTGGTAGTAGCTGGTCCCCAGGAAGAGGCGGGCCACCATGTGGGCGAGCAGCACGAAGTTGTTGGGCGCGAAGCAGGTGACGAAGGCCAGCAGCACCACCGCCGCCAGCCCCACGGCGCGGCGCCGGCGCGCCCGGTCGTGCGGGTCGGGGGTGCGCAGCAGCTTCAGGATGGTGGCCGTGTAGCAGGCCACGGTGACCAGGAAGGGGATGAGGAAGAGGATGATGAAGAGCGTGAAGAGGAAGATGGCCCACATGGCCACGCTGGGGAGCATCGTGGACTTGAGGACGTCGAAGCAGGTGACGATGCCCAAGTCCTCCACGGCGTAGGTGAGGTCGGTGCGCGCCAGCGGGGACAGGGCGCCCAGCAGCAGCGCCCACATGCCCACGCAGGCGGCCACGGCGTAGCGCCGCCGCCGCCAGCGTTTGGAGAGCAGCGGGTACACGACGCCCAGGAAGCGGTCCACGCTGATGCAGGTCATGGTGAGGATGGACGAGTACATGTTGGAGTAGAAGACCAGGGTGACGACCGTGCACAGGTGCGTCCCGAACACCCAGTGGTTCCCGTTGCAGTGGTAGGCGATCTGGAAGGGCAGCACCGCGGCCAGCGTGAGGTCCGTGATGCTCAGGTTGATCATGAAGATGATGGATGGGGACTTGGGCCCGATGTGGCGGCAGAGCACCCACAGCGAGAAGAAGTTGCCGGGGATGCTGACCGCCGCCACCAGGGAGTACACCGCCGGCAGGACCACCGCGATGGCCGGGTTGCGCAGCATCAGGATAGTGGCGTTGTCGGGGCGTGTCATGTTGATATCCATGGTGCCGGGGCGCCCGGCGTGGGCGCGGGGACGTTCTGAAAGGCAGAGGGCACAGGGGTGAGCGGGGCACAGAAGGGGTCTCGGTGACAAGGGGGCGACGTGCTCCAGGATGAACGCACACGCGGAAGAGGGTCGCTCGGGACCCACGGTGCACACAGCTCTGGCTCCCTCCCCCACTCCCCTCCCTCCTCCTCCTCTCGGGGAGCCGGCGTCTCATCCTCTGTGTGAGGGCCAGAGGACATGGGGCAATTCCTGTCCCTGTCCACCCCTCGGTCATTGCACACCTGGTAAACCCCTTCCTTCTTGGAAGCCCCGGGAGCGTGCTGCGAGGCACGGCACAGTGGCAGCACCCTGGGGGCCACGAGGAGGCCAGCACGGCACCAGGTGCAAGGTTGCACGTTCACCCAGGGACTCATCCTGCAAGTGACTCTGGGTCCAGTTGCAACATTGTTTCCCTACGCTTTTGCTGGGAGCCCAGTTTCCTCATCGGCCTGATGTCACACGGGGGTGCTGTGCCGTCAACAGCACACCGCGGGGGGGTCCCGAACCTCATCCCCCTCCGCCTGGCTTCCCACCTTGTCCTGCCCTCAGGGCCTGCTTGTCACCTGGCACCCCAATCCCGGAACGCCCATGGGGCACCGCTCGTGCGGGGGAGGGGCCAGGGGCGAACCCCTGAGACATCACCCCTTGCTGCCCCTCTCCCTTGCCCGCTGCGGGGCTCCGAGGCAGGGAAGCCCATGAATCACCGCAGCTGGAGGGAATCGTTTTCGTGGCTTCCGGGACCGACGGGGACGCGCCCTGAGTACGGGGCGCCCGGTGTGTCCGGCGTGGCGGCGAAGCCGCGACACCTGCCAGCCTCCCGCGACACGTGCAGATACTCAGGACCCGCACCCCCCCGCCGAGGGTGGGCTGGTGTCCATTCAGCTACGCCCGAGGGCTGCATGGAACAGCCCCCGGCTGAGGCCCCTTCCCTGCCCCCCGCCAGGGCCAGCCCTGCAGGTAGGGACTTGGTCTGTGTTTGCGGACACCTTGTGCCTTCCCTGAAAGGGGTCCAGAGTCACGTCCTTGGTGGTTTGTTACTTCAATACCCCCCTTTCCTTTGCTTAAAAAATCTGGGGCACCTGCCTCTCACCTCACCTAGAGTCCAAGGGTTCTCTCTTTGAATGTGGTGGAAGAAGCAGCCTGAGCATGTCGTGGAAGAAAAGAACAGATAAAAAACAAAGCACATGTGTTTCCTTCCTTTGCAACCGGGAGCGTGCGTGGCAGTCCCCTGGGGGGGGACACCTTGTGAGCCTCCTAGGCACAGCTGGAGGACGCGCTGATGGGCACAGGGCATGCGGCACGGAGCTGAGAATCTGCCCAGCACGCCACGTTCGTGTGGGGGTCACCCGCCCCCCGGGGGGACGGTCGTCACCGGAACCCAGCCCCGCCGAGCCCTCCACCAGGGACGTCCAGCCTCCAGGAGCGGGAGAAACAAGCATCCCTCGTTTACGCCGCCCTCTCTGCGGATTTTGTCACCGAAGTCCAGCTGCCTAGCATACACCCCAGAGCCCTCATCGCTGGTGCCGGTGCTGCCGGAATGGCAGGCAGTGGAGAGGCGGTGCCGTGTTCACCTGTTACACGCCGGCACACCCGAGTCCCAGGACGATATGGCATCGAGCTGAGGTTTGGAAGGACCCAAGTGGCTTTGCCAGCGGCCTCCACCACCTCCCCGTGTCTTGGCAGACGACCCCAGGCACCTGATGGTACTGGTCGCCGCGGCCAGGTCCCTGCGCTCCACGGTGGGGACGAGCCTCGAGAGCTCCTGTCGCTGAGTACGCAGGGCCTTGACTCGGGACCTCAGACATCGGCGGCCATTCTGCCCTGTTCTCACTCCGTTCCTGCCGCCCGGCTCCTCCTTGTCCACCACTGATGGAGGGCGCTGTGCTCCGGGGCGGCTTCCCCGGGCGTGGGCCTCTTCCTCACGGGGTCGTGGGTGGGTGCCCGGGTGGCCTTCCTGAGCCTGGGTCGGCAGGAAACACGCGGTCCGTGCGCCGCAGAGTCACCAGCACCTCCCGCGCCTCGGGGATTCATAGACCCTCCTGGCTCCGCGCGCCCTGCCGCGCTCTTGCTTCTCCCTGCGGCGAAGGCGCCCGCGTGGCGCCAGCGTCTGCGGGCAGCTTCCTCCAACCCGCGCCGGGCGGCGGTCTGGTTTCGCTTTGCACGTGCGCGCTCGCCCAGATGCGACGCTCCGGTGGTCTGTGCGCCGGCCACGGGGGACGTGCCGGGACTGCCCCATCCCGGGCGCGCGGGTTTGCCGGGGCCCCTCGCTGCTGCGGGCAGCCACAGAGACACGGGAGACAGCCGCCGTTTCCAGGGGCCCACGGAGAGAGGAGGCTGCGGGGGGGCTTTGGAGACGTGCCCACCACGAGGGTGTGAAAGAGGACGCGGGGGAGACCCCGAGCCAGCCAAGCGTCCGCCGGGAGCGCGCGGTGCTGTGCTCTTCCGAGGACCGTGGCTTGTCCGGGGAGTTCTGTTTCTGCTGGTTCGGCTCCCACCGCCCTGGACCTGCGCCGGTCCGTCCAGCGGTGAGTTCCTGAGGAGGCCGAACAGGCGGGCCACCCGGTGTCGAAAGTCTTAGGACAGGTGCCCCACCAGGTGAGGGAAATTCTGGCGGCAGAACAGCTGTGGGCGGGGCAGGCCCGCGGCGCCGTGGGCTTGACGGTGCCCTGCGCAATCGCTGGGTTTTCACCTCTGTCGTCTGCCGCGACGCAGGCGGCCCCCGGTCGGGGACCAGGCAGCTGCTTGTGGCTTCTTGGTGTCCAAGCCCCGGCAGGACGGGCCCATGGCTGGGTGGCGCGGATGATTCATAAAGAGATCGCCGGACCAGACGTGGCGTCTGTGGTCTCAACCCGGAGGAGGCTCCAGCGCCAGGGTGGAAATTTTACGAAATGAGCCAAACCAGCTGCTTTGCCTGGCGCCTGGGCGCCAACTGAGCAGAGGTGGTTCTTGCAAAAGAGGCAGGGGCGGGGGGCTGCCCCAGCCGGTGAGTGGCCTCCGTCGGGGGCTTGCCGGCGGCAGGCAGGAATGCGGGTCCTATGCCCCACGCACATCTGATAGGGGCTACGGGCCGTTTGTCACCTGTCAAAGGTGCCTGGGTATCTTCCCACAATCTCTCTAGTTTCTCTCCACAGCTTTATTGAGGTGTCATTTACATACCCTAACGCTCCCGGGTTCAAAGTGTGCAGTTCAGCGGTTTTGAACATGATCACAGACATGCCACCTCCCCCGGAGCGCCATCCCACGAGGTTTGCATCACCCCCAAAACAGGCGCTCCGCTCCACGGCTGCGCCCCCCCCATCCCTCAGGCCAGAGTCGCTAATATTTTTAAATAGCTCAAATGCACGTACCATGAAAGTAGCCATTTTTAAAGGTGGCAAGTCCATGGCGTTCTGCACACTCCTGGTGTTTCCTGACCGTCCCTTGTATTTCCAGAAAACCTCCATCACCACCAAAGGGGACCCGTTCCCATGACCCCGCACGCTCCCATCCCTTCCCGCGGCCCCTGACAACCACGCGCTCGCTCTCTGTCCCCGTGGATGGGCCGGCTCTGCACGTTTCAGCCACGTGGAACCCACGCCACGGGACCGTGTGCGTCGGGCGCCTCGCACAGAGCGCCCTGGGTTCAAGGCGCACTCACGGCACAGCCTGAGTCGGAGCTGCCCCCCGGTTCAGGGCCGCGTCCCATGCCCCGGCGGGACAGGACCCCATTCTGCGTATCCGTCCATCGCCGGGCGGACAGCTTGTTTCTGAGTCTCGGTTCCTGCCAACAACACGGCTCGTCTCTCGCACGCGGCGGAAGGCCCACGGCGCCGAGCGCGGGGGGTCCTCCGGCCTCGGTTGGCATGGGTTTTACTCAGGGGGCTGGTGGCAAGCACGCCCCGCCCCCGACAGCAGCCGTGCCTCCCGCCGAGTCCTCCTTTGGGATCCCCGCAGACACCCGAGTCTCCTGGGTGTGGGGGGCCGTTCCGGGGGCTGAGCTCAGGGTGGGGGCAGGAGGGGCCCGGCCCCAGGAAGCCACGAGCCGGCCCCGTACAGCGTGGGCGGATCTCCCTCTGGGTTTGTTGGGTTTCGGGTCACCCGGTTTGTGGTGCGTTGTCATGGAAGCTCTGGGAGACACAGAGCCGAAACCCCGCAGGCCCGTCTGCTGGGGACGGCGGGTGACGTCGCAGCATCCCATGGAGGGTCATCCAGGCAGCTCTTCCTTCCCCAGCGGGGGCACGGGACACTGTCTGGGGACCCCTGTGTGTGTCCCACAGCGGGGAAGGGGAGCTCCTGCCACCTGGTGGATGGGACCAAGGAGGCTGCTCAACACCCCCGAGTGCCCGGACGGCCTCCCCTCAGCCAGCCCTGCAGGCCCAAAGGCGGGGCGTGAGGCCGAGAGACGCCGACCGTGTACGAGGGTCTCTCTCCTCCTGCCTCGTCTGTCTCTCCTCTATCCACTCCTGCATCCATTATCTATCTGTCTGTGTGTCCGACCATCCACTGATCGATCTATCCATGCATCATCTCTCGTTCTATCATCCGTCCATCCGTCCATCCATCCTCTCTCTGTGTATCTGCCTGTCCATTCATCCACCATCCATCCCCCCATCTACCCATCCATGCAGCTCCTGATTCATCCATCCATCCATCCATCCATCCATGTATGTATATATCACCCATTCATCCATCCATCATCTATCGGTCTTCCATCTATCTGTCTGTCCATCCACTGATTCGTCCATCCAGCCGTCCATCCCTGTATGAATCTATCACCTGTCCATCCATCCATGAGTCATCTGTCAGTCACCCAGCTCTCCATCCACCCAGAGATCTACCCATCCGTCCGTCCATCACGTATCTCTCTATGCATCGACCTCGGTGGTTAGCAATGGGGGACCCAGCACCACACTGTCCTGAGCCAGCCTTCTGTGTCCTATACCTCTCCTAGGAACACCTTTTCCCCCCGGCAGCCATGAAAG